TAATAATTGTAAGAGATCCGGTCCTGAGAAATACCACACGGTATATATATTAGGTCTTTAGGGAAATCGCTAAGTAGCGAAACAGTGATTTTATCAAATGCTTTAGAAAATATCGAAGAACTATTTTTTTTTAAAAATTGAAACAAAGAATTAAAATAATCTAAATATCTATTATATGCTATACTAACAGTTTAGGGCAGCTTCGTGTCATATCTTGTTGTTTTAAAAGTTAAATTTAATTCTAAATGGTTTTTCTTTTAATGAGAGAATTCATTTATTTGACTGAAACCTGTTTACCTGTCACAGATCCTCATTAATTTCCATTTTTATGATAAAATGTAATGCTAAGGAATCAAGAGTTGATAAAATCTTCAAATCAACGATGTCTTCAAAAATATTAGATAAGTCATTTATAAAGGTCGTCTTTTACTCATTCCATCTTAATGTAAACTTCTACAGAAAAACAACTCCAGAACATTTGAATGAATTAACATGTCAAAATTGTTGATTAAACGGTTCTTTAAACTATGACGGAGTCTACTATGAAAAGAAATATTTTGATATTTGTTTGGTTAAGCCAATAAATTTAAAAAAAAAATTTAAAAAACAAACGGAGACCAAAATACGGGGCGTGGAGACAGAATGGCAGAGGCTTGGTGACGTCACGGAGGCTGGGAGACCAGTTTTGTGGGGCCTGGAGGTAATTCTGAAAATCCGGAGGCTCGGTGAGTGCAATTCAATGCAATGTAGAATGTAGATTGCATGAGGAAGGGATGCAATCAGATGTAATATTAAAAGAGCCCCCTTCAGGGGGGGGGGCACAAGTAGGGGGATAGGCGGTGTCCATTGAGTACTTCTGCACTTCCCTCCTCATGAGGGGGGTGCTAGATTTATTTTGTAACACAAATTTTTTTTAATTGATATGATCCTTTTTGCTTTGTCCCACGAAACATGACAGTATGCAGGATGACTTGAATGTCGTCTTGATTTGTTATATAATTTGCTGCGTTTATTTGTCAACCTAATTTTAGAAGTAAATTTCTAGAGATAATAATCACAAAATTTCCCTTGTCCTGCCATTTCCAAAATGTGGTCTGCCTTTTTTGTGCTTTCAATATTGCCCGAGATATGAAGAATTTCGTTCAGATTTCGACAATTTTGCTTTTATTTAACAAAATTGAAATCTGAACCAAACTCTTTTTATCTCCGGTAATATTGAAAGCACAAAAAACGCAGACCACTTTTTGGAAATGCCAGGGCTAGGAGAATTATGTGATAATTGTTTCAAGAATCATACATGTTAAAGTAGATAGAATACTAAATGTTACAAATAAATTCAAATACCAAAGACGACTTTCAAGTCATCTTGCTATTGTCATGTTTCGTGGGACACCCTGTATATGGTTTGATCTTTCCCTTAAGTGCTAATTGAGAAGCTATTCTGAAATGAAATCTCGGGGGGGGGAGCTATGCCCCCCTGAATCTATCAGGGGGGTGTAAAGGTCCTGCCGCCTCCGTCTTCGCCCTTGTTTTGAGGCACATTAATTTTTTTCACAAATTTAAAATTTGTAAGAGAAAATTCAATATTTCATTTATTCCCTTTAGTATGGATTTCTAAAAATCTTCAAAAATTACACTTGAAAAAACATTTAGAACGAGGATTTTGAGGCGGCTCGGACGAGAAAATGAGGAGAATATGGCTCGGACTAGGAATAGTTGAGGTGGCCTTCCTCCCCTCGTTGATTGTGTATAGTGAATATATTGAAAAGTTTCGCATCAGCTGCATCAAGTGATCCTACAAGTTTCTTCTATATACTGAATCTTTCTACTTAATTACGATGTTGGTTGGGGAGTTTCGAGTTTCAGTGTTACATTTTATCATTTAGGGTTTTAAACGTTAAGTTACTGTGATTACCTTAAATTCATTCGAAATTCATTGTTACTGATCAGATGTTTGCATTAGAACTTTTTAAATTTATCCAAAAAGTAACCTCTTATTTTTTTCATTATATTTCGTAATCCTTTCTACTAGTCTGGGTTGAGGATTCCATTGGAAGGTTAAAAAAATGATTAAGCCCGATTTGATTGACTGTTCTATCTAGACTAATATATTTCAGGGATATAAGTAGCAAGATAATGTGCAACGAAAGTTAAACACTGCTGAAAACTGGGAAGGGGCGCAATATTAATCTTATAGGCAGGTATTTTTTTATAAAGTGACTATTGTTAGGTCTATCCTGGGAGGTCCAACTTCAAGGGTCCGGGTAATTTCCTAGTAAGCGATTTTTGGACCCCCCCCCCGTATCAATTTTTGTACATTGCCACTAATTTTCAGTAAAATTATTATTTATTTTTTTTTATTTTAGGGTTAGGTTAGGTTAAGACAATTTCTGGGCCGAGCTCTTCGGCTAGACCTGTCAACTCTCTTGACGTTTTGTAAAACAGTAAAATATGACCAGTCAAAGAAATTATGGTTCCGGAACTTGGATATTTCTTAGAGAACGATTTGTAGACACAGCTGATCTGAATTGAAATAGAGTTTAACATTTTTAGGCCGACGGAGCGGTGGAGTTAGATCGGGAGAAGATGAAGAAAATATTCGGGAAGATTGAGAACAGAAGAGATGAGAAGGAGAATGAGAAAGCTCACAGTAGCTATATCGGGAAGAAATTCAACGTTGGCCGGCATACGGTCATCATTGAGGTATTTTTCAGTTTCCCGTCAAATGTGATACAGTTGTCAGGGGTTTCTTTTTAGACCTATTAATGGGATATATACACAGATTCTTGAAAATACATATTCCTTAAGCATTAAGGTATGTCCTTTTTAATTTTGGAGGTAAAGATTGGTCGGTAAAACATGAATCGTCCACTTGTCAATTGTAGGTTTTCATCTTAAACGGATTATTTACCGCGTAAACATAAATAGATTTAAGATAAAGATTTAATTATTGATTGATTGAATTTTAGGATGTTGTTGCAGAAGGAGGTTTTGCGATTGTATTCCTTGTTAAGGTAACAAATGTAGAAAACAAGTTTGTTTTTCATTTTCCAAAAAAGATTTTTAGTTATAATCATCAGTTCTGAAAAATTTCAGCTTTGTGTTTGAAACACTACTGATTCGTTTTGAAAGCATTATAGTGTTTCTGACGAAACGATATTTTACTTCGTTCTTGCCTTTTATCTTCTGTCACAGTTAAACTTAGATATAGTTTAAAATCTGTAAAATGGTCTAAAACTGTCTCAAATCTACAGCTAACCATGATTAAGTATTTACATCCAGTAATTACAGTTATGTATTTAAGGGTGCAAATGGTGCGCGGATGGCTCTAAAGCGCATGTGCGTGAATAATGATAAAGATTTGGCTGTGTGCAAACGAGAAATCAATATTGTGGTAAGCTTACAAAATACTTTAAGTTTATGTAATTATTCGTTAAAATGTAACAACCATGTTAATAATTAGAATTATAAAGTTTAGATGATTTTTTATTGCATAGTTTAAAGAAGCCATAAAATGATATCGATGGTTTAAGCAATATCAGATGAGAGAATTAAATTTTATTTTTAATTATCTGTAAAATGTAAAATATAATAATCAAAATAATACATTAAACATTAAAACACCTTATCAATCAGTATTTTTCTGATAATCACCTTTTTATTTTAGTCTAATCTTACCGGACATAAGAATCTAATCGAGTATGTGGACTCTTGTGTTAATAGCTCAGAGGGAGGAGTACATGAAGTACTCCTCCTCATGCCATATCACAAGGTTAGTAAAAGCTGAATTACATTAATGTTTGCTAATATTGTATGTTCTATGTACACGTGCATGCACTGCAGTTGATAAATAAAATTGTTATATTATGGGTTCATCTACTGCAGCTGATGTATAACTGTTTATATATAGGTTCATGTACTGCAGCTAATGAATGAGAAGCTATCGACTGGGTTTACTGAAGCTCAAATTCTAGAGATATTCTGTGATGTTTGCGAAGGTACTTAATTGAGTGATTGGTTGATTAATTGATCTCTTGATGTTTGATTGATTGATTGATCTGTTGATGTTTGGTTGATTGATTGATCTGTTGATCTTGATTGATTGATTGATCTGTTGATATTGATCTGTTGATCTTGATTGATTGATTGATCTGTTGATGTTTGGTTGATTGATTGATCTGTTGATCTTGATTGATTGATTGATCTGTTGATCTTGATTGATTGATTGATCTGTTGATGCTTGGTTGATTGATTGATTTGTTGATCTTGATTGATTGATTGATATGTTGATGCTTGGTTGATTGATTGATCTGTTGATGTTTAGTTAATTGAGTGATCTGTTGATCTTGATTGATTGATTGATCTGTTGATGTTTGGTTGATTGATTGATCTGTTGATCTTGATTGATTGATTGATCTGTTGATGCTTGATTCATTAATTAGCTTACAACTGTTAATAATTAACTAATTAAGGACTCGCAAGGTTGCACCATTGTCAGACTCCAATCCTTCATAGAGATTTAAAGGTGATAAATTCAAACAAAACAAATTTTTTTTATTTCAACAACTGTTATTTTTATGAAAGTTATGCTTTTAAACAATGCTATAAATACTTTTCTGCTAAACTCCAAAATTCAATGATAAAGGAAAACCTTGAAAAAGGTTTGTTCCCAGTTCAAAACTTCCGAATACAACAAAAATGGTAATTTTCGATTTTTAGCATTGATCAATCTTATTCTTTTTATTTCTGATGTCTCAAAATTTCCAGAAACCCTTTTACTTGGGACCAGATTTAATGATTTGCGAGACATGTTTGAACCGCGTAGACGTTTTTTAACCACTTCTCTTCAGCTTGAATCAGTACACAAGAGAATTTGGTTGATCTACGTCTGCACGGTTTAGCTACTTCTCACTATTAATAAAATCAGATCCTTGGTCTCTCTTCAGTACTTATTGATTAATTGATTGTTTAAGGTTGAAAATATCCTGCAGGCAGATAAAGGTCACTTCATCCTCTGTGATTTCGGATCCGCTACTGCGAAGGTCAGCTCGTCGCATCTTATATTATTTATGATATTCACAGGGTGTTTTTAGCTAGAAAACAATTTTTTTTATAATTAAAATTGCTTTATAAAGTTTCGCCTACTGTTGGAAGTAAAACCCTGTATCGTGTTATTGTCCATGGCAAATTTTATTCAACAATTGGTTCAGAATTAACATCCAAGGATTTCCAAAACGCAAATAAAAGTTCTTCTGCTACAGTATTAATATTCATATGTATATATCAATTATTTGTATATATTTCTTTTTAAACTGTTAATGCATTTGATTTTAAATTTGATTAATCTTGTCCTAAGGTTCTTGATCCTGCAGTCCACGGTGCAACTTTTGTAGACGAAGAAATAAAAAAATATACAACTTTATCCTACAGGTGATATTATATATTCTTCTAAACATATTCAGTAAGTTTATCCTACAGGTTTTATTATATATTCTTCTAAACATATTCAATAACTTTATCCTACATGTTTTATTATATATTCTTCTAAACATATTCAGTAAGTTTATCCTTCAGGTTCTATTATATATAAATCTAAACATTTTCAGTAAGTTTATCCTACAAGTTTTAATCTATATCATTCTAAAAATATTCAGTAACTTTATCCTACAGGTTCTATTATATATAATTCTAAACATATTCAGTAACTTTATCCTACAGGTTCTATTATATATAATTCTAAACATATTCAGTAACTTTATCCTACAGGTTTTATTCTATATCATTCTAAACATATTCAGTAACTTTATCCTACAAGATCTATAATAAATCCTTCTAAACATATTAGTTACGCAACTTTATCCTACAGTTTCTATTATATATCCTCTAAACATATTCAGTAGCGTTTTTGCTAAAGGTTCTTTTATATATCATTCTAAACATACTCACGTAACTATATCCTACAGGTTTTTATGTATCTTTCTAACATCTAGAGTAACTTTATCCGACATGTGTTTATTTATCTGTTTAACATCTAGAGTAACTTTATCCTACGGGTGATTTTTCCTTTTAACATCTAGAGTAACTTTTTCCTACATGTGTTTATTGATTTGTTTAACATCTAGAGTAACTTTATCCTACAGGTCTTCTAACATCTAGAGTAACTTTATCCTACAGGTGTTTATCATCCGTTTAACATCTAGAGTAACTTTATCCTACAGGTGTGTTTTTGTATATCCTTCTAACATAAAGAGTAACTTTATTCTTCAGGCTAGGCTCATTTTATTAAATGTATCTTTACGAAAACATGTTTCAGGGCTCCCGAGATGATTGATGTTTATAACATGCAACCAATAACAACTAAAGCAGATATTTGGGTAAATTACTTAAATCTAAATTACTCAAATATATTGGAAAGAGTGCAGCTTATTGTTGAACAGAATTAAAGGAATTTGACAATATTAAAGAGTTTATGGGAGATAAACTTTCCATTCTTTTCCAATTTTTAAACTCTTCGCTCAAAACAACTTCATTTCACCTTAGATTTTAAAATAATTTTCATCCCTGATATGATAATATATTTTTTTTAACGATTTAAATATTTGATAATTATTCAGGCGCTCGGTTGTATGCTTTACAAGCTTTGCTTCTTTACACTTCCATTTGGGGAGAGTACACTGGCAATTCAATCCGGAAACTTTACATTCCCACCTACTTCTAAATATTCCCAGGTTACCTTACTTTATATTCCCACCTACTTCTAAATATTCCCAGATAACCCTTACTTAATATTCCCACCTATTTCTAAATATTCCCAGGTAACCTTTACTTAATATTCCCACCTACTTCTAAATATTCCCAAGTATTGTTAGCTTCTCAATCCCTTACTAATAAATATTCCAGGAATGGTTTACTTTATTTCCCAACTCCCATCTTCTTACCATGAAATGTAATTTTCATCAGAATGACGGTTGAATGTTGATGGTAGTTTATTTTGTTTCATCATCATTAAATCATAATTGTCATTTTCAAATCAAAATACTAATTTATTGTTTAGAATCTTCATAAGCTGATCAGATACCTTCTAACTCCTTCAGCAGCAGATAGACCAGATATATTCCAGGTATTAATCTTTACAAACACCTGAGCCAAGTTGATCCTTGTGATGGAATTTTGCCAAATATTAGAATCCTCGTGTGTAAATACATTTTTCATCTTGATTTCATTTTTATGTGTTCAGTGGTCGAATTTAAAGAATTTGAGCGGCGGTTTAAATTTAAGCCGAGTTTAAATATGGTTGGTTCCACTTAAAATTGTATCAAATGTTTCAAGATTTAAGCCGGCGCTTAATTTAAACTGGGTTTTGGCGGATTTAAACCGCGGCTCAAATTCTTTAAATTCCATCTCAGTACACTTTCTTAGAAAGACAAAAAAATTACAAGAGAAGCTTAAATATTAAAAATTTTCTTATCTCATTGCAATTTTCCGTTCAAATATTTCCTTGTATTCAGTTTTTTAAATCTTGAAAATATTATGGCTTCTTAAGATCAATGACTCATTTCTAGGTTATCAAATGTAACCTGTCCCGAACCTTATTTATATTTCAGGCTGCTAGTTTAGCTTTCCAGATTGCCGGGAAGAAATGTCCCATTCAGAATTTACATGTAAGTTAACTTAGAACATACTTTACAAGATTCCTCTTTTAGAATTAGAATTTATATAATACTAGCTGAAATGTCAGTGAAATTTAAAAAAGAAATCGACTATTCGAATATTTACTCCAAATAAATATATATATATATTTATATGAGCTGTGAGCTTTATTATATGGAAGATTTTCAAGTAAACGGGAAACGCATTTTTTTTTTGATAAGATCAGATAAGGAGTGCCCAGACCACTATCCGGGCTAACACCACTGAGCTAAATAAATGAGTTAAATGCTGTTTGAATTCAAGCACGCTCTAGATTCTAGACATATGATTATTTAATATAAAACTAAATGATTTCAGCATGTTCTGGTTCCTAGCGTCTCTAGTTTAACTTTAAACACTCCACCAGTCCAGAAATATGAAACAGACACACACAACAAGGACGCAGACAAACTCTCACCTCAGGTAACTGGAGGGTACATTGCGTTAAACTATTAAGACATTAAAATTACGTGTCAATTTGTCAAGTTATTAAATAAATGGGATGGTGGTGATGTCCTATTTGATGTATGGCTGCCTTCATTTTGGTTCAAATCTTCCAGTTTATTGGCTGCACGCCTAATTAGTGATTAGAAGATTTGAACCAAAAATGAAGGCAGGCCCCCCCCCCTCTACATTAAATAGGACATCTACACCAAAATTGTTTATAATTACTAATTATTCATGTTTAAAGTTACTGCCTGTCACCCCTGCTAAGGTTGGCGCCCTGCTCCCACAATCACCCTCCCACCAGGCTCTGGGGTCTGCTGTGCCCCTGGATACCAAAACATCTGTTGCCCCTAGATCCAGACCTAAAGGTATTCTATCCTGAAGTTAATCTTTACATTTGTAATTTCATTCATTTATGATTTATTGATTGATTTTGATTTATTAATGATTAATTATTGATTGATTTATGATTGATTAATTGATTGATGGTGAATGCATTGCTGATTGAGTGTTTGATGATTAGTTGATTGATGCTTTATTGATTGAACTATTTGTTGTTCCACTTGATAAAACTTAATTTGTTCCATGGATTGAAAGTGGTTTCACTTGATAAAACTTACTTGATGGAAAATTTTGATGTATTTTTAATCCAGGACATACTTCTGCTAAGGGACCCCTTCCACTTCCAATTCAGTCAGCTTCGCTTTCAGGTTTTTATTATTATATTATAAAAAGCATAAAAAAACTGTTTACGAAAAAATAGTTGACCCTAAGGTTTTTATCAATTTTACTATATACGCCTGAACCAAAAGGGCCCAAATTTTGTGTGGGACCTCACATGACCCCAGGGAAAGTTTATACATGATCAAAATTTCAAAATTTGGCCCCAGCAAAATTCGATTTTCATAAAATTAAAAAAATCCATGAATTTTTTTCTTATAAAATCCGCGAACTTTTTTTGTTTGTTTTTTACAATGTATATAAAGAGAAAATGTTCACAATTGTAATAGAAGATGGGCGCCCTAAAACCCTACTTTTATAAACTTTACTCGATCTCCTTTTTTACTTTTTGTAAGTTTGTGCTATAAAGCTTTTCAGTCTGTCAATGTTATCTTTTTCAACCACACTTACCTTTGGACAGTTCATTCATTTTTTTCATTTTTTATAAACTGTTCGAAACTTCCTTTTTCTCGGATATTCGATATATTTTTTCGCTTTATTATTGGAAATAAAGTTTTTAAAGGGGCAGCAAATAAATTTTTGGGGTAAAAAGCATCAAAAAGAGAGGAAAACTTTGACGTTTAATTTTTCCCAAAATAGTCATAACCCCCCTCCCCCCTGTGGAGCGGGATGGTAATTTTTAAATATCTATCTCTGTCTTCTAACTATTTTTTGAGCTGATTGTTAATATTCTAATATCTGATTAGGACGGAAAGGGGAGGATTCTCAACCCAAACCTCAGGTTCCAATCTCCGCAAACAAACCTCAGGTTTCTGTCTCCGCAACCAAACCTTCTAATCCGTTCCCAATAAAGGATGTAAACTCTAGGAATATATTCATCTCTTTCAAAACTCGATATTAATCTACAGTTACCCAGTTGACCCAGATTTCCATATTTGTTGTTAATTACTAGCAGAAGTTCCCGGCGTCGCAGTCTTGACCGTTGTATATTAAAAATCCACAATTACTCAACAGAAAACTACTTTTTGGAGACGAAACGGTAATATTAGGGATAAGCCTTTCATTCAATGCCAGAGAGAAAATTTTTTTGAGGTTCTCTTCCCGCTAACTGTAGCATTCTTACAACATGTATAGTCCGACGCGATACGATATTTTTTTATATTAGATTAAACACAGATTGATTTACTCGTTCATTTGTATTTGATCGATCGATTAAATAATATATAAAAGCATTTACTCAAATCAAACTCAAATAATTGAAAACGTCATTGACGGTTTTACGAAGAAATAAACTACCCCTAGAACTGTGACTTAATCCTNTCTCTGCACCCGGTGCGCTTACATCCAGGGTTCAAAATAAAATATGTCCTAGGGGAAGTACTGATGGGTTTGACTTGTCTGGGGACCAGAATACCCCAGCAGTACTCTTTTAATAAATAATTAAAATATTCTACCCCCTGGCCATTCTTCCCTGTTCTATAAGACAAGAGATTTGTTTTATCAGGGTTGAAAACTCAGATTATCCTTCAACAAATCCATTCGTTTCAGACGTTTTTCAGGTACCCTAATATCAGTCTTATTTCTTCGATTCGATCTTTATTCATTGAATTGTAAAAAAAATGACTTCTAGGGAAATAAATTTTTGGGATAAAAGTATGAAAAAGGATGAAGAAAAAAGCTTGATTTTTCATGTCCCATTATTTTTTTCCCTTAGATTTTAAAAATATACACCCTCTCTTTTTCCTCTCCTTTTTTGATCTTGTTTTTTGTAAGCATTTATTTCTTTTAAAATATTCTAGGAATTTTGAGCATTTTTGATATTTAATTGCCATTACGTAAGTGCAGGTTATAATTTTAAAATTTGAAGTAAACCATTTACATTTCCTAGGATCCAGCTGGTAGTGGGCCGGTTAGTCTGTGCAATTTACCCTCTGATACAGTTACTAAGGTACAGATTACTCACGACATAGTTGTACATTGAACACTGTACAATTTGCTTAGTACACAAAACACATATACTTAAAGGAACTGTGAACGTAAGTTCAATGAAGCCTTCGTTTGTATAGTTACATGCCCGATTCACAACGGTTTCATTTAAACCAATGTCAAAGCAAATGTGAATAAGTTGAGAATTAATAATTTTTATTTGCTCTTGACTTTACAAGTAACTTAGGATTTGTTCAACAGAAACCAGGAACTTGAAGGAAAATTCCAGAATTTATTTATTTTTAAAGTGCCAAAAGTTAATACTGTGAACCACGTATGCAACCCCCCTTAAATGGAGGGGCACTTAAAAAATAGTTGACAGTCACTCTAAAAGACTTTTAACTTTATTTTTGTTTTTATTTCAGAGCTCTGAAATTGCTAAACCTAGGCTGGGACATCGTCGAAATACTTCAGATACGCAAACATTTCAAAAGTAAATATTTTTATTTTCATTCGTACAAGATGTTTGGAGAAAGTTTTTTCTTGAATAGATCATTTTGAAACAGTTTATAGATTACCAAGCTGAAGAAGGGGTCTTGTCCGGGGTAATTTAAAATTGATTTGGGGAAAAGACGACGACTAATAATTAATTAATTATTAATAATAATAATTAATAATAATTAATATGTTTGTTCAATTATATAGCTTTTTTTTCTGATAATAAAATTTTTTTAGTAATCCGTTTCTATCAGTTAACCCTGATCCTACCCCAGGACCTCAGACCCTTGGGAACAGGTATCATAATTTTTATTCATCTCACTGTGAGTCGATTTGCAGGGATCCATATTTTCTCAAACACCCTCCTACTTCTTCTAACACTAAAAAAGGTTTTAATCGAAATTGCAAGATCTTTTTTTGAAAGATGGCAATTTGGTGTTGAAGTTAGGAAAGTTTTAAGAAATATTGATAAGCTGGATCCGGATCCATTTTTCTACATGACAGATCTAGGATCCGGGTACACTTCAATACATGACAGATCTAGGATCCGGATCCATTTTCTACATGACAGATCTAGATTCCGGGTACACTTCAATACATGACAGATCTAGTCTCCGTATTAATTTTCTACATGACAGATCTAGGATCTGGGTCCATTTTTCTACATGACAAATCTAGGATACGGATCTACTGTTCTACCTGACAGACTTAAAATCTGGTTTCATTGTTTTACAGGACCTATCTAGGATCCGGATCCTCATCAAAATGAAATGGATCCTGGTTTAAGTATTGAATTTCCGATTTCCATTGCATCTATTATTTGACACAGCTGGTCCCAGCTCTACTTGTTTCAGGGTTAAAGGTTGGAATCCGTTTGAAGATTCAGTCAACTTCGGGGCCATGTCTGAGGATGTTATTTTTGGTGAGTTGAATTTTGTCGTTTCCTACACGTATAACAGAGATGTGAAACTAGCTTGCTAGCTGATAATTTAAAAAATCGAATCTGATTCTTTTAAACGAACATTATTTTTACAAATTAAACTTTTAGGAGAACCCGGTGGGAAAGGGGCGAAAACAAAAAAGGTTATTTAATGTGTTCAGTAGGGTAGGAGTTGGTAACGGTGAAGGTTCAACAAATTTAACCTGCTTGCTTGATATTTTAGAGGAAAAATAAGATTGGGAATCAGAGAGTTATTAAATTTTATCGGACTTTGATTATCAAAAGGGTTGAATTCGCAGGTTTTAACAAAAAAAACCTTTTCTCATCCAATGCCATTTTGAAAAAAATTCCCTCTACGACAATCAACTAGTTCCCAGATTGGATAACTTAATCGACCTGGGGCCGGGTTGGAAAAAGAATTTGTCTTACGGCTTGAAAGGTTATCAATGTCATTTAAATACAATCCTCCTCCTACATTCTACAACCCCCCGAATAATATTTCCAGTGAATTTTAAGACAAACTGAAAGTTGGTTGGGGTTTTTTAATAGGAATTGAGTTTTTGCCACAACCTCAAATTTTCTAATTTCTATATCTCTGCAACCAGTGGGTATAGACCTTTGATATTTCAAACTTAGATTATTTGATCTAACAAAATTAATAGTTTGAAATTTCTAAGGTTTACGACATTGGGTTGCCAAGATATAGGGATGAAAATATTTGAGTTTGTGGCAAAAACTCAGTTTCTTTGCGTTATGAAAATGTGTAGTTTCTGTTAACATATTTTCCAAGTGAAAGACTGAATATTATTTTCTCTTTGATTCGAACTCAATTTATATAAACTAAATTCAGAGAAATAGCAGTAATTTAATTGCATGTGTATTATTATTAACTAATCGTGGCAATTAGAAAACCTTAAAGGCATGTCTGAAAAAAAGGTGTAGCTGTTAATAGAATGTAAAAGGGAGTATGCGCCATGAATGATTGGTGGTATTTGATGAACCGTTAGGATTTGTAAGTTGTGAGCTGTTCGATGCTTACAACTATCACCAAAAGATCACTGAATATTACTGTTCATATTTTAATTTAACATTATTAGCTTTGAATGTATAGTTTCTGGAAATATTAAATCAAGATGTAGCATGTTTATTAAACTTTTAAGGTTAACTTATGAATATTTTTACCCCTGTTGTATTGTATCTGTAGAACTAGAATCTTCTCAGATCCTCTTTTCAGCTTCAGTGTCTTGAATTATGATCCATCTAACTAGAGACTGACTCTAAATAATTAACCGGAGGCAGAATTTAAAGAATTTTAACCGCCTCCCTGAACCGCCAAAAACCGCAACAGAGAGAAGTTAAATTAGTACCGATCAATAAGTACCGATCGATATCGATTTCAATTCGGGATCAGCCCTTTACCCCCTTTAATTTTCGCGAACACTCCCTTTAAGTCTTGATTAAAAGAATTACACGCTATTGATTCTTTGTTGAAAGTATAAAGAATACTTATAGAAATTGTTAATATGACACCTACATCCAAACCCTAAGTTTTCACGTTAAACAACGTTAGTATTATTGTCAAATTTAAAATGAGAAGGATATGCGTTTTGAAAAAATTACTGTTGTGTAATTATTTAGTTTTTGATCCCGCTGTAATAAGATCATGACAGGTGTTATTATTTTACTAGGGACCCTAAGTGCTTACTTACTAATTTATAGCAGACAAGGACCGAATGCTTTGTTTTTGATCCAGTGCTAGGAACTCAATCATGTTGGTCTGGTTGGTTGGCACATAATTTAAATAATTTAATTGTTTTTTGTATAATAATTTTTTATTTGTTCTGCTAGATTCAAATTTGGTGCGAAGTTTATCTTCATTTCTCTCTCATTTATTGATTTTCAGTGAATATTATATTCGTGAAAACTACGTAACCTGATTGACTCAGTATATTGCGTTTACTACACTGATTCAAGATTTGGGTTTGCATGCTATTGCTAAATGTTTCTAAATCCTCGTTAGTTTTATTTTCTATAAATTTACCATGTAGCTTCTTAAGAACAATTTATAAATAGATATCAGAATCCATGGTATTGGTCATCAAATATTTTCTCCGTAAAATTTACAACTTACCCTCTTCTGATAGTTTTTCCTTTTGGAAAGGAATCTATACATATAGAACTCTGGATTTGTTTATTTATACAACTTTTTAACAAACAAAAAAGCCCACTTAAGTCCTTGAACTCCGTAACATTAATGATATTAAGTACATAAATTCACTACTAATTTGATTTTTAAACTTTTTTTTGCAGGGAAAGAATTCGACAGAATGAAAGGCGGAAACGGCGATGATCTCTCCGCCAGCAGTCGCCGAGATCCTTTTGGCAGCGCGCCTTTTACCCAGTCATAGAATTACTAAGAATATTTAAAACCTTGTCACTAGTTTATGCTCTTATTTAAATAGAACGTATATATTGAAAATGTGCATCTGTTAAACGGCCTAACATTCCTAGGAGTTAGGATCTACAGTAAAAACAGGAGGTTAAAAGTTAGTTTATGTAATCATAATATTCCTTATATATTGATAGAAATTTAGACTAGTTCATTGTTTTTTGTCAACAAACGTTCAGCTAAGATAGTTAAATGTGCTGCTAAAATTTCTACCTGGTTAGATTAATTCCTTAAATCTGTTTCAGTTTAAAATTTAGTGCTCCAAATATTGTATTTAAACAGTAGGCTTATGTTAAGCTTAACATGATTAATATACAATTGGCAATTTGTTAAATAATATCTTTACTTTCAAATCATATTTTTACACGTTTAAGAAAATAAGATTATATGGATAAAGGCTAAAACAAACCTTGATCAGCAATTCGGCCTTTGTTTTAAATTTTTAACACGATTTAATAGACAATTAAAGATTTAGAATTAGGTTTTGAATGTCCCTGGGTTGTTCTCTCTACAAAGGATACATAAATATCGTTTTATCTCGTAAACCAACAAGACGAAAACTTTTCTTTCAGTTGCGAGAAGAATCCATAAGCTGACCCGGAATTATAAACCTTGCCATTATTACTTTAGGTATCTGGTTTCCATCGTGAGCTTTTCATCAGCATTTTTTCTAAATTAACATTTTCTAAAATTGTAACTATGATACAACAAAACTCGAATTTTGCATTGTTACATTGTTAAACCTGCATTTTCACAAATATTTTATTTTGAAGAAAAACACATTTTAAAGATTTAAGGGGATGAAGGAGCTGCGATGGAGAACCATCCAGCTAGAAATAAAGGACATAATTCCGGGTCACAACAAAATCCCAAGTTGCCGCAGGGTTTTGGAATTTCCTTCTTGTTTAAAACATATGAACAAATTATAAATATTAATTTTATATGTACAATGTACATGTTCATGGTTAGTGCGTAGTACACCAGTATCGATATTATTAACTTGGTAAATTCGCAGAATTATTTTATTTTTTATCTTTCAATGTTTCATTTTGTTCCTGTTTATTTGCATTTTACATTGTCCCGAAAAAACTTAACGACACCATGAAGTAAAACCGGTTTATTCTGTACTTGATACTTATCTGAAGGGAATATGTCAACATAACTTCAAGTGATCTTTTATTCTAACAGTTTCCTGTCCGATTAACAAAAGGTACTCGTTAAACTTTCATCGGAGGGTCATTATTTTTATTATTTTTGTTAATAGTTTCAATTTCTTTCCTTTTCTCTGCTGATATTCCGTAAGTCACTTGAAATTACATTGATAGTTCTTGTATTAATCCCACATTATTTTATTTTCAATTTGTTAATTTTATTTTGCCAAATAGTGAATTTAATACTTTTTATTTAAATTTTAGAAGAAAGTTATGTTCAAAAGCTGATTAGCATTTAGATTATTAAATAATTCACTAGCTTGTGTAAACCCTGTAAAACCGGTTTTTATTTACCCTGTAGTCTGAAGAACCAGTTCTAGTGTTTACCAACATGTGATAATGTAACTTTCTGCATATTAATATCAAAATATTTTATTTATATAATGAATTATATTTAAACATAAATTCAATAAAGCTTCCAAAATTAATTAGTAATTTCTGAATGGGTTGAATGAAATTTTGCGTTATGATGATTTCCAATTTATGATTTTTGTTTATCTATTCGATTGTGTTCTCCAGCTCCTCCAGCTTACGTGGTTTATGGGTTTTATTAAAAATCATTGAGATACAGGGTGTCCCATTAAAGATGACGGTTTGTAAATAGTTTTGAGTCGTCTTCTATACACTGTATGAGATATTAAAGGTTTTTAGAAGAATTTTATTTAGTTAAAAATCTTTTGCGCTAATATATTTTACTTTGAAAAAATTTTACTATTATATAATTCCTTACCAATATTTTTATTATTGTCTTTCCTATTAAACAACTTAAAATATTCTGGAAGACGACATTCTAAACTATTTACCAACTATCATGTTTTGTGGGACACCTTGTATCAGAAAGATGGGAAAACTTCTGTTTAAACTACAGTCTTAATTTTTCTTTAAATATAGTTTAAAATATTTTCATCGACTTTATTTACAAGAATGAAACTTCAGATACTACTTAATAGATTTTATCAGCCTTATATTTCTTTAAATTATTGTTTACTTTCCTAATAAGTATATAAATTGATATTGTATTTACTACCGTTGTTACTGTCAGCCCAGGGGAGGAACAACAATTTCTGGTCCGACTCCGAGCCACAGTCTCCTCTTTTTCTAGTCCAACTTAACTTCAAATCTGCGTACCTTTAAAAGACACCAATTCTTGATGACAAAACATTTTTTAATCATGCCCACGTTAAAGCATAAATAAAGAACTGAATGCTGTAAGTCTAAATAAATATTTTCAATTAAATCAAAGTTTTGCAGTTCTGTCCCTTAACTTTTTTCACGCATCTTCATATATTACCGGGTTACAAAATATTCCGAGTTTATAGAACTTCGCATTTTTTAGTTTATTAAATTCTTTAGAAATTTTCCGATGTCAAATTAGAAAAACGAAACATATAGAAATATTTTGCTATTTATTTTAGATCTTGAAGATCAGCCACTACGTAGGAAAGTTTGACATCAATATCGTGGATTCGAAGTTTCCAACATGATATAATCATTTCTAAAAAGAGTTCTATCTTGAAGGATTGAATGCTTAAAAGCTTTAATATAAGGACTAGGATTTCGAGGTGGCTCGGAAGAGAAAATGAGGAAAATGTGGCTCTGAAGAGAAAATGAGGAGAATGTGGCTCGGAAGAGAAAATGAGGAGAATGTGGCTGAGACGAGAAATTGTTATTACTGGCCTTCCTGCCCTCGTAAACCATGTTGTAGGCAATCTTATAGCTATATTATTGTAATCCAAGCATAGATGAGCCTCCTGGACAATTATTCCTGTAGCATACGCTCCTGAATCTAAGCTACCAAGAATATGTGAAAAACTTGGCATAGCAAGTCATCCAAGAAAAAGAGGTTTGTCTGAAAATTGTTAAAAGTTAAATATTAACTCGAGTTTTTTGACCATTTTTTAATATTTCCCCTCTGGGGTAAGGAAGATAAAATCAATACTAAGCTTTCCTATTACATCTATCTCTCTATCTTTACTCCGTTACAGGGCTTAAAACCAGCTGGTTCTGTGAGGTCTGTGAGGGGGTCTAGAGATATATACGTCCTTAAAGAGATTGTATACTTAACTTAAAGTGAATCTCCATTTATATTGGCATATCAGATTCACAATGGTACCCTTTAAACTATTTTCTTATCAAGAATGATGAAGTAATTTTTGATATCCTATCTTAAAATTGCTTACTTTCATTTGCGGCTCCTGATGAATGTAACTCACAAATTGATGCGGTAGGAGAAAATGAAGGAAATAAAGAGAAATTGAATCTTTTCAATACAGAAAACCTCCCAGTAATAAATTTTATAATGGGCTTTAGGGTACCGATGTAAATAGACCATGAATTGAGAGACACTTAAAAGATAAAGAAATTATCAAGTAAGTTGATTCAAAAGTTAAAATAGATACATTGTTTCAAGTTTTAGAAATCTTACATTCTCAATATTGCCATTAACTTCACACACTGTAGACAAGATGTCAGGATTCGAGGACGATTTCGGAGAGATGGTTGAATCCAAGGATGAAGACTTACTCCAGGTACTTAGATACATAGATCATATGGACTCCAGGTATTCAAACTTAATGTAAATTCATTGAGGATTTGAGATACTGGATTACCTGTAAAGGATGAGTATTATGATTTGCAAAAGTATAAAAAAATTTAATTTTGTGACTAAATCAAGGCTAACGATTTCCATTTAAAGCAATTTCAGTACTGGGTTACCCACAAAGGATGAGACTGTGAAGACGACCTGAAATTCACATATAATATTCACATGGTTAAATTTTGATAATCTTTTAATGGTTTATTTAATGATTTGCCACAGAAAGAACAAGTATACATTTTGTAGAGTTGTCTCATCCTTTGTGGGTAACTCTGTAGTTGATGGGAATTGGGTAGAGTCCTGCAGTTATTTAGAAAAATTTGTCTGTTTTGTACCTTAAAATTTACAAATCTCTCCCAACTTGATAGTTTTACGGTCAAAGAATGTTTATTACATTTTGGAAGGTTACTACATTATCTTTGGTTCTGCTATTTTTTAGATGATTTAATTTTCTAACTTAAACATTATGGTTTTATTGCTCAGGGTGAGGTTGAGGTTGAGGAGGATCCTGCTGCTGAGTTCCTCTCACGGGAGCAGCAGCAGCTCGGAGAAATAGATCAGGAACTAGGAGCAGCTTTCTCAAGTAGGTTTATAAACATATAGGACTAGGAGCAGCTTTCTCAAGTAGGTTCTGAAATATATATGACTAGGAGCAGCTTTCTTAAGTAGATTCATAAATATATAGGACTAGCATCAGCTTTCTCAAGTAGATTCATAAACATATAGGACCAGGAGCAGCTTTCTCAAATAGGTTTAAAAACATATAGCACTAGGAGCAGCTTTCTTAAGTGGGTTCATAAACATAAAGAATTATTATACCGCTTTCTCAAGTAGGTTCATAAACGAAAAGAATTACGAGCAGCTTTCTTAAGTAGCTTCATAGATATATATGACTCGGAGCTGCCTTTTCAAGTAGGGTTATAGACATAAATGACGGAGCAGCTTTCTCGAGTAAGTTTATAAACATAAACTTTCTCAAGTAGGTTTATAGAAATATAGGAATATGAACAGCTTTCTCAAGTAGGTTCATAAAAATATAGGAATATGAACAGGTTTCTCAAGTAGGTTTATAAAAATATAGGATGATGAACAGCTTTCTCGAGTAGGTTCATAAAAATATATGAATATGAACAGCTTTCTCAAGTAGGTTAAAAAAAATATAGGAATATGAACAGCTTTCTCAAGTAGGTTCATAAAAATATAGGAATATGAACAGCTTTCTCAAGTAGGTTTATAAGAATATAGGAATATGAACAGATTTCTCAAGTAGATCTATAAAAATACCTAATTTCGTAAAGCATGGTTGATCATCAAAATGTGGAAAATCATATGAAGAGCAGTTTCAAAGCAAATCTTTAGTATTTAGATAGAACAGGCATTTCTCAAGCTTAATTCCTTTCTTTTTCAGCAAGCACCATTGCTGTTTATGGTTCAAGGCCTGCTTCCACAGAGCAAGCAGAAACTGTTTCTCCTGTTCAATCTAAACCCGTGAAACAGGAACCAGCTGTTCTCAGGTATATTTTAGCATTAAACGAGGTACCTAATTCAATTTTAACGGCGTTACAACGATTGAAAAAGTCGTAGATATTCAAATTTTAGATTAAAAATTAAAAAAGAAATAAACAATTTACTCTACTTTTGCTCCCTCAATGACATCATAGTTGATTGCTCCTATCTAAAGTCAAATTCTCTTTTTTATTCCCTAAAAAACTGGATTTTGTTCTTATTAAGGGAATGGAGAGAACAGCAGATGATTCGATTAAAGACGAAGGATGAAGAAGAAGAGAATGATAGAGAGGAGCTTAAACAACAAGCAGCTAAGGTAGAATAAAGGATAAATATTAAAACATGAATGCAGGATGAAGAATGAAGGATAAGGAATTAGAGATAAAGGATGAAGGATGAATGATTAAAGACGAAGGATGAAGAAGAACAGAAGGATAGAGAGGATCTTAAAAAAACAAACTGCTAAGGTAGAATAAAGGATAAATGTTAAAACATGAATGCAGGATGAAGAGTGAAGGGTAAAGATTAAAGATAAAGGATGAAGGATAAAGGATGAAAAAGAAGAGAAGGATAGAGAGGAGCTCAAACAGCAAGCTGCATGCTACTAGGTAGGATAATGAATAAATGTTAAAGGATTAAAGATAAAGGATGAAGGATTACGGATTAAAGACGAAAGATAAAAAAGAAGAGAAGGATAAAAAGGAGCTCAAACAGCAAGCTGCATGCTACTAGGTAGGATAATGGATAAAGGATAAAGAATTAAAAATAAAGGATGAAGGAATAAGGATTTAAGAAGAAGGATGAAGAAGGAGAGAAGGATAGAGAAGAGCTTAAACAACAAGCTGCTATGGTAAGAGAAAGGAGGAAGGATGAAAGATGAAGGACTAAAGATTAAGGATTAAAGATGAAGGATTAAGGATAAAGAATTAAGGATAAATATAAAAGATAAAGGATAAATGTTAAAAGATAAAGGTCGGATTAAGGATAATGGATAAGGATGAAGGATAAAGAATAAAGGATAAATGTTGAAAGATGGAGGTTGCATTAAGTATAAAGGTTGAAAGATGAAGTTTGGATAAAGGATAAAGGTTAAAGGTTAAAGGATAAAGGTTAAAGGATAAATGTTGGATTAAATTGTGATTGCTTATTTGTAATATCTCATGCTTTGTAAATATATGAATGAAAATTAATATGAATGAATGATAAAGGATAAAGGAGAAAGGATACAATATTAATGATAAAGGATAAAGGAGAAAGGATACAATATTAATGATAAAGACGAGAAGTAAAGCAAGTTGCCCAAAAAACAGGCTATTGAGCAAGATAAAGGATGAAAGATAGCAGATGAAGGATGAAGATAAAGTTAAAGGATATGAGTAAAGCTGAAGAATGAAAGATATATTAAAGCAGAAATCTTTGTTTTAAAGAAAATCTTTAATTTCCATCTAATTTCCTAATGTTTGATTTAGGAGCTGGAGGATTGGTATAAAGTGCACCAAGAAACTTTAGAGAAGACTAGAGCAGCCAACAGGTTAAACAAAATGAAGAAGTTTAGAGGAGTAAATAATGGGATTTTCCGAGCTAAGCAAATTATATTTAAATTTTTCCCCTGAAAGATAGAAGCTATATCTTTATAAAGTTCTATATATTCTATACTGTATAGGGAAGCAAGACTAATTAAGTAGATAGAAGCTATATCTCTGCAATAGAATGTTTATAATAAGTTCTATATATTCTATACTGTAGGGAAGCAAGACTAAGTATAGATAGAAGCTATATCTCTACAATAGAAACTCTTGAGCCTGGAACCGAATGGGAAAGGTAGAAACATTTTATTTTAATTCAGAAAATATCAAGTTGGAAAATATCGACAGAAGATGATTCACTGAAAATTTGTGAAAAAAATTGATAAAAATATTAAACTTATAAATTGCGGTTTAATTTGAAACTTTGCAGGATCCTAAATTGTTTTAATTGTAAATCATTGAAAACATTTTTATTATAGAGTCTCAACCCTGTGTGATTTTAATCAGAAAACCAGCAAAAATATCAAGGTGATATTAATTTCACTGAATACTACATACTCAAACTAAAACACTGAACACTGAACCAGGAACTAGTAAACAATTAAACCTTGAATATTTATTTTTGAACAGTGAACAACGAACATTAAATACTGAACATTGAACCAGTAAACAATTAAACCTTGAACACTGATTTTTGAACAGTGAACAACAGACATTAAATACTGAACACTAAACACTAAATACTGAACATTGAGACATTATACTTAACACTGAACACTGAACAATGAAGAGTTATCACAAGAGTTTTATATTGAACAGTGAACACTGAACAACAAAAAATCTGTGATGAATCTTTTTAAAGAAAACACACATACGAGTTTTAAACTTTAAAAAACTTTGATTATCAGCTGTAGCTCTGATGATCAGCTGTAGCTCTGATTATCAGCTGTAGCTCTGATTATCAGCTGTAGCTCTGATTATCAGCTGTAGCTCTGATTATCAGCTGTAGCTCTGATTATCAGCTTTCTCTGACTTTAGGATGTTTCTCGAATGAGATCTATTATTCTACAGCTCAAGCAGAATTCACCAGCAACAGCTGCAGCAACAACAGCAACAGCATAGGGGCCAACAGATGTGTTTAAAGCAACTGCAGCAGTTATTTATTAACAATATTTTATAACTACAGTATTCAACAACAGCTGTGGGTGTCTAAACATTGTTTAACAGTTAAGATAAATCATTTCTGTTTTACTTAATACCAGATTTTAGTCTATGTGAGCTGGGAACTCTTGTATTGTGGATATCGAGATCATTACATGATCTCGATCTTCTGTTAATCTGCAGATTAAATTAATCTTTATTTATATCTGCAGTGTAATTGAATCTCGAAATGATAACTGATATAAAGGGATTAAGCATTGATCCTTAAATTAACAGTACCCACACTGGATATCGGAATCAAAGGATCGAGATTATGAGTGTCCATTACAAAAGTTCCCAGCTAGGAACGTATTAAAAAAAATCTGTTTCTCGACATCATACACTGCAAACAATAAAGCTGAGCTGCGACGGATTTACATTGTGAATCTTTAATTACAAATTAACGACATCAGTATTCAATAACTGTCTTTTTACTGTTTAACAGTTAAATTAAACAGCTTCTAATTATTTCCAACATCTGCACAGCTGTTCACGAAGCTTGGCAATTTGTTAAAAAGTGATGTCCTCATTTTGTCCAATTTGAAATTAGTCTTTCCCACAAACTTAAAGTTTCAAATCTCTATAGTTTTGCAACCTGATGGAATAAACCTTTAATATATCAAACTCAGATTATTTGATCTAGGTATAAGCAAATCAGAGTTTATGGCAAAGACTCAATTCCATTCCAAAGAAAATTCAAAGTTTTTTATTTTTTTTATTTGTTCTAATATAAATTTTTTTACCAGCTTCAGTATTTGATTAAGAATTTTTCATACTCTTTCAATTTACCCGAGTTTAATAAGAACTTTGATTTGTACAAAACCAAATAATGTAAGTGATCTTTTTCCATGTTACATACAGGTTAAGGTGGGTATCTGTTGTACATTGTAACTTAACAATAAATACAATTTTACGTTTCTCGTCTTGTCTTTTACTATACTGGATATTTTCTTTTTGTTTTAATATATTTAGAACGAATAACATTAAAGATTACAATGAAATGAAGTTTTAAGCTTAAAAAAGTTGTCTAAAATGTAAGCGTACTAAAATCCACGAAATAACAAACCAATGAAACTCATGAAACATTCCAATGAATCCCCTGATGTACACTATGTAGTCTGCACCCTGCGGCCTGCAGACAATGTTGATTACTGAAATATTCTGAAAATACATTAGTTGTCATTAGTTTTACAGTTTTTAACATCTCCAGAATCTCGTTTATATTATGTAAATTATTATTTAGTATTTCTGAAAATTTTTTATTACAAGATGTTTTGAATTGTTAGTCAACATTTTGAAATACATTTCAGTTTACTATTATAAGTTATTTCAATTTTCTTCTTCTCAATAACAAGAAATAACGAAAAAGTTTTGCTAAAAAAATTAGGGGTATTAGTCCCAGCCCTGTAATTTTTTTTAAAGTTCACTTTATCCATACCAGATTATTTTTCAGATCTAATGTTAATAAGATCTTTGTTGTAAAATATATCGGCTTCGTTCGTCACACATCCACCAGAGTCTGTTTTAGATCCTGTAAGAGCGATCAGAAGAAAAGAGAGATTGAGTATTTAATGTAGGAAGGAGTTTTGAGGATTTTTCAGGTTTTGATTTATATTTGAGATCCATAATCAATGTCGTCCTTTGGGTCCTATGTCAGAGACTTTGGGACAAATTTAACCCAGATTGGGACAGATTGAACCCTTGCTAATGTGGTTTGAACAATTTGCAATATTTCCGACTATTTTTGGGGTCTTGGTGGTCTTTTCCTGCCCGGACATGTCGTAATCCTTCAAATATTCATTTTTCCCTTCTTAACCTCATTTAACCACCATTACAGGTTGTAAAATCGTTTTAAAATGCGTTCTGGATCATGTATAAGGGTTCTGCTTGGTTTTTGTATAGCCTAGTAAAAGCATTGTTTGGTAACCGAGCCTTCAAAGTGACCTTTTTCTCTGGTTAATATTCTAGATATTCCTACAAGAAGCTAATCCACCTTCAGGAAAACGCTCCTTACAGTTACGTCACAACAAGTGAACAATCTGCTTGACGCCAACCTGGCCAAAAATATATCCCGTATAGAAATACTGAACTTAAACAAAATTTGAGCCGACAATTCTAGAAGTAGTACCCTACAAAAATATCAGCGAAACTTATTGACCACACCTCATATGTAAAGTTAATCAACATGAAAATATTAATTGACCATGACTATTTTCTTTTCTACCCGATGTTTCTGAGAGTTTTGTGAGATTGTATGTACATTGTACAGGAACTGCGGTCCCTAGATTAATCCGTAGAATTGGCTTACACATTACACTACAGCGTTAGTCATCATTAATGCCTACAGATATTAAAAATTTACCATTTCATCCTTTGTATATGCTCCAGAAAATGCAGAAACTACATTATCCTTTTGATAAAATCATTCATAAAATTGGCTTAAAAATATACTTAGCTCTGTTCTATATATAATACCCAGTACTGGCACTACAAAACAATAAAGAAAAGGGTTGAAAAGAAGATATTTATTTACAGTTTTCATGAATCAATATTTAAACCTAAAATACACGACTAAGAGTAAGAAGAGTAGTTCAGCTGTTTTGTACTTGAGAAATATCTACACACTTCTACTACATGTATATTGTATATCTAGCGTACAGCATAAAACTGAACACTAAACAAGTCTGTACATATGTACACAATATTGGAGACAATGATGCACTTAAACTAATTTTAACAAAACAATAATAATGTCAGATAATAATTTATCTTAAAATGTTTCTTATCTCTCCAATAAAAAGAAGCGTCACAATATATACTTGGTTGTATCCTGCCTGAAGGTGATCTTTCTTGAGAAACAATTCATTTTTCCGCTCCACAATAAGTAGGGTAAAATTAAATATGAAAAATATGGAATAAACGCACTATTGACATATGAGCAATTAAGTGTATGAGGGAAAGATTGCACAGGTGCTAAACATGAAATATGTGAAAATATGGAAGATGTTCCTTTAAATAAAAAGAGATGAATAGAGGCAGTTTTACAATTCGTCTGAGAACAGGTACAGTTGTTATCATCTTGTTATCCACAGATGTTGATAAATAATATCCAGGTTGATGTGATGAGGAGAGGAGTTTAGTAAACCAGGGGGATAATGTTGGATTTAACCTTCTCAGAATAGGAGTTCCAGGCAGCTCCATACTTCCTACATATAAATCAAATAAATAATCATTGTTACAATGTTCTTTGTTTGTTGTCTAGTACGCATACAAACATACAGGGTTATTTAATAATACCACAAAAAACCTTAATGACGACCTGAGTCTCTTAAAATACAAGCCTTTACAGCAGTGCTTAGGATCCGGATCCATTGGATCCGCAAGATTTTGGCTTCCTGGATCCGGATCCAAGGGGTAAAATATCAACCAAAAACTGCAAAAAACTTTTTTACTCCTAAAACCCAAATCTGAACTTTTGAAAAAAAGAGAGATTATAAAACTTTCATTAAGTTTCAGGATAAAAATAAGCGAAAAAAATAAAACAAAAAAATTTAAAAATTATTTTTTGTTAAAAAAATTTAGTAAATCTTAAAGAAATGACCTGGATCCGGATCCATTTTTTTCCAGTGCGGATCCAGGATCCGGATCCGGATCCAATTCAAAATTAAGTGGATCATAAGCACTGCTTTACAGAGTAAATATGAGTTTTTTCTTTATATATTGGGATTTAAATCTAAACTACAAGAGTAAATCATGCTTTCATTTCTTCATGGAATCTGTATTCTGTACAGTCGTCTATGAAGCATCATTCTTTGTGAGAAACACTGAATCCCTGGTAACCGTCATAATATGAGCAGAAATTATTCAGATATTAAACCCAAACAAGTTTATCCCTTGAGCTATTCACTTGAAAATCAAAGCCAAGGGCGTTAAAAGGGCATACAACCGTGGTGGTAACCTAGTATAGAATTTACTAACTATCCTTTTCTGAGTTTGACGTTGGATGTAAATGTTGACAAAATGAAAATATGTTATGATTCTAATGTGCTAAATCAGTATCTAAGATTCTAATTTCTATGCTTTGTGAAAATTAATCCTCCAAGAAATTATATGAAAGTGCGTTTATGGAATTAATGGAACAGTCACGCTAATAATTGCTAGTAAGCAAGAAGTAATCTATATAATAAAACAAGACATTTATATATATGTTGCCTAAAGACGGCCAAACGGCAGAACAGAATGGGCTGAAATTTGTTATAGACTAAAAAAATCGTTTTTATTTTATTTTTAATCTTTTTATTTTTTGTTTTCACGGGCAACGTCCCTTTTGCTAGTATAATTATAATTCAAGAACTATTGAGTTTAATGTATGTTTAAGCCTACTAAGTACTACTACAATATAATATAGCCTATGGGTATGGAAAGTAACCTGGGATAATTACTGAGTGCAAAGGAAGCACTATTAGCGCTTACTAAACCTATTTTTAAGTAATTATATTTATTATTTCCTCTCTAATGAATTCCTAAAACTACACAGGAGGTCAAGCTTAACCTTGCACTAAACATCTTAAATAAAATATAGTTTCTATTGGATTATTGGAGGAGTTCGGTTCCTCACCAGAAAACAGTCCAAATCTTTCAGAGAAATAAAGTAAATTTTACGTTATATTGAAATTTTGTATGATTTCAATCATTTTCTATTAAAGACTGAAGAACTAAACTGTTTTGGATTCCAATGTTTAAACTAGTAAACTTGCAACTTGCTATTTTGATACATGTGCCGCGTGCGTAAAATCAACTACAAGGTCAGAAAGTCGTACCAGTAATGTTGCATAAATTTGACTTTCTTCTTGGGGGAGGGGGGGGGGGGATAAATACCCGGTTCATAATACAAATATACTTATATAAACGCCATTACAATTGTTAAAGCTCAAAAATATAGTTTTTCCCCGTAAAACATTTTTATAATAGATTATGTATTACCTTTTATTCCTCTGATTGATCTGATGAGTTCTAACAACTAGCATTAGGGTTGTCATCACCGGTAGATAATAGGGAACCAGAGCATTCAATCCTAGGGAACCAACTAAATATTGTTCAAGGTTAACTAAGTTTAATGCGTATACAGGAATACCCTCAAAGGATAAGACTGTAAAGACAACCCTGAAAGCTCTAAAAATATTACGATTTGAAGCTTTATTTTTGGTTTCTGCACTTTGATCGTATACTAAATGGTCAAGAACAGAAATATGCCAGTTTTGGCCTACACGGAAACCTGAATTTAAGAAAACGGACTGAAGAAATTCCGTACAATCGTCTCTGAGGTCTCATCCTTTGTGGGTAACCCTGTATATATATTTATAGTTTATTCAAATCAGTTGTTATATATTAGATATAATTACGCAATTTAGTCATTCCTTGACCAATCCAATATACTAGTTTTAAAAAAGATTAAGAATAATCATTTTATCCGTTTTGATGTTTTTGAATAAGATATCAACATAATATAATATAAATACCTGCTGGTAGAACCCAGGACCAGGATATAAGAATCTCTCCAAGATAATTAGGATGCCTGACTAGACCCCACCAGCCTGATACGACAAGCTTCTTGTTCCCAGCAGTAGTCAGGGTCTCCAGGTGCGCCAGCTTAGGATTATTAGGGTTCTTGGCAAACTCACATCTTTGGGTCTCACTAGATCTAAACATAATATATATATATATATATAATATATTCTAAATATATATATTTTTTCAACAAATTTTAAAAATATAAATAGCAAAAATTTTGAAATAGTTGTGTAAAGTGCAATTATGCAGTGCGCTGTGAGGACTGGTAAGTTTTTCTTGAAAAGTTATTTTACAGAAATTTTAAAATAATAAGAAAGTTTACATAAACAATCAACCATAATCTTCGATCCACAAAAAAATATCATGATATATGTTTATAAGTTGATTTAGAATATTTAGATTAATTAATCATTGAGATTTGTTATGAACATCTAAAAGTAAGGTTCCTAAAATATTAATTATGTGAGTCTAATTCTAGAAAATTACCTGAAGATAACATATCCTAGAGCGTTCATGAGTCCTATAGCAACCAGGTAGTACCAGGGTAGGACTACAACGTTGTTCACCAGGTAGGTGGTGGTCAGGGTTGGGAGGAAAGGGAAGAAGGAGTAGGAAGAGATCAAGCTTAAGCCTAGACCAGAGTTCATTGCATCGTGAGACTGGAAGAAATATTCCTCGAAGAACATGGCGTCCAGGGCGTACATAATCTAAAAATAAACAATGTTTTAGTTAAATATAATATAATATTAAAACCAGAAAATAAAAATTTATAACGAGACGTTTTTGTTTGTTTGAAGAAGAAATTCTATATTGTATGTTCTGTGCAGTGCTTAGGATCATTTTAATTTTGATGCGGATCCGGATCCGGATCCTGGATCCGCACTGGAAAAAAATGGATCCAGGTCATTTCTTGATTTACTGAATTTTGTAAACAAAAATTAATGTTCAAATTTTTCCGATTATTTTTATCCTAAAACCATTCAGAAATGAGGAAATTTTCATTCTCTCATTTTTTTCTTCAAAATTTCAGATTTGGGTTTTAGGAGTAAAAAAGTTTTTTTTGCAGTTTTTGGGCTCCTATGCACTGGTCCTGTGTATTGTGTATCTAGGTGTACCTGAAATGAAGCTGCGAGGATTAGGGTTGGAGAAACCTTGAATCCAGAACTGACAATATTATCAGTTACGAGAACAACATTCAGGACAGCTAAAGCAATCATTGAGAACCTAGATATTAGATTATTATTATAATAATATAGAATATATATAAAAAAACGTCAACTGTGACGTAAGTAAAAGAAGTTTGGATTTAAAATTACTTTATTAAGTATTTTAAATTACTTGGGCACATATTTAGAAATATGAACTGAAATATAAAGCTCTGTTGTTTTTTTAAAAACATTAAGAAGTGTACAAGACGTTTTCTAGTTGAAATCAGTTATCTATTATCATTCATCAAAATCTATTGAATTTACCTGAGTGTCTGAAGCTTGAGATCTAGACCGAAGAACCTGGGGTTCATTTCTCTACCGTTAAACAGATCCACCAGAGGGTTCCCAGTATTCCCCTTGGGGTTCAGGTTACTCTTAGCAGACCATCTTAAATATAGATTACTCTTAGCAGACCATCTTAAATATAGATTACTCTTAGCAAACCATCGTAAATATTGGTTACTCTTAGCAGACCATCTTAAATATAGATTACTCTTAGCAAACCATCGTAAATATTGGTTACTCTTAGCAGACCATCTTAAATATTGATTACTCTTAGCAGACCATTTTAAATATAGATTACTCTTTGCAGACCATCGTAAATACTGGTTACTTTTAGCAGACCATCTTAAATATTGATTACTCTTAGCATAATATCTATATACCTGGACATGATGTAGGCAACGATGGAGGAGAGGGTGGACAGGATAATACTGCTGGTCATCAGGGTGAAGTACTTCTTCTTCACGATACCCAGGGGAACCTTCATACACAACATTTTAGATTAGATAAAGATGGTCCAGGGTCAAATCATACGTCGTGAAACTTATACCGGTAAGACTGATTTTTCAGTTCATTTGATAAATTTAAATGATCATGTATTTACATATTACCTTGTAGTGTACTAGGACAGGAACCACGGCTAGGAGAGACATCAAGGTTAGGAAACCTAGAAAAAAACCATGAAATAATATTTAAATAAAAAATAATATGGCGGTAAAGGAAATGAGCTTTTGCCAAAAACTCACCTTTTAAAATCCCCATATCTTTGCAACCCGATGTTGTAGACCTTTGATATTTTAACTATGAATCTTCAAGATCAAAAAAGTCTAGGCTTGAAAATTCAAAGGTTTGTTTACACCATCAAGTTGCAAAGGTATAGAATTGCAAATTAGAAAATAAAACAAGCGCTTACCGTTCATCCTTCTGCCGTTAACAATTGCTCCAATGGGAACGAAGCTGAGAACGTCTAGGAGAAGGTTGAAGCTGAAGAGAAGAATAAAGGAATCTCGATCCAGGTAGGTTTTATAATCAGTAGAGAGGGCAGGCACACCAATCTTACATCCTGATATAGTGCAAGGTCATATCTTAGATTTTCAATAAATAATATTTACAAAATTCGAAAATTTTGGAATTAAAAATTTCGAGTGTCATCCTCACTCTGTAGTGTAAATCAAAGATTAGCAATTATGTACAGTGTACACATGTTGTTTAACTATAAGCATACACAACACCAGAAGAACAAATGTTCTAGTTTCATTTTAGTTTTAGAAATAGTTTGTTTAACAGAGCATTCAATTCAGGGGTGTTTACTTTATATTAACAAACTATTTTGACCTATATCTTTGTTAACACAAAGTTTATGAATATATATATATATATATATATATATATATACCTGACTGGCAGAGTGTATGAAGGGAGACGAGTATGGCAGGTCCCATCAGCATAAAGAGAAGAGCCCAAACCCATTCAAAGCTCCAGCCCTTCTTCTTACCTCGGGCATCAGGTAGCTCAGGGTTAGGAGCCAGCTTTATCTAGAATATAATATTCATGTTATTTGAAAAATCAAGTGCGATTTAGAAGAGTGCTTAGCTTTGGCTTCTGCTGTTTGAATTAGATCTAAAAGATTTACCTTCTCAGTCTCATCATCGCTGAATCCTTCACTGATCGCCTTGGCGGCAATCCTGGCAGATGCACGTGTAGGTGTCTCCGCCTTCAGTCCACGCTCAACCTTAGATTTCTCCACCTTCTCCACCTTAGCCTGCTCCTTCTCCTCCTTCTCCTCCTTCTCCTCTGGTTGAGCCGAATCTGTTTGGTCTGGAGATGCAACCTTCTTGGTTACTTTAACCCTAGCAGGAGATCTGCCTCGAGATTTAGATCTACCACGGGATGCTTTCTTCAGGATAACACTCTGCTGCTTGTACACATCCTTAGCCTACAAATTATACATTTCAATAGAAAGGTCTTGAACAAAGTCAATGAATTGTACTGTAAGTTATAATGATACTTACTGAATATTTCGACTAAAACTGATCTACTTGTCAGAATTCGATTTTGTTTGAATGACAAAAATAACCACAATGTCTATTTAGTAAATGTGTATGTATGTACATACAGGGTAGATCAGAACTTCTGTACATGTGTTTAATTTACCTTGATAGTATAAACAGTTCCGTTTTCATATTCAACATCATACTCATCATCATCTTCTCTAACAAAGCTGATCTAAAAATTATTAAATCAAATCGTATATTCTACTTGAGTCAGTGATTTCTTCTAACTAATATATAAATAATTTTCAAATAAAAGGCTTTCATGGCGCATCGTTTCCCTTTTCTAGTGCACTGCAGATAGCCTTACCTCTTTGTAAATCGTATTTCGTGAGTTTTTCCGTTCAATTTTTTAAAATAATAAATGTCGAGATTTTTTCCCGGGCAAAATTGTTCATCTTAAAACTTTCTATAAACCTTCCTATGGATCATATAAGTTGCCACAAAAAAATTGGCTCCAATCGGTTTTGCTGTTAAGAAGTATGCAATACCTTTGCTTTAAAGAAAAGAGATGAGCCCGGCCATCTTGCCATTACTTCGTCTCCATCCTTGAACTGCATCTCTGGCTTAGCAGGGACTGCCTAAATCATATAATTCATTAATGTATCTTCTACAGTTCAAAATTTAAGATAAATATATAATACACATTAAATAAGCTTCCATGGCGTTAGTTTTATCGCTTGTTAAGTTTAGAAGAAGATTCAAAAAACTTTAAAATATTTATAAACGTGTCAGAAAACAAAGAGTTTACTCAATGATTTGATATTAAGGGATACTTGAACCGCGTCGCTGAACCTCCCATTCATCACCGGCTCAAATCTCGGAACACTTAATGAAATTCCAGCTGAACCAACCATGATTGAACCACGTCTAGACGCAGTTCAAATTCTTTAAATTCGGCCTCTGGTTAAGTTAGATTTAAAAGCTAAACTCGAATCAAATTAAGTTTGGCTCGTGGAATCTTTATAATTATTATAATCAATGATATCTACTGTGGTCAGAATCAGTTATTGACAGAATCAACCAAATCGTGCTGATTTGAAATATATATCATATAATGTAGCTTCACAGGAAGTAAACCTTTGGGCAGAGAATATGGATAATTTATACTTTGGGGATGGTCAGTGGTCACGTGCCTTACAATTATTTAAATAAAAATCAGATCGACTTTAAAGAGTCCCAACACCTTGGCCTTTGGCTCTACATTATTTATTTAATTACACTTTTTTGTATCATTTAGACATGTACATTTCAATACTACAAAAGGAGTAATTGTCAAAATGTTGTTTAGAAGTATGGAAATATGAATTGATTTAGTTGTTGATATGATGATCTTAACGAATGCAAGATTTTGAGATAATACAGGGTGTGGAAATTAATTATAACTTTAATTAATCGTGGAATTAGCGATACTAATCTTTTAGCAAAATTGAAACACGATAAGTATGCTTTGAAATTATAATAATTTTTTTTATATAGGACTTATGTTTAAGTTTGTATGCACTGGATTTGTCAACAATTATAATATAATTTTCATAAAACTTAATTTGTTTTGGGATACAAATATTGATATCTTCTATTTGCTTTACGACCATNTCCATATAGTCAAACTTCAACAGTTTGATGAAGTATACCCTCATTCTAAATATCTGATTGACAGCCCAATTATGCCCACATATGGTCAACTATACTAGCTAATTATTATTCGCTATATCCGAGAAAATGTAAATGTGTTTGGATGCCCTGGAATACAGAAATAGATACAAAACCATTCTCACCTTTTTGGTAGATTTAGGTGTCTTTGGTGTCTTGGGGGAGGCTACAGGCTCTGCTCTTCCCCTTGACCTGGAACGTGTTGACCGACGCGGCATTGTCCTTTCTTCCTGCACAAACATTTTGTTAGTACTATTATTAAGATATGAATTTTGCGGATTTTCCTACTCGGTTTCGTGGATTTCAAAGTTTTGACATTTAACGAGTATACTCACATATTCTCACTGTTTGTTTTTATAAAACGTGTAAACTCTAAGATAAGAAAAAACTACTGAAATATACACAAACTCAGACTTCTTTCGTAGCCATGGCTACAAACATAACGATAAACAAGTTTAACTTTCTCAATCTTTTTGTCCGAACTTTATTTATCTGCATTATCAAAAATAAATTTAATGGGGAAAACGAAAGATATGAAATCCCAATTTTAAATTAGAATATAAAAATACTGCTACATGTATGTTTGGTTTTTGTTTTGCTTGACAATGAGTCTGAAATTTAAAATGTCATTCTTCTCTAAGATTGTTGAAAGTTGTATTCTTGAATAAATAAACAATAAAGATTGACACACCCAGAATTCGCAAATATATGTTAACAGGAGTAAATGTTTTGCTATATTCTCCCGGCCCCCCCCCTCCTTAAAAAAATAACTTTCCCCATTACTATCATCTACATTTTCAAATGCTGTTCTTAATTTTTGAGACAATAAATTAATGTATCGATATATTTAACCTATCTAAAAATCGCACAATTCGTTCCCTACCAAAATATGAAGGTGGTTTCGAATGTTTGTTGTTTGAAATCATTGGAATTTATTGAGAAACGACATTTTTAACAATGTTTTAACCGAAAATGTGGAGAGTAACTACATGGTATTTCAGATTCATAATAAAATAAAGAATTTTAAATATTTTTTTGTTAAGGTGTTTATTTTCCTGATAAGCCTAAAATCTATCAGGTTAGTTTTGCGTGACTTGAATCAACAAATTAAAGTACCCCCCCCCCCCCCCCTCCTGCCAACAAGTGCAATAAAGAGAAACTATACCGGGGGAGAAATGAAGGGATGATTTAACTGAAGAATATGCTGGGATTATATAGTGCTCTGGACGCGGTCAAAAGAGGCACATGTAGGTGACGTCATTAGTATGCCAGCATGTGGGATTTAAATTTCTTTCGGGGGGTCAAATATTGAGGTAAAGTACACCCCCCCCTCTCTAGTAGTAAACCTAATCTAATTCATCTTTACAGTTTACAGACAGAGTAGCTTTGAGCAAATCATCAGCCCCCTCCCCCCTCCCTCACTGTGCCACCCCACCCTCCCTCAATCATAAATTTACTATTTAAGTCTCATCATTGACCCCCCCCCCTTCCACCCACCCAACTACACAGGAAGCAGGAGTGCATGAATGCTATTGTGCACCATAAAGATATTAACCAAAAATAGATATCATTATTTCTCTGAAGCCAAGACAGAGAGACGATGTTTTATTTTGTTACGAATGTAAGTTCTTAAACATTTTCCTTATTTTTGTAAACTTACATACAATTTTACTACAAAGTTTCAGAAAAGCTGAAAATTGAGACAAAAAGTGCTTTCGTTTTCCCATGATTTCCCATCTTAATATTGTAGCAAATAAACAACGAAATTATTCAGCCCCAAACCACTATTTGACAGCAATATTATGATTAAAAGTAACATTTTCATTAACTAATGAAAAAATGAATAAAACTAAGCTAAATATATTTACATATATACAAAGTTTAAATGATCAATGGTAGCTTAGTATTTGCACGTATGATATGTATTTAACAAGTGAATATCAATGTTTACATATAAAATTCAAATCCAAGCACTATTTGCCTGAAGCCAGGTTGGTGGCCTAGCTTTAAATTACATACTATGAAAGTGATAGAAGAAGAATAAATATAAATCAAAGATATATCGACTATGATGCCAAATACGCATTCTGTTCAACGAAATAATTCATTCCCATATTTTTTTTATTATCAATTGTTAGAATTAAGAATTTCAAAAGTTGAACATAAAACAATCAAACAAAACGAATTTAACTCCATAAAAAATAAAATGCATATCAAGTTATATGGCCAAATTTTTAGAATCTAAATTAAACTTACAAATCTGTCTTTTGTGATAAAAGTATTTCCTCAATTTAATTTTTCCCCTGTCGTAAAAATTGTAAACAAAAGATGTTTTAGATTTTTATCATTTATTAAGAGCTGTACAGTTTAAAAAATATATTAAAAGAAAGATGTTTTATTTTTCTTTAATTAAAAAATTTTTACATAGTATGACTTATTGGCTGATATTTCCTTTTTCTTAATTTTTGATAATCAGTATTTCCGTTCATGAAAAATAAATGGATAAAGACCCAGTAGCTGAATATTGTATATTTTATGAATTGTATTAAGATTAAGACTGTAGTGAATACGTTTTACCCCCCCCCCCCATTAAAACCAGTTTAACAGCCCGCCCCCCGGCCCCACTAACTACGCGTCGGTCAATTTAGCCTCCCCCCCCCACCGAACTGGGTTTTGCGCCGCCTTTTGCGGTCATTCATGGAAAACAAAGAGAACATGAGGGTCAGGGGGAGGTATACCGCGAAATTGAATTTTATTTTTTAAATTGTTTTAGGTTTTAACAAATATCTGTATAGACTGTATTAAAGTGATTTATTTGCTCGAACGGAAAAGTATCGCGATTTCACGACAGGGCAACACACGATTTACCAATGATTCATTTAACACCCTTACAAATCCCTTAACACTTGTCTTTAATATGATTTCTTACAAAAGGAATTGAAGTTTTGCCACAAATTCTGATTTTCTAATTTTCAATCCAATGTCGTAGACCTGAGATATTTCAAACTATGAATTCTGTTAGATCAAGTGGTCTATGTTTGAAAGGTTTACACCGTATAAAGAGATTAGAAAATTTAAGTTTGTGGAAAAGATTTAATTTCTTTTAACAAGGTGTTAGGGTCGCTAAGATGATACAGATAAAATACTTTTACCGAGAAGGTAAATGGGGTTAGGAACGTCATAGTTGGAACTTGGAGAAAGTCGCCGGTCATGAAAAAATATTGGGATGGGGTTGCGTGGAGGGGTGTGTGTGTGTGTGTGCGGGGAGGGTGATGTGTAATAGATTGATGGCGTATACACGGAGGGGGGGAGTGCAGAAGTCCTCAATTGGTAATCTACTCAATTGGTGATCACCATCTCAATTGCTAATCAGACTAAAAAAGGGTAACATTAAATCGTTTATTTCTTAGAAATAAGACCATATTGACCTCTGTTAATGGCCCTATGGTGTACACTATTCTTAAAGCCCTATGGTGTACATATTGTTAAAGCTTTCTTTATTGCTCCTCAGTTTCGAAAATAAATCATAAGTTTGCCACATGAAGCGCTAATAAGAAAATTACGTTTTTGAACCTTTGATAGATAGAAATTACTTTGGTCGGGGTGAGGTAATTTTAAGTAAACAGGCCAGACCTTATAGTATCTATAGTAGTAGCTATAACTATCAACTTGACATTCTCAAAATGTGCTCATTACAGTATTTACCATCAAGCTCTCTTCTTAAGATGTGGAATAACCTGCCTCTTGACTTAAAAAGAAGCAACTCTCTAAGTATAATTAAAAATAGACTACAAAATTCTCTTTTAGAAAATTATAGGACAATGTGTTATAAACCGAATTGCTATTCATGTAAAACTAATTAGATATGTTTTAATATGCTTTGATATTTGTTGTGTACATGTCTGAAAATTACTTTAAACTCTAGTTATTCGAATTTATGTATAAACTATTTTGCATATGATAAATTCGCACCCTGATCTCTAATCGTTCTCCTTAAATCTATTTAATTGAAACATTTTGTTATTATTACTAACATTAGGTGGAAAAAATAATCAAAACAGCCAAGAGCTATTTTCCACTTAATTGCTTTATACTTGTACTGTTAATATAATCATCAATTTTGTGATTGTAAACTCTATCTGTATACAGATACATTTATTTTAGCAATAAACGTTATCTTATCTTATCTTATCTTAACTCCAATCATGAAATGCAGTCATTAAATTGGCGAATTGGATCTAAGATTCATATTTTTTTCTAGCGCTTCATGTGGCGTACTTATAGATTTATTTTCGAAACTGAGGAGCAATAAGGAAAGCTTTAACAATATTGTACACCATAGGGCCATTAACAGAGGTCAATATGGTCTTATTTCTATGAAATAAACGGTTTAATGTTAACTTTTTTATTTCTAATTACCAATTGAGGAGCGGGAATGCCGCAAAACACCTTTGGGTGGCGGTGATTATCATTTGAGGACTTCTGCAGTAATTTACACGTAATTTACTCCGCAGGCTAGGGCGTGGTGGTGTTTGAAGGGTGGGGGGAGAAAGCTTGGTCAAATCATGCAATTTACTAGTATATGAAATATTAGGCGCAATTATCATTACACCCACTCCCCCCTCCCACACCTTCCTAACTAATAGTTTACTCATTCTTTAAAAAATAAAGTAAACAAAGCTACGCTTACGAGTTTACTAAATAAGAAAAAGGATTAACATTTTTTTAACAGGGGTACTTTTGGACGGCATTCCATACTTTAATACATTCTATTTGTTATATATTATCTTTCAAAACTGCATTTACCAAACACTTTCAAATTTTTTTCTTAAGAGAAAGAAGGTAAAATTTAAAATAATTGAATTAGAAATTTTAAAAATAATGGCTAAATCTTTTGATTATAATCTTGAAGCGGCGATCTAATCTGGACATAAAAATGATCTAATCTGGACATAAAAATGATCTAATCTGGACATAAAAATGGTCAAAATTATGCCAGACGATTTCAATTTAACATAAAATTTACTTTTGTTTGATGTGACGTGAACCTATGATTTTATGAAACTTTTATTTGAGATAACAGATTACATACTTTTTTTGGAAAAGCTATTTTATATAAAAATAGGGTTTAAAATACTTCTATTCGACAAAAGAAACTATTCTCACTATTGTAACACATACTATAGTTATTCCACATAAATCTGACCAATTCTTTGAACGTTTAGCTTAAAGTGTTTAATGTTATAAGTAAAAGTAAATTGAAGTAGATATAATTTTAATTTAAAATTATATCTACTTCAATTTTTAATATAAATAAACAATAAATAACTAAGTTTGCTATTATTAGAAAATATTATTAAAATCAAAATTTAATGATTGAAAAGTTACTGATCAATTTGAATTACCGAGAATATAATGCGAAGATTTATAATACAAAATTGTAAAACTAAAATGGCAGTGTAAAAGATATAATAATTTTTGTTAAAAATTACAAATAGAACAATAAGTATAAACATTTTAACGAATTACACTTTTTATAACGAGAATTTGTTAACAAAAACAATATTGATTTTATAAAATTCCTGTAACAAATAAGATCATGATAATTTAAACAATAATCATAGACCGCGGAGAAACAAAGCTAACATTTACAAGAAAAATATTTTAGATTTTATAAAAAAAATACGTTTTCAACATTAAAAAAGTCTTCAGTTTCTCAAAAGAATCATTTCTAAATTGTTGAGTGACATTGTTCACAGGTCAACAACCGGTCTATTTTGACAACAAAGTTTCAAAACAATAATAACAACAATAATACAGAATCAGTTTGCACAAAATGTAAACAATAGACATCAGTGTACATTCGAATGCAGTTGGGGAACGTTGTTAACGCGAGAAAAAAACTAAAAATAGGTAAAACTTTAACTTACTTTTCACTCTCTTTGATTTTTCAAACAACTCTCCGAAAGAGACGCTAAAGACTAAATGAAAACTGGTTTCTTATTGGATCACGTCTAAGTGCCGGCCTGTGATTGGCTGTTCTTCAAATATAGTGAAAATTACGGTTTACGCCCGCTAGGTTCGCTAGTATTGCTGAGGGAGGCCATGACTCGGTCCGCCCAGAGATACCCACAGATTTTCCGTTAATAAAGAGGTTTCGTGAGTCAGGTTATTTAAATATAAATAATTTCCCCTTGGCCGTTTTCTCGGTCTTTTGTTTTATGAACCATTCCTATTTTCTTTACCCTAGCAGCCTGGAGTAAGCCAAATTTACTAAACTAGGGTTCGCTCTCATATTTCTGGTAATAATTTCTAATTTTCATGCACTTTTAATCTGCAGAAATCAATTAATAAAAAATTTGTTTTTGTTATTTTTGGTTCACGGTAGATTTAATTTTTTTTTAAAGAAATTATCAAACTTAGTCGATGATGCTGAAAAAAATTTCCTGCAGCGGCGCCTTTTAAATTTTAACTTAAGTTAATATTTTTTATATGATCATAATTCCAAATCTTGCAACACGTCTTCCGACGTTCCACGCTGCTCGAGGTTTTGACATAAAATTCACGTACTGTGTTAAAAAATCCAGGGGGGGGGGGTTACAAGTTTCGGTGCGCTTCGCGCACTTAATAATTCAATTATACCCCCCCCTGGAAAATATCATAAGCCGCGCCTGAATCATAGATTTTTTTTCTGTATTTTTGTTCATACATGCAGTAAACGATCTTATATTTGGGGGCCGATTAAAGACATTTTTAACCTAAACCTTTTCGGGGGGGGGGGACCCAGTAGATTTATTTCTGTGTACGCCCATGGATACAATAATTCTAAAACTTTAACTTTATTTTGGTTGAATTACAAAGAAAGCTTAAAATTGCTTTGTTTTTTATTTAACTCTTTAATAACATTTTTGTACATGGTTAGGAATGGTTTACTTTGACAAGGTTACATTTTTTCCATATATTACTGTTTGGTATAATAAATTATTACCACGTCCTATTTATGTTTTGCCATGTAAACAAATCCAAATTCAAGATTTTTGGAAATTAAAACAAATTTGACATATTTTAAAAAAAATTGGTAAGTTTGTTTTTCGAACATATACTATTTTTTTTGCAAAAAAATATAGTTTTGAAGGTTTTTTTTGCAAATATGTTTAACCTTTTAACGGAAATGTTTAGATATTGGAAAATACAGTCGTTTGTTGCATGGAATTTTGTTTGGGAACAAAAGTTTTTAAATAAAATGCATTTTTTTGCACCAAACATTTTTATTTTGTGTACGTGATTGCTGTACACTAGTGTACATTGTACGTAATGGAATGTCATGATGTTACAAAAAGTTTTATTGACGCATCCTAGACTTTCTGAACATGTACTTAAATTACATTTTAACATTTTTACACAATTAATGATTTTTACAAAATCTAAATTTTCTAAAAGCTCTATAAACTCTATACATAGAGGAAATATGAATATTTTTAACACTAGAAATACAATTTTATAACATTATGGAAAATTGGAACAAAAATAGGAAAAATCCTAAAATTATTTTCATGGATGCAGGCCCTGTATACTAGACAAGGGAAAAGAGATAAACTTTTAATTGAGAAACGTAAAAAGATTTGTATAAATTCACAATGTAGAAAAGGGTACATTCACTTTATAGCTTTGGGCAGTGCAGAATTTAAATTATTAAAAAATTTTTTTTGGTTTAATATGTAATAGCATGGACATTTTTTGTTATTGAAATGCCAAAATATCGCTATTTTAACAGTGATTTTTCACTTTATACAAATAAAGATCTATTTTTATTAGAAGAACCAAAAAATTAGTGCAAACTTTAATCTGTAATTTTACATTTTTTTCAAACTCTTCTTCTGATTGCCCGTCTTTTATCGATCACAAGTTCCATTAAATATTAGAAATCTTAAAAAAAACTTTCACCGGAATAAAAAATGAGAAGAATTGTTTGAGCTCAATCATGTTGACATGAAATTCACAATTTAAACAAAATATTTTTATCCTACAAAATAAAAACATTTTTATAATAAAGGATGATCTAGCAAGGTTAATATTTAAAGGATTTAGATATTAAATATTTTTAAACTTATTTTGTTTAGAAATTGTTTAATTCAGGGCTCAATTTTACTCAGAAGATTTTCATGAAACAATTTTCACTTTTCCTAAGCATTAAGAATCAAGATCTTTTAATGCTGATACTCACTTAAATACAGAAATGCATTCTTATAACCTCTGAAGTATTTAATTTCACTGTTTAGTGTTCACTGTTCATTATTCAATGTTAATTATTCACTGTTCATTATTCAATGTTAATTATTCACTGCTCATTATTCTCTGTTCAGTCGTTAAAAATGTTTGAATTTCGCTCCATATTTCTGAGACGGTTCAACTCTCGTTCGCGCTCCCGGTCATATTGATTCTCTCCCTGTCGACCCAGTCTGAAAAAAAATAATATATTAAAAAACGTTTTTTGACATGATGATGATTTAAGTCATTTTTCTTTTTCTTTTTTTTCCTTATCTTGTCTATGGGTAGCTACCATGAACTGACATCTTGACATGAACCTTACCTTATTTATCTATGGTTAGATGACTTGAACCTTACCTTAACTTGTCTTTTTTTGATATTTTTTAATGTCGTCTTTGTCACTGTAAACGCCGTTAATACTGCAATAGACAGTTAACGGCTGTGCCATTAACGATTTCTTAAACCGTTAATAAAATATTTGTTCGGCACTTAACGCTGTTAAAGCTGTTAACACTGCAACTGACCGTTAAGGACTGTGCCATTAACCATATCATTCACCGTTAACGCCTTTAATTCTGTAATAACGGTACCATTAGCGGCTACAGCCACTATCGGTTGTTGAAAATTTTTTGTTAACGCCAATGATAAATTGAGATAGTTAACCAACAGTAATAAAAAAACGGAAATACTGAAACGAACGTTCTGTTCTTACCTTACCTTATCTTTTCTATGGTTAGCTGAGATGAAATTTACCTTATCTTATCCATGGTTAACTGACTTAAACCTTACCTTATCTTTAGGTAGCTGACATAAACCTTGCCTTATCTTATGTCCGGGTAGCTTACATAAAACTTATCTTTTATATGGAGAGCTTGACATGAACCTTATTTTTTCTTATTAATGGTAAGGTGACATGAACTTTACCTTATCTAATATATGAGAAGTTGATATGAACCTTACCTTATTTAACAAGGGGTAATGGCCAGCTGACATAAACCTTTCTTATCTTATCTATAGTTACATAACATGAAACTTTCCTTATCTTACTTATGGATAGATGAAATGAACAATACCTTATCTTATGTATAGGTAGCTGACATGAACCTTACCTTATCTTTAGATAGCTGTCACACTAATTAATTTATTTGATCTATGGGTATTGGGTAGTTGACATGAACCTATCATATCTTATCTATGGTTAGCTGACATGAAAATTACCTTATCTTATCTATGGGGAGCTGACATGAAACTTACCTTATCTATCTATGGATAGCTGGCATGAAGATTACCTTATCTTATCTCTGGGTAGTTTACATCAACCTAGATTATCTTATCTATGGTTAGCTGACATGAAACTTACCTTATCTTGTCTATGGGGAGCTGACAGAAACCTATCTCATATTATCTATGGTTAGCTGACATGAAACTTACCTTATCTTGTCAATGGGGAGCTGACATGAACTAAGATAAACAGTGACATTTCCTCTCCATGACCCTCTCCAAGGAAGATTAGATGCCCCGGCTCGTCCTTGAATAATAGATCTCAAAACAACTGTCGGAAAACACATTTAACACCTCAAATCCTCGTTGCTTAAATAAGGCGAGTGGTTCCATTCCCATAAAACTGAGATAAGAAGACGACATTTAAGAAATCTTTTGTGTGTTTGATGCTGGTATATGAAGCAAAATGTCTTAACAATAGCTTAAATAAACTTATTTTAATCAATTTGTATGGGTAGATTTGCACTGGCCAGTTGCTGGTTTCATGTTCATTGGGCCAATTGAAATATTAAATAGCTGTTTTCCTATTCCACAGTTTAATGGTTCACACCTTAAGAAATAAAAACTAGTGTACTCTTCGTTCCTGATTCACGGGAAAAAAATACGGCATTTGGTCAAACGGCGTCTTAAATAGAAGTATTTCCAAATTTCGACTTTTGAAAGGTTACAATTGACAGGTTAACAGGGTTACAATGTTAGAACAAAGCTGTAGGATAAAGGGAGTGAAGAAATATCGATAAATCTGAAATATTTGAGGTTTAGACTTCTAGATATATGCAAATCAGGGCTGTTGCTAGGGGGAGTTTAAGCAAGATTGCACTCTTGCATAATGCAAATTCAAGATATGCAATATCTATGCAAAAATTCTGTGACACTAAACTTAGATTCGAAACTTTAAATCTTTCGGTAAAAATAATTAAAAGATTAACATGAAAGAGATTAATATTATCTTGAAATTTTAGTTTAAGCTACTTTTATCTTATCTAATGCTTTTTAAAAATCATATTTTCAAAATTATATTTGAAGGAAACATTACTTAAAGTATACTTTACTATTCAATTCTAGTTAAAGGGTCTACCCGCCCCGCCATGTGTCGATTTACATTTACTATTCATTATTCAAGGTTCGGTCAGGTTAGGATAGATAGATTTAATATAGTAATTATGTCATTTTGTTCATTTGAAATAGGAGGGGAGGTGGGGTGGGGGGGGGGGAGTAGATGCTGAAAAATTACTTTGTTTACAATTGACGTAAAGTGAGTGAAAAAACTATATATTTAAGGTCAACTCCCCCGAGGGAAAAGAGAAGTAGTAAATTTTCAGAAGATTTTGAAAAGGAATAAAATGTTTTTGATTTAATTACGTTTTAAAATATCTTAATACTTTTAAGTTCTGATGATTAAATCTTCATGGTGTTTATGACTACAAAACAGATAATCAAGGTAGATACTTTTTTCCCAAAACTATTCTTATGATGAGAATATATGATATTTAAAATGGTAGTGTACTGTACTTTTCATAAGTAATGTACTAATTAATTCAAGAGTATATGTGCAGAGAGAGGTTTATTTAAATCAGATTTTATGCTTTTCTTTTAAAGGAACTGAGTAATTGCCACAAACTGAGATTTTTAAGTATTATGTTTAGAACCCGATGTCGTAGGCCTTTTGTATTTCTAAATTTGAATTTATTTAGATCCAAAAGTCTAGTTTGAATTATCAAATTTTTACACCATCCGGTTGAAAAGATATAAGAGACTATAAAATTTGAGCTTGTGGCAAAAACACAGTTTCTTTCATCATTAAAAAATCTCTTTCAGAAAGTTTTAAGTTTGTTAGAAAGTTGTTTTCTTCATGATAATGATAATGGATTATTACAGAATCTTCATATTTCTTTTTAAATAAATAAAACAGGTGATTACCTTGAGAATGAAAGGGCCCACTTTCAAACAATGATTTTGAATCTCCTATACTCCATCCGTAGAAGTTTTCCCCATAATAATGTGCGTTCCAGTAGATGTATCTCTTCTCTTTACCCCAACCACCGTTTATTCTTTCATAAACTACTTGCTGAAAACAAAATATATTTCATTATAAAGATCAACTTTAATTCTTTAATTTGCTTTTTACAATATTTTATATAATAAAGTTCTTCGCTCATATATAGTTATAGTTAGCTATAGCTGGCCAAACAACTGTACCAAATGGACTAAACTTTTTTTGAGGGAACCCTCAGTACCCCGGGGGTAACATAGGCTAAACATTTTTTTTCAAAAATAAATTTTTTTTTCTTTCAAAATTCGAAATTTCTTTCCACGGGCAACGCTGAGCACTTCAGCTAGTATGTTATAATCAATACTTCACGTATCCAGTCATCTATTTATATATATTATTTAATGATCTTGGGACCGAATTTAATGAATTTGAGGTACGTCGCTGAATTACCTATAACTACCGGTTCAAATTTGAACCACTGATTCAAAGTTAAAGTTTAAGGAAGGATTTTAAAGTGAACCCGGTGGTATGCGGTTGTGTTAAAGATACACGTTAACTGTTATCTTTACAATATGGATTTTTTCTATATAATAAATCTCTTTGCAGTCGTCGCTCATGTATTGTAATTTATATATATATATTTACATGTTAGACAAACAGCTAGACTAAATTGGTTATCATTTTTTGAGGGAACCAATAAATTAGAATTTTTTCTTCAAAACTTATTTTTCAAAAATCGAGATTTTTTTCCAGATTCGATTTTTATTTTTACGGGCAACGCCGGGTACTTTAGCTAGTTTTTAATAAATGGCATAAGTTGGTTAAAGTCGTAACTTTTGTGTGGTTAATCCCTTGAAAAATCTGTGTTGTTGTGGTCCAATGGATTATGTTAATTCATAAGTTCCGCCTTGCCCAGGTTTAAATATTTTATTCATGATCATAGTTACTTGCGCTTTACCCGTGCTTGGTATCAAATCATGACTTTAGTTAGAGTGCCCGACGTTACCATTGGAAATTCAATAATGTCTGTTCCTCAAATTTTTGGGGACACCTTCCAAAATATGTTGTTGTTAATATTATGGCCATACAAAGTTGGTTAGGGTTAAAATATTAATTATTTTAATAACTGTTCCTTATCGGCCGCAAAGTTTGGAGAAAGTTACAAATCCATTTGGATGCAATACAGTTGGTGTAGTTTTTGGGAGAAATGTAACCATGAAAAAAATGTAAAATTGTTGCTGGTCTATGAACCCCTATTCATAATCTTTGGTTGGCTCTTGTTGCTTTAATGGTATTATTGTGTATGTATTGCAAGGTTGGACTCTTGTTGCTTTAATGGTATTATTGTGTATGTATTGCAAGATTGGATTCTTGTTGCTTTAGTTGTATCGTTGTGTATGTATTAGGTTCGACAGGAATGAATATATTTATTTAGGACAGAACAGTGATTGATTAAACGCTGTACGTAGAAAATATCACTTATTGTAATTTATTATAAAAGCTGAATATTGATCTTAAAATTAAACTACAGGGTGTCCCTGTAATTCTGAAAATTTCTAAGCCATAGTGTTAAAGAATGAAATATGATGTAGGTTACTTTTTTTATAACTGAATTCACTTCTTTCTTCAACAGGTGGTAAAAACGACCCACAATTTTTGCATGCATTATTCAACTCTTTCTATTATGAAAGGAATTGAGTGTTTGCAAAAAACTGTAATTTTTAATCTCTATATCTTTGAAACACAATGTGTAGACCTCCGATATTTCAAACTACAAATTCTGACAGATCAAATGATTTAAGTTTGAAATATCAAAGATTTCAACTATCAGGCCACAAAGATATAGGCATTAGACTGAATTCCTTTGTCTGAAACTCTTGAAAGTATTTCGGACGGATTGACTTTAAACTTAAAGAGTTATAACTCTAAGGAAAAGAACATCAACAAAGTTTTAAAACACTGAGGTAGCTCTTAACCTTGGCTATTGTTCTTCTTGGAAAAAAAGCTATTGCTGACCCACTACCCAAAGCTTAGTGAAACTGCGCATAAAACGTTTTATAGAAATATTGGTATATGGGAATTGAATTTTTCTGTAGATTTTTTTTATATATTCTAATTATTTATATTACTGTTGCTGACATCTTTTTACAGATTGGGAAGATTCCAAAACTGGCAAAGAAAAAGTTTTTTATTAAATTGTCAGAATTAATTGGACACCCTGTACATAACTGTACATTATACAATTAGAAACAATATCTAGGGCTAATGTCTCGAATGGACTGTCAACATTATTTCACGTGACACTTTTTTTAAAAGAATTTCATGTCCGGTTCATATCGGACACCTTTAATTTTCAAGGCAGGGTCGCATATCGTTGGTCTTTGATTTCACCGCGCTAACTCACTTTAGTAGCTCTAAACATGTGTATTATAAATCTATAAAGCACTTGTTCTTAGCTTTAGTTTTTTTAAGAAGTAATTGGCAAAATTCTCATAAGTTTTTTCAGAAGTCTCTACAGTGTACATGTAGCATCAATGGAAATAAAACATCGACAGTCTAATTAAATCATTTCTACATTTTGTGTTAAATAAAAAAGAATAAATCAAATGTAAAAAGGAATGAAGGAGCGGGTATTTTGGTTGAGATGTACCATGTTTATCTATACTCCGTGACTAATGAAATGTAAATCTATGGCTGGGATTGTATCTGTAGACTGAAGATGAAGGGGGGGGGGGGGTATTTTGGTTGAGATGTTATGTACTATGTTTATCTATACTCCATGACTAATGAAATGTAAATCTATGGCTTGGATTGTATCTGTAGACTGAAGATGAAGGGGGGGGGGAGAGAAAACATTTACATTGTTATTTTCCCTTTGTGATTCTATTCTATTCTTGTGTTACAGGGTAAACCACCAATACCGATGTGCCAACATTGCTGCCACAGAAAATTTGGTTCTGAATTTTTAAACCTAGACTTTAAGAACTTATGGATGGAACGTGTTCTCCATCTTAAGTAATTCAACAAAGCGTAATTACTAATTTATGTAAAACAAAAAAACAACTAAATATATTGTATTGAATATAGATTGGCAGTTCATTTCTTGACCTGAAAGCTAAGAAAGTAAATAGATAAAAACATCTGTGGATGAGCAAATATAAATATGAGTTTGAACTTTGAACTTGATGCTCGCACATATATTCCTATAGGGGGTAAAATACTGCACATATGCATTTTTAGACTTCCGGAATTATCTTTGTACTGCTTTTATTTGTAAGAATTTGAAGTAATAAATCTAGGACACTCTGTATTCCATTCTATTTACTAGATAACAAAAGAACATTTAGCAAGGAACTTTATTACTTGTTTTGCCTTTTTTGTTATTTTATATAGATTTACCTTACTGTCCCATATACTGGTTTATTTACCTTACTGTCCCATATACTGGTTTATTTACCTGACTGTCCCATATACTGGTTTATTTATCTTACTGTCCAATATACTGGTTTATTTACCTTACTGTCCCATATACTGGTTTGGTTTGAGATTGTGTAAAGACCGTTACAATCAGCATATCCTGCTCCAGTAACATTTAGTACCCTAAATATGGAAATATATTGAAAAGAAATAAAAATATTGATATTTTTGTTGATTTTTAAACGCATCGTATTTTCAGAAATACTAGTCCTTTAGAGGCCATTGCACCCTCTTTCTAGAAATTTTTCCAAATGTCCGTGTTTTTCATCACTAAGCATTTTTTCACATAAACAATAAAAAATGTCAACAACTCTTTTTATGTAACATTAATTAATTGTTTCGAGTTTTATTGATACATATATTAGCTTAGTAGTATTAAGGTTTGGATTAACAGATTAGGAAAAGTTTTCTATCTTGACAGAAAGGAAGGATAAGAGAATGGCTAACTAGCTTAAAACTTGCTAACTCAAGATTCTGGTAGGGGAAGTACACTGATTCAGGTCTAAATAGCCTGAAATTCGCTAACTCGACACCTGCCGGGGGGAAACCTTCCTCTCGAGATTTAACACGAAAAGAGAAGAGAAAATATAGTTTTCTCGTTTCATTTTATATTTTAAATACAGACAAAAGGATAGAGTATAATTCTAACTTTATTTCCACATAACAGTGTTCTACGTAATTAGTTTTAAAACTCACTACTTCCATTTTTACTTCTTGTTTCAAAAGTTTTCAGGAGGAAAGGAAAGTTGTGTTAAAGATTTCATTATAGGAAGATTGATAGAAATGGGAAGAAGTTTGGATTATTACACTTTAGAATTGGAAGTATGAATGGGAAATGATAATTATAGTAGACATTTGGTCAAAAGAGAAGTATGGATGCAATGATGAAAAGAAATCATAGTTTTAATAACACTGTGTAAAGGAAGTGTAGTCTACAATACTGATGGGAAGTAGGAATTAGATTTTTGAACGGAAAAAGATTATAGATTAAAAGATTGTCTAGAACATGAAAAGTAAGAGTGGATGAAAAGTGAATTCTAAGAGGATCTAAATGTCACCAACTAACCTGCTATTAGAGCAGACTGAACAGTTTGTAGTTGTAAGGTTGGTTTGTTGCATCCTTACAACACATCTTCCACCACCATCCTCTACAGGTTCCTCTCGACCCTTCTGCAGGTAGTTGTAGTACTCACCGGGGATACCAAACCCAATCTAGATATTATACAATTCGTGATTACAAGGTTTACCAAACCCAATCTAGATATTATACAATCCGTGATTACAAGGTTTACTTGATATTATAATCCGTGATTACAAGGTTTACCAAACCCAATCTAGATATTAAACAATTCGTGAATACAAGGTTTTACCAAACCTAATCTAGATATTAAACAATTCGTGAATACAAGGTTTACCAAACCCAATTTAGATATTATACAATCCGTGATTACAAGGTTTACCAAAGCCAATCTAGATATTAAAAAATCCGTAACTACAAGGTTTGCCAAACCCAATCTAGATATTATACAATCCGTAATTACAAGGTTTAGCGACCCCAATCTAGATATTATAAATCCGTAACTACAAGGTTTTCCAAACCCAATCTAGATATTATACAATCCGTAACTACAAGGTTTACCAAACCCAATCTAGATAAAATACATTCCGTAACTACAAGGTTTGCCAAACCCAATCTAGATATTATACAATCCGTGATTACAAGGTTTACCAAACCCAATCTTGATATTATACAATCCGTGATTACAAGGTTTACCAAACCCAATCTAGATATTATACAATCCGTGATTACAAGGTTTACAAAACCCAATCTAGATATTATACAATCCGTGATTACAAGGTTTACCAAACCCAATCTTGATATTACACAATCCGTGATTACAAGGACTACTAAACCCAATTAAGAGATTATTTTACAATCCAAGATTACAAAGTTTACCAAACCCAATCTGGGCTAAATGTTTATCATGCTGAACTATTACTCCACTCACCTGGGCAAAATGTTCATCACGCTGATCTATCACTCCACTAACCTGGGCTAAATGTCCATCACGCTGAACTATTGTTCCACTAACCTGGGCTAAATGTCCATCACGCTGAACTATTGCTCCACTAACCTGGGCTAAATGTCCATCACTCTGAACTATTGCTCCACTAACCTGGGATAAATGTCCATCACGCTGAACTATTGCTCCTACAACTACTCCTCCTAGGAAACCAATGCTGAGACTAACCAGACAGAGGATAAGACTCCAACACACCTTCGTCCCAGAACTAAATATTATCATCATTATTATTCTAATTATTCATAGAAATATGATTATTGTTATTTTCTAAATATTATTATTATTTCTGTTATTATACATAAACATATAATTATTGTTTTTTTTTCATAATTTTTTATTATTTTTCTCAATCTATCATCTATAAACTGGCTTGACTGTATTTAATAACAGGAACTATACACAACTTTTAACAAATAAACAATTTTCTAACAAGTATATGAATCCCATAAAAGCTGTTCTATTTGTTTTATAAATCCCTGAGCTCCCAGAAATAGCATCAGTTCAGATAATAATGCCGTAGTTAGTTGGCTCAGTGAGAATAGCAATTGGTTTAACTACATTGGATTCTAGTACATAGCTTCCATATTTTTTTTAAGTTTATTTTATTAGAATTTACTGTTGATTAATCTATTTAATAAAACAAGACATTCACATATATGTTCCCTCTGGCTTGAAAGTTACAAATTTTACCTAACCACGGGTTTTCTTGACCAATTTTTTCTAAAAAATATCCATTGCTGTGCTCTAGATGTTTTGTGGGCAAAATAGAACCTTACAACCTGATGTCGTAGACCTTGAAGATTTCAAACTATGAATTCTGCTAGATCAATAGTTTAATATCAAATATGCATTGAGTTAATGAGAATTAGAAAATTAAAGATTGTGGCAAGTGCAGTTTAGTTTCTTTGTTTTCAATTATTTTATCTCTGAAAGGAATAAATGTTTTGCTTGTTAAATCTGCTCGGTAAAAATATGTATTTCTCCGGTAGTATTTCCGCCACAGCCAACATTTTTATTTTCTTTATTTTGATGCCAAAGCTAGATATTGTTCACAGGGGCATACAGATTATAGTTACAGCGTTAAAACAAAAATGATCATTATACCACGAGGGCGCATTTTCACCCCACATTCTAGACGAAAATTCTATTTTTTTTTTTCGACGACGACGCTTGATTCCCATGTTTATTGGGACACCCTGTAGATATATATACATTGGAAATACATGGGATATCTATTTGAAAAATGTAAATTTTCTGTGTTAAAAAGAAAAGTTATTTTTTGTTCCAAAGTTGACAAATAAAAGTTGTTTCTGTTTAGTTTTGTCTCGAGGGGAACCGAGTATACTTGACTTGTATTAATGTTAAGAACAACACTATGATGTAAATAAGTTAATACAGCTCTATAATCCTTTCGTAGTCTCATTAAACTTCCCCCCGAAAGTTTCACCCTAGACACATAAATCTTCAAATTTTGTAGAATATTAACGTTTTTTTGTGTTTCATCCATGAGCCCCTTTATTTTTTTCAGACAATCCCTTTAAAGAACAATGTTAAGTGATGGAGAAAGCCACGAATAAAAAAATCTTTCCTTTGCCTAGATATTATTTCTACATTTATTGCTTCTGATTATAATGATCATTTTCTCATTAATGGATATTATGTATATATTCCTGTCTAATGGTTGTGTATGATTGTAATCAAATAACTTCTACTATAGTTGTGTATCTACACAATGATAAACTTCTGAAAGAACAAATATAAATTAAACAATTTCTAGATAAAATTTAAATTTTTATCTCTGCTACTATAACAAACTTATATAAAAATCTTATTTCACAAAAATCTAAAAAAGGGCAAAACAATTTAATAATTATACTATGTGAGTCAAAAAAAGTGTTTTTAGCGGCGCTCAGTGCAACTCTCCTGAATGGTGTTTTTTCAATATTTTTAAAAAATTTATAATAATATTTGGTACTTCAATGGGCCCGAAAAAAAATCCGCGAACCTTCTTTTCTCTCAAAATCAAAAGTTCAGAAAAGCAAAAATGTGCATATTAACTATTTCTATCAAAATCTAAAATTTCATAAAGATTGAATCACAGAATCGCAGAAAATTCGCAAAATTGTAATGAGAAAATTTGCAATTTTCAGTTCTAGCTTAAATTTTAAGGAAAAGTTGTTTTTCAATGGCTCTTCAGGTTTCAACTGAACAGTGTAAATTTAAAACACTTTAGAATATATACTAAGAAGAATAGTTAATAGCAACAATTCAAGAAGGGTGCGGAGCACCCAGAATTTACAATGCAAAATTCTGCGTTGCATTCTGCAGAATTGTAAAAATCCAGACTGCACTGCAGCATAGTATTGGAGTATTGAATACGTTTATTTGTATAAGAACGGTTTTAACATAATATTAAACATTTTATAGAATGTACAATTCTTGAATTTTAATCCGCTTTTCTTCTAGTTTTGACTTGAAATATAAAATTCAAATTATATAATCAACCAAAAAGTCAGATCTTAAATATTTCAAATGATTTAAATCGTAAAAGTAAAAAAGTTTGTACAGCTTTTTTGGACATTAAGAACTTCTGCTTAAAATATTTGATCTGATGTATGGCAAACACAAATATTTTACTTATTCGAAGCAATCTATTTTTATGCTTGAAGTATTGGAAATTCTTTGATGTTAAAACGAAACAAACAATCCTCTAAACATCTTATTCTTATATTTTGGGTTTATATCTACTTCTTTACTCTACAGAGGTTTGGTCCATCACCATCACCAAATTTTAAAAGGATAATTGAATGTCCAGAAAAGCCTGAATCAGTTGAAAACTGAGGATACATGGCATAAATTACTGAGATAAAAACTAATGTTTCAGAGGGTTTCCCGAAAATCCATTTAGAATTTAGGCAATAGTACGGTTTTTTAAGAGACACCCTGCATAATTTGCCATTTTGACTGCAGGCTGAATTAATAATATACCTGCATGTGCAACATTGGCTGCAGGGTGCATTAATATACCTGCATTTGTAACATTGGCTGCAGGGTGCATTAATATACCTGCATGTGTAACATTGGCTGTAGGGTGCATTAATATACCTGCATGTGTTGTAACATTGGCTGCAGGGTGCATTAATATACCTGCATGTGTAACATTGGCTGTAGGGTGCATTAATATACCTGCATGTGCAACATTGGCTGCAGGGTGCAATAATATACCTGCATGTGCAACATTGGCTGTAGGGTGCATTAATATACCTGCATGTGTAACATTGGCTGCAGGGTGCATTAATATACCTGCATGTGCAACATTGGCTGCAGGGTGCAATAATATACCTGCATGTGCAACATTGGCTGTAGGGTGCATTAATATACCTGCATGTGTAACATTGGCTGCAGGGTGCATTAATATACCTGCATGTGCAACATTGGCTGCAGGGTGCATTAATATACCTGCATGTGCAACATTGGCTGTAGGGTGCATTAATATATCTGCATGTGCAACATTGGCTGCAGTGTGCATTAATATACCTGCATTTGTAACATTGGCTGCAGGGTGCAATAATATACCTGCATATGCAACATTGGCTGCAGGGTGCATTAATATACCTGCATGTGTAACATTGGCTGTAGGGTGCATTAATATATTTGCATTCGTAACATTGGCTGCGGGTTGCATTTTTAATGAAAGCAAGTTGTAATATAATTATACCGCATGAGCAACATTGGCTGAAGGTTGTATTATTATTATTATTATTATTATTATTATTATACTGCATGTGCAACATTGGCTGCAGGTTGTATTATTATTATTATTAATATGTATTATTATCATTATTATTATATCTGCATGTGCAGCATTGGCTGCAGGTTGTATTATATTATTATTATTATGATTTTCATTATTATTATTATTATTATTATTATTATTATTATCATTATTATTATTATTATATTATTTTACCTGCACGTGCAACATCCATCACATTGACTACAGGCGGCACAATCCTCCTCTTGGCTTTCCTTCTTACTCTAAAAGAAGCAAATTGATAAATTTATTTTCTGAAAAATCTCAAATGCACCGAAAAGTCTATGGGTTTTAGGCTTATTTCACATCCTCGCATCCTCGCTAACTCGATATCATGATAAGGATTTTGGAGCATCCTATGTCAAATTGTGCCAAATAAGAAAAAAATATAATCTTTAAAAAAAATACGCCCCCCCCCCTCAGAAAAAGGGATAGTTGCACCCTTGCTTCTAAACATTGATTAAAATTATACTTTGTCCTGTCAACGATGCACGATTAAAAGTTGTAAATCTTAAAGTTTTCGGTCTTTAAAAACTTTTTAGACTTTTTATTTTCAAATTTGAAGATGAATTTATGCATGTAAAAGAGAGATATATTTGTCTACACTGGAATATAGGACTAACCCCCGTTGTTTACATATTCTGTAAGTGTAATTACTCTTTCCTCATGAATACATAATACATATTTATCTTGTATAGTATAACATAAGACCCACATTTACCCATTTTTAAACCTTAAAGAGCACTATTGTGAATTGGTCGGTAAACCTAGAAAAACGAAAACATCTTTTATATTATTTATAAGAAAAAGGTTTCAAGAGTACTCTTGTGAATCGGGCGTTGTCATCTTTGCATGAAGGGTCACTTGAAATTATAACGTACTCAAGTCCCTGTAAGTATCTTGTTAGTTTTTTTTTCAATAAAGCTTTGCAATAATCCAATATGATTTGGAACACTCTGGGTAGGATATGAAAGATCTCCGATATGTATCTAATAATGATATATCTTTACACATACAAGCAGCCAAGCATACATAGAGATTTTTCTAACTTTGAATTTAATATTTTGCAATCATATATTTGTCTGTGATTTATGGACCTAGTGTGAGGACTGAGGAGTTTTTATTTTTCCTATTCATAAAGGCGAGACTAAAGCTAGAGAGGAATAAAAAATACACAATTTATCTTAGGGTTTCGGTTCAAAATTATATAAAATGCAATGATATAACTTCTGTTACTTAGAAATAGACAACCATTTTGTTTCTTATGCTTTAACCATGAAGTGCATAAACATATATCATTACGAATTGTACAAAGTGAGCCAAAAATGTATTTTTGAAGAAAAAAACCATTTGATGAACAGAATTTCGGTTTTGGTGACCGGTTTTTCGATACCAGGTTTCATTTAATATTTTCAAGTTTATGGCTCAGTAACTAATACAAAAAATCGAGTTTTTACCATAAACTTAGATTTTTAAATCCCTTTATCCTTGAAACCTAAATGTTTGACATTTCAAACTAAGACAATTGTTCAATTCAACCGAATTTGTAGTTTTTTAATAAAAAGATCTTAATAAGTAACCGAATAATTTTATTTTTATACTTGTGTGAAAAAATCCAACAGGAACTACAAGGTCAAGTTCTAAAAATGAAAGAAAATCGGAGTTTGTGGCAAAAACTCAATTCCTTTTGTCGGTTCTATGACATCACTGAACCTATGAAAGTAAACTATTCATCACCACCCTGTGAGAAACTAAAACCTTTCTATTTCATGATATTAATGTTATTATTGTTATTATTGGTATTGTTTATCTAGTTCCGGTCGTAAATATTATAAATATTATAATAAATATCATGAGTATTATAAATATTATGAATATTATAAATAGTAGCCCTATTATCTGATTATGCTACCGGTATATTATTTTGGAAATTGTTCGCGAAAAACTAAGGGAGGAATAGAAAAAAGTATTTTAAGAATGTCAGAAAACGCCAAAAAATATTTATTTAAAGAATATTACCTTAAGGGGCAGCACCTGCCCCTCCACTGTGGATTTGCGGAGCGCCAGACTTTCGACACTTTTTCCCAGGGCTCGCCGAGACTTAAACATTTATTCAACTGTTAAATAATTGATTAATGATCTGATTACTCTCCTCATATAACTATAAGTTCTGCTGGATCAAAAAGTCAAAGTTAGAAATAATAAAAGGTTGCAAACTATTTATATACAGTGAAACCCTTAATAACGAATACATCGAAAGAATTCATCAAATGTCGTATTCTTCACTTCCTGATAATGGAATGTTGCAGATATTTAGTTTTTTAATTAATTGATTATATGAAACTCTTTAAAACTGTTCCCGCAAATTCATGGCTATTAATTTATTTTTTGCAAATACTGAAATTTCCCAAATATAGTATAAAACTCAGTAAAAAATTGTCAAGACGACATTTGATAAATTCTTCCGATGTATTTGTTATTAAGGGTTTCACTGTAGTAACCAGAAAACCAGAGTTTGAGGCGACCAATCAGTTCCTTTATTATAACACAAACATTGCTGTATTTTATTATAGGTATAATACTCAATAATTTTTTTATATTTAAACAAAATGTTCGTTTTAGATGGTTAGAAAATAAAATAAAATATATGCAATACAACTTTAAAATATAAATTTAGAATTAAAAAAAAAATATAAATATTCTACCAAACAAACAAGATAATTTCCTACTAAAGTAATAACGCTGTTAGACCTTGACGTTTCTTTACATAACGAAATCTAGCTCAGTCATTCCTCCTTGTAAGAAATTAGCATTTTAAAAAATGTAAAACCAAAAATTTCACCAAAACTGAGGTTTTTTTTTACTTTTTTGAAAACCAGCAACACAGACTAGAAAATCTCTGAAAAACACATAACTAAAAATGCAATTCACTGCAATTCACGATATTAAGGAGGAGGGTTACAATAATTGGTAGAAAATTGCACTGAAACTGCAACAAGAGTTTGATGTGGTATATTGGCTAGGACAAAATATTAAAAAATTGACATTTTGACGAGAAAGTTTCTAACCTTCTTGCTAGTTGCTGAATCTGTATCGTTCTGCCTGTAGTTGATATAGCACATCATATTGTTGTAGTAGGTGTTGTGAATCTACAAAAATATATCCAAATCTTTATTCACAATTTGCTTCGATTTTTTTGGCATTTGAAGTTTAAGGTTTTGAAATAATTTGAAATATAAGAAGCATATTGTGCAAAACCAGTGCTTTAAAGAAAACTGTAAAATAAAAACAAAATAAAGATTTAAGTTTTTTTTCAAAATCTAACTGCTGCAGCAGTGTTTCTAAACTCATTTTATCAAGACATTCTTTAAAAAAATATATACTAATTATTGGGATATATGCAAAATATTGTCTTCTAAATCTATTATCCCAATGTCGTCTCCTTACCTTTTCTTGTCTTGCTTCCAGCTGTTCTCTTGTACTTGGTTGTGCAATCGTCCATCTACAAAAATTATTTTATTATAAAAATTGTGTTGCAAAAGATTTTTGTTTATTTAGTGCGCCATAAGGTCATCTTTCATTGGAGAGGGATGGAAAAGCCGCGGTTACAGGATTGCCAAAAAATTTAAGACTTCAGAAACGAATTTTTCATTTTTTTTTCAAATCGTCTTAATCTTAAAGTTTCATGTCATCATTAAAGTCTCATCCTTTGTGGGTAGCACTGTATGATATACTTATTTTAATATTTTTTCTACTATATAGTTTATTATATATAGTTTATATATAATAGCTTATTTAATCACATTTTTAACCGACAGACATAATTTGCATAGGTTTTATCCAGTATTTATCCTGTATATATCCAGTATATATCCTGTATATATCCAGTATATATCCAGTATATATCCAGTATAGATCCAGTATATATCCAGTATAGATCCTGTATATATCCAGTATATATCCAGTATAGATCCAGTTTATATCCAGTATATATCCAGTATATATCCAGTATATATCCAGTATATATCCTGTATATATCCAGTATTATATCCAGTATATATCCAGTATATATCCAGTATATATCCAGTATATATCCAGTATATATCCTGTATATATCCAGTATTTATCCAGTATATATCAAGTATAGTATATATCCAGTATATATCCAGTATATATCCAGTATATATCCAGTATATATCCTGTATATATCCAGTATGTCTTATATATCCTATATTTATACAGTACATATCCTTTATATATCCAGTATGTAGTATATATTAGTATATATTATACAGCTAGTATATATCCAGTATATATCCTGAGCTGAGAACTTTAGAATGGGATATCCTTAGTCCCGATTGGTTAATTAACCTGGAGATTAATAACAAGAGGCAAACAAGCATTATTTAATCTGGAGATTAAGAAAAAGAGAGGATCAAGCCTTAATCCCGATATCCACCATTCAAAAGTTCCCAGCTCAGTATGTATTATATATCTAGTATATATCCTGTATATATCATGTATATATCCAGTATGTAATATATATCTAGTATATATTATACAGCTAGTATATATCTAGCATATATCCAGATATATTGGTTTCCCATTTGAACCAATAAAACCAAGATTGAAAACAGTGATTTAACATATTCAATGGTTAGACTGCAGTACAAGATTTACTTCCGCTCAGACTTAAATACTTTTAAATAAGAAAAATATTATTAAATTTTATTCATATATAAATTTCTGAATAAATTTCCAATGGTGCACTTATAAACATCTGAAAGTTTTACTTTGCTTGTTTGTTTGTTTTGTATTCAATAAAAGTCAAAACGGCTGAACCAATCGGACCCAAATTTTGTGTGGGACCTGACAGATCCCAGGGCAGGTTTATGGAACACCAAAATTGGAAGAATATTTTTTTTGCGAATATGCCAAATCAAAAAGAAAAATCCGCCAAAATTTAAAAATGTTTTAAATTGGCCGGCTTTCAGGAAGCCTAGAATGAAAATATTTCATGAAGAGGACAGTTAATGAATTTCCCCATTTCATTAGTTTTATAATTACAGGGACCAAATGCATATATTTCAAGATTAATGTAAACATCTGAATTTTTCTTCCATTTACTTTCTTTCATTCTTCTCCAGTTCAAGCTTTATTTTTCTATAAAGATGCAACTTTGGGATAAAGTTTTAACATTATCTGTAGAAATCTATTCAGTATTCATCTGAGAGAGAGGTAAAGAACTAGATGTGCCATTTTGATTTATTATCAAGAAAAACTTATCCAGTCAAAAGCCTTTCTTAAGTCCGATAATGGATCAGATTGAGCCTTGATATCTACTGTTGCAGAAGAGAGACAGAAACTTTTGATTGAGACAGCGCTTATCTCCAGCCACTGAACTCAATATCCACTGCGCAAACTTGTAAACCACATGGATTAACGCCATGAGTTAAGGAAAGCTGGGTTTAAGGTCAAGGCGGAAAGAATCTGTTCAGCACTTCCATAGGAGGGTTTGCTATTTGTAATCAGAGGAATTGACAAATTCTAGTTTTCTAATCCTTATATATTGCAACCCAATGTCATAGACCTTCAATATTTCAAACTATGAATATTCTTTGATCAAATATTTTTTACATATTTTTTATTTTTTTAAATTTTATTTTAAATTTTAACAGTAATCTTTGAATAAATAAATGATATCAGATGCAATTATTTTGACTTTTCGATATATCTTGTTCTCCATTTTCTTCTTGTGTGTACATCTTCAATCATATTTCAGCTAATTTTGAAAAAAAAAATTTGGGACATCTTAGCAGTTGCCATGCTGCTAGTTTAGAACTAGGTTGAGAGTCTCCTGCTTTCCTTCTTTTCTGAACTCTATTTTGGTTCGTGTGTTCTTTTAATCTTACTCATTGCTGATTTAGTCAAAGAACTTATTGCTTTAGAATAATGACACACAGTTGTTCAGGCTGCTTTCAGCATTATATTTCCTGACTGGGACATTTTCTATGTTTTGAGACCTCTCCAAGTAGTTTTTGTGACATTGAGTTGTGGAGCTGGAAGGAAAGAGATAAGGAAGTTCGGAGGAGGAAGGGCATGAGAGATTTCAGTAGAAGATCCCTGCTTTCCTTCGTTTTAAAGTCTTTCCAGCTAATGCAGAATTAAGAAAACCAAAACTGCACTGCTTATGCAAAATGGGGAGTTGGCATCCTTAAAGCCTCATATGATGGAATCTTCCACAATAGTCCAGTCCTCACAGCCTGCCAAGTAAAAAACCAGTATTATTGTACACAGCTTGTATATAACTATCAGGGGTTATACTACTGTGTTCCTTCTTTCAGCTGGGATGTTCAGAGAGAGGAGAAGAGAAAGAACCTACTCCTTCACTGTTTAAATTCTATTTTTCGCTACTCCCCTGTAGGATGAGTCATGATCAATTATATGCAGCGCTCTTCCTAACTGTGAAGCCAGGAGCTACTAGGACATTAGGTCCGAACCCCGCCGAGAACAGAAAGCAACTGTTCTTTGATCAAATAATCTAAGTCCGAAACATCTAAGGTTTACGCCAAATTAACCCCAATAAATGTTGTATGACACTGTAACACATCATATTAACTATGAAGAGGGATGGTAAATAAGTATATTAGATGATATAAAGATTATAAGAGGATTAGGCGTACATATATAACAAGTCCTTTTCAGTATTTAATAAATGGAACTAGAAGGAGGAGGAAGAGAGCCTCAAAAAAAAAGAGGAAACACCTCAACTTTAAATATTAGGAAACGCCTCAAAAATATTCGGAAATCCCTCAACATTTTCCAGTTTTGAGGGATTTCCCAAAAAAAACGGAAATTCCTCAAAACCGGTTTTTGAGGCATTTCCGCGTTGAGACGTTTCCGTGTTGAGGCGTTTCCATAGCACCTCCCCCTCATAGAGCTGTGTTCTTTATTCCTTTTTATTATGTTTTATTTTGTTCTTTTTAATTTCAAGATGGCCACCAGTACTCAACTTTGTGTAAAATGTGCTGCAGAATCTTAACATTATATGAGTATATTCCATAATATATTCATAAAAGAAGTTCGTCCCAACCCATTTAAACCATGGGTAGTGCAGGATTTAAATGTTTCAAAATTATTTTCTAATCAGTACACTATGTCGTAGACCTTTGATTTGATATTTCAAACTATGAAAAATAATCAAATATTCAGAGTGTGAAATATGGTTTACACCCTCAGGTTGACAAGGTATAGGAACTTAAAATTTTAGCTTTAATTGATTTCTTTCCACGGTCAATTTGATTTTGCATCTTCTATATATATAAATTTGGCTTGTCTGTCTGTTTGTCTATTTGTCTGTTTGTTTGTATCCAATAAACGTCAAAACGGCTGAACCGATCGGGCCCAATTTTTTTGTGTGTGGGACCTCACGTGACCCCAGGGAAGGTTTATGAATGATCAAAATTTTAAAAATTTGTGTTTAAAAGTTTTTTATTTTTGAAAAATTTTGAAAATGCGCAAAAAATATTATGAAATCCGCAAATTTTTTTTGTTTTTGTTTTATACAGTACAAAGAGAACATGTTTAGAGATAAAGCCACAATTAAAAGTTAAAATAGAAGATGGGGGCGAAGCGCCCTAAAAGCCTAGTAATTTTAAATTTTATAGAAGTATCAGGTTAACAAGGTTAATGGATGAGAAGAATTTAGTTTGAGGTAAGTTTTTGGTCCCTGTTTTTAGAAAAAACAATGGTCAACACTACTCATCTCTCATGTTTATCCTTCCTATTTTAACAAATAGAATTCTATACTCCAACCTCTACTTATCTACCTTGTTCATCCTTCCTATTTTAACAAATAGAATTCTATACTCCAACCTCTACTCATCTCCCTTGTTCATCCTTTCTATTTTAACAAATATAATTCTATACTCCAACCTCTACTCATATCCCTTGTTCATCCTTCCTATTTTAACAAATAGAATTCTATACACCAACCTCTACTCATCTCAGTACAAACCCCTATTTTGTCTGATTACTGATTAGCCTTTTTATCGTAGCATTTAACTGTATGTAAACAAAAGCACGAACAAAAAAAAGAAAAATTTATTTTTTCTGAATCCCGGTCAACATCTACTTAACACTTTTAATGTTTTAAGGTCCCTTCAGTTTTATTTCTAAAACACTTTTTTGGTGAAGAGAGTCTCAGTGTATATTATATATAATAGCTCGCCAAGGGAATTTAATATTCGTGTTACATTTATATTCAACTGTAAAGTGTAAAGTATATACGTATACCATTATTTTTAATTTGACAATATTCTAAATTATAGAAAATTTTCTTTAGAAAAATACGTAGATTTTCAAATAAAATGGCCGAATTTTTATGAAAAAATTAGATGTTTCAATCCTTGAAATATTCCTGATGCTTGAAACTCTTGTTAAACTTGAAATAAGATGTGAAAGTTAAACTATAGAATTTTAACAGGGTAAACTTTCATAATGGTATTTTTTCTTACACAGGGTGTATTAAGATAACGTTTTAAAGACACAATCATACATCTCTGGGTCTTTGAGCATCTACAGGGCTACCCTAACGGTTATCCACAATGAACGGCATATTGTTTTGAATAATATATTTAATGATTTGGTCAAAGAAAAAAAGTTTATAGTTGCAGAGAACAGTAAATGTAAGAAAAAAGAAGATGTAAGTTCCTTTTAGACGATTCTGAACTCCCATCTTTTGTGGGAAAACCTGTATAGTGTACGTATCTTTCCGATGGATTGATAGTATAAAATACAGGGTGTCCCAAAAAACATGGGAATTCAGTGACGAATTGTATATCGTCTTTGCTATGAATTAGCATTGTAATACCTAATTTCAAAAGCCATAATATTATTATGTCTGCTAGAGTTTATTTTATGAAAAGGGTAAAAGACTGTAAAGATGTGTCTAAAATGTCTCCGCAAGATAAACAGTGAAGACGGACAAGTTTTCTCTGTTTGTATACTGCAATTTTCTTGTTTTACTAAGTACAACTGTATGCAGTCAAAACATAAACAAACAAAATGTAAACATAGCAGACGAAACTCTTACAGATTAAAGCTTTCTCAGTTGGTATCACCATACTAAATCAAAGAATTATTTAAAAAGACGATATCGAATTCGTCACTGAATTCCCATGTTTTTTGGGACACCCTGTAGTTTATTGCTGTATGTATAGCACTGAAATTGAGTAAAAAATAGTGGTTGAAGTTAATAAATATTTGAAGTCGATCATTCTCAACCCACACTCATTTTTTTCTTTGAGTTCCCAGATTTAGCCAAGAACTTATAAATAATTTTGATTACCAGTATATGTTCACGTTAGGTTGTAAAAATTGCATATTTTAGTTCATATAGTGAACAATGTCCGAATTTATTGAATTTAAGCCGTGTCTCAAATCCCCCAAAAACCGGTTTCAATTGAGCCACGGTTCAAATTCTTTAAATTCGTCCTCAGTATTATTAAATGGATGGAGATCTATATAAACCATATTTAATATTGAAAAATGCGAATGTTTTCAACTCGGAAAATATCAAAACATTTTTATAGGAAATAAACTTCATCCCCGAATATATTTCCCAGTTAAGTATCTATCTACAGAAAGATTGAAATTAAATGTGAAATTACCAAGTTTACTATAAAATAAAAAATAGATTTAGAAATCGTTGACAAAACAGAATTCTCAAGTTACAAGATAAAAATAGAATTTATAAACTTATTTTGGAAATTGAAATGAAAATTAAACAATAATAATTTTTGAATTTTTCTGTTTTGTTTTCTCCAAATACAAATGAATGTTAAACGTTTTACAAAAATACTATATTGTTTATGATAAAAGTTTTCTGTTCAAGTGTGATTAATACAAGTTCAAGCACTGTATTAAATGTAAACTGTTGTACATGATCCAGTGTGGTTGGTATAATGACATGTACTAGATAACTGTATTGAGTGTAAACTGGTTGTACATGTTCCAGTGTGGTTGGTATAGGTGCATGTACTGGTTAGCTGTATTGCGTGTAAACTGTTGTACATGATCCAGTGTGGTTGGTATAATGACATGTACTGGATAACTGTATTGAGTGTAAACTGTTGTACATATGATCCAGTGTGGTTGGGATAATGACATGTACTGGATAAATGTATTGAGTGTAAACTGTTGTACATGATCCAGTGTGATTGGTATAATTGCATGTACTGGATAAATGTATTGAGTGTAAACTGTTGTACATGATCCAGTGTGGTTGGTATAATTGCATGTACTGGATAAACGTATTGAGTTTAAACTGTTATACATATCCAGTCCAGTGTGGTTGGTATAATTGCATGTACTGGATAAATGTATTGAGTGTAAACTGTTGTACATGATCCAGTGCGGTCGGTATAGTTGGATGTACAGGATATCTGTATTGAGTGCAAAACTGTTGTACATGATCCAGTGTGGTTGGTATAATTGGATGTACTGGATAACTGTATTGAGTGTAAAGTGTTGTAAAGGTTTTCTGTCAGAAGCTTTATTATTCTATTATCCCTCCCTCCGCACTAATCCCTAATGAATATAATAGAGTTGTTGCATTGTGTTGTTATTCTTACAGATAATTAGCATTTTACGTTAAAGATTTTATAATTGCAATGTTGCGGTAATTTAGATGTCTAAGTTTAAGTCTGTGTGAATACACTTTCAACTCCATTCTTAGGCATATACTTATTAAAATATATTTTTTGTTGCGGGAATAAACCTTTGAAATATTTGATTATATCAAGTAGATTCAGCAGTACAATGCACTTGAACTGACAGAGCAAAACTTGACAGATACAGACCGGACCAGTAAGTTGTCGATAGTAAATTTGCGTAATTCCAAATTTCTGTGTGTATTTTGGATAACGAAACAATCTTTTTATGAGGCAAAATAATTAAAATATTCAGTTTTCCTCGATAAAATAATCATAATTTTTATCTGCCAAAATTCGTTCACCAAATTATTAAAACTGGGTTCACGATAAACCTGGTTTCATACAAAAGGCGGTCATAAGTTTTGCGCTCCGGTGTACTGTGTAAAACAATTAACAATGCACAGTTTGTATATTATGTGTGGTTTATTTAGTAAAAATGTAATGTAAATACATAAGTTTTGCGCTCCGGTGTACTGTGTAAAACAATTAACAATGCACAGTTTGTATATTATGCGTGGTTTATTTTGTACAAATGTAATAATGTAAATACATACGTTTTGCGCTCCGGTGTACGGTGTAGAACAATTAACATTGCTCAGTTTGTATATTATGTGTGGTTTATTTAGTAAAAATGTAATGTAAATACATAAGTTTTGCGCTCCGGTGTACGGTGTAAAACAATTAACATTGCTCAGTTTGTATATAATGTGTGGTTTATTTTGTACAAATGTAATAATGTAAATACATAAGCACAAAAAAACAATACGAATATATCTGTAAACGAAGGTTGTATGTATATTATTTATCTTTTTTTCGGACAAGATGTATATAATTAAGAAAATAAGGTAAGAACTTAATACAATCTTTAACATTATAAAAACGTATCTGTACATAAGAAAGCTATGTCGAGTGTACGTTTCACCTTGCTTCCACTACGCATAAAGTAATAAAAGGAAGAGGCGAAGCTTAGCTCAGATGTACCCAACCAACCTTCCTATTGATTAATTAATAGAGTGGTCGGTTGTATACATCACAATATGTTTACGTATCTAACACTGTACACTTGTTTATAAAGTGATCGTATTTCTAAGGGAGATTTTATGGAATTGACCAATTTTAGATTTTCTTTCTTTATTCAAATCCATATTAAGTGTCTATATAATTATCAATACTAACATTCAAATATCTACATAAAACCACCCCTTAGAAATACGATCACTCTATATACAAGTGTACAGCGTTAGATACGTAAACATATCGTGATGTACACAACCGACCACTCTATTAATAAATTAATAGGGAAGTCGGTTGTGTACATCTGAGCTAAGCTTCACCTCTTCGTTTTATTACTCTATGCCACTACGTATTACAACCTACAATACATGATCACCACGGGCAGTCGTGGTACATTTGAATTTCCGAGCCGGGTCAACCTTTACGGTCCCAGTTTGTACTGTGTCGCCCGGACATTTGGTAAATAAAGCAGACACTTAATAGGACTAGCCCATGACTTGCCGGTGCAACAAGGTTGACGCGATCAGACTAGATTGATTGCGTGTCACACCTAAATTAATTCCCCAACCCCCTAAAGATTGAAGACACACCAATGCAATGAAATAAATCAAGGATATAAACTTGTAAATGTTTTAACATATTCTATTCGAAAACCGTAAATATAAAACAATTTTATTTTTATTTTAAAACTTTTTCAACTTTGATGTTTTGATCAAGAATTAGAACTAAAATTAATTATGTCTCCTTTATAGAAACCAATCTCTCAAACTAGATAGACAGAGAGATTATAAATAAGAGTAAAATTAGATGCATCAAACACGCCAAACTAATTTCAACTACAATCTAATATGTTTTCAATCATAACTCTTCATACTCAAGTCTTCAAGAGCACTTAAGAACAAGAAAAATGTTTTGAATGTTTAATCTGTAACAGGATAAATTTGCTTTTCTTCTATACTTGTGCATAAAATCAAAACTAGAAAGGCTACAAGGTCACAAAATCGTACCAGTGATGTCAAATACGATTTTCTCCTTTTTTCTAGTTTCTGGTGCGAGCCTTATCTTTTTTCAAGAGATAACTTAATGATTCAAGTGCAGCAATTTTTGTATGGTTTTATCTCATTGATAATATTTTAGTATCAATCAATATTAAAATTAATCAAAAGATGGGTTTCTTTGGGGTAGAGGGGGGGGGGTTAATTGTTATTTAAAAAAAAAAATAATCTTACCTGCTTCCATATTGTTTACTAAGAGGATACTGGTTAAGCTGGTATGATGATTTACTTTTCAATGTGTTTGCTCGAATCAAAGTATCTAAAAACGGTATTTTTATAATGGTGTATACAATGTATAGTAGGTCATCAAAACTATGTTACACAATTCAAAATTTTGTTGTTGACAGTTTTCTTTCATTACACTGTATTTCCATCCTCCTAAAACTAGAATGCCTCGTAAGGACTCCTGATTTAAAAAGGAAGTTTAGCTTGATTTCTCCCTCTAATAGGAAGTTGAGCCCAAACCTCCTTGTTATACTTCTCTTATGACGTATATACTCTTCTTTGAAGGAGAATATAATCCCTCAAGAGGAAGGAAAAGTCTAGTTCTAAGGAAGCGAGTTCCATCCAGAGTTCCTTAAATAGGAAGTTGTCGGAATACGGTCCTGGTACCATAGAAACGCACTTTTCCTTCCTTATATAGGAATGATAAATGTTTCAAAGCGGAGTAAATGCGTCAAAAGAGAAGTATAACAAGGAGGTTTGGGCTTAACTCCTATTAGAGGGAGAAATCAAGCTAAACTGCCTTTTTAAATCAGGAGTCCTTACGAGGCATTCCAGTTTTTGGACGATGGAAATACAGTGTACAATAAGCGAAATTTGACTTTGAAAGAAGATGCAGACCTGAACAGAGAAAAACAAAGCAAACTTTAAAAGCAAACAATTCTAAAATTGTTTAAACTTCTCGGATGATCGGTCTCTTAAAACCTTTAAAAACACAACTAAAAAGAGACAAAAAAAAAAGTTTTTGGAAGATTTTGAATATTGCTTAAATACATAAATAGTTTAAATTAGTAATAAACATTATATTCAATTTTGAAACCTTAGAAGTAGGATTTTTACATCGCCTTAGAATAAACAAAGATAAATTTTTTCATGTTTTAAAACCTTAAATCTACCTGAGGGGGGGGGGATATTTCTTGTTTAAAAACATTTAATCTTTTGAAGTTAATTTTACACAAGAACCTAAAAATGCAGAAAGGTTGAAAGATAGGTAAAGAAAGATAAATATGGTAGGCTGCCAAGATAAAGAATTATCTAGGTATATGGAAACATGGTCTGTATACTATTTTATATTTAGTACATACAACATACTGTATATTTAGGTTTAAACTGTAAAATATATGCTTTCAATAATCCGTCGTATAATCCAACATTTTTTTTGCACTCGTTTATTTGTAATAATATTTTTTCAATACTGGTTTAGGTGCCTCTATTTGTTGTTCCTATAAATCAAAAAACAATAAAAAAGCAGAATTTCGTTGTACAAAAGTGAATTTTAAAAAAGTAATAAAAACTTTTGAGGGCAACATTTTTAAATTTCGACCGGCCATGTTGGCCAATTTGGTTCCGGGTTAACGTTTATTGGATACAATCATGCAAACCAACCAATTAACAGACAAATACTTGTACAAATCAATATATAGATATATTTATTACCTGTAGGATCAGCATGTGATGAATAGTATAAATATATATTACCTGTAGGATCAGCATGTGATGAATAGTATAAATATATATTACCTGTAGGATCAGCATGTGATGAATAGTATAAATATATATTACCTGTAGGATCAGCATGTGATGAATAATATAAATATATATTACCTGTAGGATCAGCATGTGATGAATAGTATAAATATATATTACCTGTAGGATCAGCATGTGATGAATAATATAAATATATATTACCTGTAGGATCAGCATGTGATGAATAATATAAATATATATTACCTGTAGGATCAGCATGTGATGAATAATATAAATGATGAAGAGAGTTCCTATGACCAGAGTTCATTCTGCCTAAACAATTTAACTTTATTTACTTTTTAGAATTTATAAAGATAAAATTTGTGTCTAATACTTTAGTTGGATTTTTACAATTTGTATTTCTTACATCTGATTTAAAATGATAAAGGTCAGTATAAATTAAAAGTTTTCCAGGTTATGAATGATTCCAACATTTTGAATTTTTCTGAAAAGAGAAAATGAATAAAAATAGAATAATAAAATATTCATTTCCCCATTTTCCGGGACATCAGATTTTAGTATTATTTCCTGGAAGTGGGAATATATGTAGAGGAGGACATTTTTAAATTATATTATTTACAAACTAGGCTTATAGGGTGCTTCGCGTTAATCTTCTTCTAATAATGTTTCTTTAACTCCAATCATTGTTTCTTCTTGTGCAGGGTGTCTCAATAAACATAGGAATTCATGGTGACGAATTCGATATCGTCTTTTCAAAAATTCTTAAATTTAGTATATTGATACCTATTGAGAAAGCTGTAACGCGTAAGATTTTCGTCTGCTATGTTTACAATTTGTTTGTTTATGTTTTGACTGCATACGGTTGTACTTAGTAAAACAAGAAAATTACAGTATACAAACAGAGTAAACTTGTCCGTCTTCACTGTTCATCTTGCAAAGACATTTTAGACACATCTTCACAGCCATTTACCCTTTTCAAAAAATAAACTCTAGCAGACATAATACTATTATGTCTTTTTAAAATCTGGGTATTGCAATGCTAATTCATAAAAAAGACGATATTGAATTCGTCACTGAATTCCTATGTTTATTGGGACACACTGTACGTTATAATGTAAAAATACAATCTAAAGGAATTGAGTTTTTGCCACAAACTCAGATTTTCTAATTCCTATAACTTAGCAACCTGTTTTCCTAGACCTTAGATATTTCAAACTATTCATTCTGGTAGATCAAATAGTCTAAATTTGAAATATCAGAGGTTTACAGCATCAGGTTGCAAAGATATAGGGGTTAGAAAATATAAGTTTGTTGCAAAAACTCAATTCCTTTCCGCGGATTTTTTTTAAAATTTGATGCAACATTTTTTACTTTCGACCGGTTTTAAATATAGCCTGGGGTCATGTAAGTTTATGCTTGTTCAGTTCAGCCGTTTTGACGGTTTTAGACACAAACATGTCAATCAACAAACAGACAAACAAGTTACATAGAAGAATGGGTGTATAATTGATTGCAGTAAGAATCGGAAAAGTATTACTTAGTAATGAAGATTCAGATTAGGGCTGGGGTCCGCTGTTCAAAACTTTTTTATGACAATTGTTTAAACTTTTCAAGCGATTGAAACAAGGAGTATCAAATAGAAGGGAGATAGAACTGACTCGGCCCGCCCTGCCATATGATTATTGCATACTTTGCAGACTGGTACTCCATTTGTATAAGAAATATTCAGAATAGGTTATTGCATACGCGGTTATTGTACATTAGACAAATGGACAACTAGTCCACTAGACAACTAGACAATAGTCTACTAAACAACTAGATAAATGGACAACTAGTCCACTAGACAACTAGACAATAGTCTACTAAGCAACTAGATAAATGGACAACTAGTCCACTAGACAACTAGACAATAGTCGACTAAACAACTAGATAAGTGGACAACTAGTCCAACTAAACAACTCCGTACCCAGACATATTGTGAAATTCTGGATTTCAAAGAAACCGAAATAAGCAGAATTTTAGAAAATGTGAGAACATTAATAATTAAAAAAGCAGGAAATTATACACCGTAGGAAAATGATAATCAGCTTAACAACATAATTCTACATCAGGAGAAGGAAAGGCATAAGTAAATTGGAATATGAAAGATGTGAGAAATAATTTATTTATTATTCATATAATTAATAAATTAAGATCTATAAGAAAGGAGTCCAATCAAAACATAAATTAATTAATCCTGGAAAGTATCTAACGAGTAAGGAAGCCACCTCTTTTCAATATTATTTAACATAATAACGTTCTTTAAAGAGTTTCTCTGCAGAAGTGACTTGCGCATTTATTGTTTGTAAGAAGCGACGGAGAAACATACAGAAATAAACAATTATCGAGTCGTGAAAACGACGGTTTTCCCACAATGTTAATAAAATTAAGGTTTCAAGGATACCGAATTGTAAATCGGTCATTTCCATCTTTGCATGGAGGGTCACTTGAAATTACGCCTTACAGTCTCTTTAATTTTTACCTTTTAAAGCTGTATAAACAGAACATTTGTAAAGATTCAAGTCTATTTTTACATGATAGGGGACCGAAATCTTTCTTCTGGAGTTTTATCTGAAAATAGAAAATAAAATATGTCGTCGATCTATATTTATTTGATCTAGTTAGTTTATACGTCTTTAACATCAATTTGTTCCTTAATACAAGTAATTACTGGACTCTGTATAGAGGATATATAAACCAGCAAGGTTGGAGACCAAATATGAGATAAAACTCCGAGTGTCATATTGTAAGGCCGAGTGCCTACTAGAGCCCTTCCATCCTCCACTTATTTCGAGGTCCGAGGCTGATAGCTCCTGCTCTCATACCTAGATTCATCAATTCATTCATTTCATCTTTACAACACCAATCTTATACAGGACATCCTCAATTCTTCTCATCACTCTTCATTCTGATATATTCAAACCCAATTTTTAATCAATCATTTCCTAATTTTCAATCCCCGGTCCTAAGGCATGAAAATGAAAAATTTTCTTTATCTATTTTTAGTTTTTCATTCCTCAATTCTTAGTTCTGATATACCTCAATTCTTAGTTCTGATATACCTCAATTCTTAGTTCTCATATACCTCAATTCTATGTTCTCATATACCTCAATTCTTAGTTCTCATATACCTCAATTCTTAATTCTCATATACCTCAATTCTTAGTTCTCATATACTTCAATTCTAAATTCTCATATACCTCAATTCTTAGTTCTCATATACCTCAATTCTTATTCCTCATTCCTCACTCATCAATTCTCATTACTCGTTCCTCATTTCTCACTTCTCATTTTTCATTCCTCATTACTCATTCGTTATTTCTCATTTCTCATGCCTGATTTATCATTTTCCATTTTTCATTCTTCATTTCTCATTTTTCATTCCCATTTCTCATTTTTCATTCCTCATTTCTAAGTTTTCATTCCTCATTTCTCATTTCTCATTTCTCATTCCTCATTTCTTTATTTTCATTACTCGTTTCTCATTTTTCATTTTTTTTTCATTTCTCATTGCTTATTTTTCATTCCACATTCTTCATTTTCTCTCTTGATTTCTCATTCCTCATTCGACATTTTTACCTCTTCATTCCTCATTCTTCATTTCTCACTTCTCATGCATTCCTTATTCCTCGTTTCTCATTCATTATTCTTCACTTCTAATTTCTATTTCATATTTCTCATTTCTCATTTATATAATTGTAAAGAGGTTTGTATAATTTTATCCCTTCAAGATCTAATTATTATTCATTTCTTATTTCTATTATTGTTAACAGGTTTGTATAATTTTATCTCTTCAAGATCTAATTATTATTCATTTCTCAAGCATCTAAAACAGGTTGCTATTTGATAAATAAGATAAACGTTTATTATAAATTTGTTTCCCCCCTTTTTAAAACAAATTCAATGCATTTATTCAAGTTCGGCACGAAGATTAAGTTAAGCCATTTAAATCAAGAACATTTAGAGCACGTTTTTTAGTACTTCGAGTAGCCATTAAATATTCAATATTCAATATTTATTTCTTACAAATAATAATAATTATTATGACATAATAACAGCAATAAGGAATATATGTACATTATATTTAACTACGCAAAAGTGAAGTGTTTTAAACAAAAAAAGTCCTTAAAAACAAAAATTTGCTTATATCAGCACACCTGCATATTCCTTCAAACAAAGAAACCTTTTTTAGGACTCTGAATTTTGAAAGAAAGTTCCATCAAAGGTTTAATGATTATATGTTGAAACAAAAAACAACTGAGGATTTGAAAAGCTCAACTGAGCATTATTATAATGAAAGACGTTTCACTGGATTTGATTTCACCACAAATTGTTCGCTGCAAAATCGCTGCTCATGATGAGGGTGTTTTCTCCGCTTAAACTTAGAACTTCTCTAAGACAATTGAGAAAAACTTGATCACATTTTGCCAGTATAAAGGGAGGAAGAATTCCCTCCATGCTAGTCCCCTTTCAGCCAAGTTTTCAAGGGATTTGGTCCTCTTCTCCTTGATACAGGGTTTATTGAAGACATTCTGCCTCCTTCTCCTGAAAAATCAGAACTAAATACTTATAAATAAAAGAAATTTGGTCTTTGTTACAAACTCAAATGTTCTAATCCCTAGAACTTTGAAACCATTTGGGGCCAACCTTTTATATTTCAATCTTAGACTATTTAATTTATCTAAATATTCGTAAATAAATATAAAGATTAAAAAAAACAGAGTTTATTTTGACACCAATTTTTAGAAAATTGTCAGTACTAACCTTGGTTTAGACAAGATTTCCACTCGTCGATTGAAATTTTCTTATCCAAGTTGAGATCACAGTATTTATTGATGCGCTTACCGCACAGTTTCAACCCTGCTATTGCGCGCAGTTCACCTTTAAACGCGCGTATTTCTTTTCTCTTTAAAACCTGAACAAAAAATGTAAGATGCAAACATCAAAAAAATTAAAGATGAAGGATTGAAAATCTGATAATATGTAAAGTTTACCCCATCTTTGTTTCTGTCAAGAACTGAGAATTTCCACATAATACTATTCTCTGTAGAACTCAAACTGGAATCTCTAAACATAAAAGTATTAATAGATTTTTATTATTAAATACCAAGAATTTGTTTTACCAAGTTTTATATATAACTAGCCTACTACTATAGTTACTTTAAGTCCCTTTTATATTTAAAACTTTTTAAGCCGCCACTTTTCCTTGGTAAAAATGAAGAAAAAAAATGCTTAGTTTTATAAAATTTAAACTGGACCTGCTCGGTTTTAACGCTTTGTTTTCATTGGACACAAATTATATATTATACAAAAATAAACATAATTATAACAGCCCTGTTTAAAGATAAAAAAATCACAATTGTTTTTACTCAGAAATCATTCTTTTTAAAAAAAAATTGCAACTTTAAAACTGTTGTTGTTTTGTTTACCTGTACTGAGTACTGGAAGAGCTTCTATCCATTCTCTCTCTAAACCAATCCTTTAGTTCAGACAGAAACTGATCCCTCTTTACACCCTCACACTTCAACCATTCCCTCCTTAAACATATCAAAAATAATAATAAAACTAATAATAATAAAATAATAATAATAATAATGATAATAATAACTATAGCTTTGTATACCTGGAGGGTTTAGTACAGTCTGGTACATGATGTTTACTAGATGTACCGGGTACTGGTCTTCCTGTACCCTTCTCTACACACCAGCAGTACCCTGTACTCTTGTAGCACTGTACTTCGTTATATTCACCTGAAAACAATAGAATTAAAATAATACTTTTTAATTGATAAAATTATCTATTATTAGAACAGAAGCCCGAACTTTTGTGAAGTAAATCCCAGGATCAAGTATTAATTTACGGATTAATTTAATTCTTCTTCGATATCCGGTGATGGGCATACTCTGCAGGGATAAATTTAAAAGAGGGATCTAAAATTCAAAAGTGTTCATATTGGATATAGAGAGCAAGCATTCAAGTCTAACAATATTCACAAAAAGTATTCGATCTCAGATCGGCCAAGAAATATGTAAAAATGTAGGACATTTACCTCATCATTTACCTCATCATTTAGCTTAAGAGACAATTCATTTTCCCCTATAATCGTTATTTACTATTTACCTGTTCGATCGCATTCAGGAATATAAGTCGCCTCATTTCCTGCCCTCGCTTCCTTGGTAGCCTCTTCTCTCTCCGTTTTACAGTCTCCTCGACCCTCCCTCCAACTTCCCTCGTCGTCTTGTCCCTCCTTCCAATCTCCCTCCTCATCCACTTCCTCCTCCATCTCCTCCTCCTCCTCTATGTATTGTCGATTATACAGACTCGGACTCGGACTATCATCTTCAAAGAAAAATGTAGAAATTAATTGAACTCATCCTTTTTAATCAACATATTTTGGCGGCATGATGAAGTAAACCTTGATATTTTATTGGATGTAACAGGATCAATGATAAAAGGACATGGGCGTATTCCGAAATTTGCCCATTTACATTTTTTTTTCCAGGGGGGAGCTCAGCACCCGTTGGGGTCTGAAAACCCCTTGAAGTCCATAGATTTCACTGGTCCAGGGGGGGGGGGGGGGCCCCTACAGGCCCCCCCTGAATACGCCTCTACAAGAAAATTACAGTATACAAACAGAGTAAACTTGTCCGTCTTCACTGTTCATCTTGCAAAGACATTTTAGACACATCTTCACAGCCATTTACCAGGGCCCCTACAGGCCCCCCCTGAATACGCCTCTGTGAAAGGATCAGAAAGTTCGAGTTTGAAGGGGAGTTACATATTCTATTAAAGAAATAAGTTTTTTTTTACCTGGAGATAGATGCTCCTCCTGCTCCTCCTCTCCTCGAATCCCCGTTCTCTCTTCTCCTCTCTTCCTCTCCCTCTCCTCCCGTCTTCTTATCTCATCCTCATCACTGTTCAGGCTCAAGAACAACTTGAAGGAAACTAAAGAAAAAAAACTTAGTTTAAAAATATGTTATTTTTTAAAAGGACTGAAGGCGTTATTTCAAGTGACCCTCCAGTTATAAAGTGACGTGTCCGATTTCCAACAGTACCCTTTAAAGGGAGTGTTCGCGAAAAATGAAAAGGGGGTATAGGCTTAATGCGATAAAAAGCGCTTTTGATTGCTACTAATCTTACTTCTATCTTTGCGTCTATAAGGAGAAAATTGTTAAAAACGACTCACACCGAAGAACGTAGCGTCCATACAGCGAACACTCCCTTTAAACCTTTGATTGACCAAGGATATCGGACTTATCCTCATTAATCTACAGAAACACTTTTGACGGTTGAAAACTTTGTTTTCAAGCTGTTTTAAATTTAAAGAAGATCAATACTTACTTTCTAGACTTGCCAAAAAACTAAAAACTTCGAAACTAAAAAAGTGCAAAACTAAAAAAATTCAAAACTAAAAAATTCGAAAATAAAAAAGTTAGAAACTATAAAAGTTTTTTTGAATGTTTGAAAATCTTTTTTAACATAAAATATTCGGTGATTTGAAGGTTCACAAGTAACGGATTAGCTTTGTTGACTTCACACTGGATGCAGTGTACACCAGGTTTTAAAAGAGTTCAAGCGGTACTTAATAGTTTTATACACAAATATCTCTGTACTCGATGAAAAGACAAATGTTAAATTGTATCGTAATAGATCGGGCAGTGCCCTCTTTGCATACAGGGTCAATTGAAAATACGCTTACAGTCCAGTTAAACTTGTTGATTTATTTAATTTAAACAGCGTAATGGCTTCATATCGACTATGACTTTGCTTACAATTTTTTTCGCTAAATCTTGAGCCGACATTCATATTTAGTATTATTTTGATTAAAACATCTAACAAAAAGAGTGTTTTTTTGCGAACTTTTTAAGCCAAAATTATGACTAAAAGGATAATTTCTAATACTAATTTATGTTCTTTAATGCCCCTGTCCCGAAAAACATGTAAATTTTTAAAACGTTTGATTTATAAATCTTACAATTTTCCTCTAATCCTGAGCAGGATCTCCATTCCTGTTTAGAAATCCTTCGATCCGAATCCATGTCACAAAACTTAGTGAACGTCCGACTGCAGCCACGAGGTCGAAGAACCTTCAAAATTAATGGTTTTCATTTAAATTTTGTAAATTTTGATAAATTTTTGTAAATTTTTATGAATTTTTGTAAATTTTTGTAAATTTTTGTAAATTTTGTAAATTTTTCATTTTTTCCTTCAAATTGTAGTACTTCTAGTTTTGTAAATTACCAACAAAGACAGCTAAACCAGTTTTGAAACTGACAACGATGAAGTTTATTTCAGTCTGATGTATTAGGAAGCAACTTTTCACTTGCATCCAACTATTTTTTCCTAATCCATTTATCTTTGCAAGCTGATGGTGTAACTAGACACTTTTTATATTTTACACTTTAATTGTTCGATTGACCAGAATTTATTGTTTAAAATATCACAGGCATACATCATAAATAAATTTTTATACGGATCAGAAAATTTTAGTATGAGGAAAGTAATCAGTTTCTTTATTTTATAATTTTAAATAAATTAATTTGGTTGAAATATTTCAGTGACTGGAGGTGAAAGACACAGTGAATAAGCATGAATCTATAAAGAGCCCGAAATTTTAGAGCATCGTCATTGAACCTGGTAAAAGTATCTAGGGTTTCGTTTATTGGCTAGACAATTTGTATAATTTTTTTGGGTTGAAGATTTATTTCATATTCTTCATCTAGCATTATTTTTACAATTTTCTGACTCTTACATGAAAATCTTCACAAATATATTGTTACCAAAACGGAAATGATCCTTTCTTTAATTAGCGGCTCAGTTTACAATGTTCATATGCACTGCACGTACGTAAATATGTAGTACACTACACTTGTTTTAAACCTCAACATTGTGGATAACATTGTTATTAAGCAATTTTTGCCGGTGTAAAATAATCTTTTTAAAAGGGAAATTTTAAAGTTTTAAATGTTACAAAAACACCAAGTATTTACCTTTCTTATATCTTCCTTAAATTGTTTTAATTCTTTATTTTTAAGAACTCCGTCCCTATCCTCATCCAGCTGGGAGAATTTCCATTCCATTACCTAGATTTATAATTTTTAGTTTGGGTTCATTTCAGACTTTTTTCATCTTGCTTTTGTACAATTTTAGGTTTATACTTTTGTCCTTTCGCTATAACTAATTTTCTAATCTTTAATAACAATTATGGAAAATATCATCATTATTCAACACTGAGATATGACCGCCATCTATTTTTTGGTCATAATATGAACCTGAGACCACAAATGTTGTAGTCATGCTAAAACTTTTGCTATTAATTAATTACAATAAAAAATATATATTATTTAAATGTAATCTCCAATTTGGGTTTAAGGTAGTAGTTTATTATATTCCGAATGTTAAACAGTTTAAATTTCTTGGAACAATTTTTTCATATAAATAGGTTTCCAGAAAAGAAATTTTAATTTAAAAACAGTTAAGATTTAATATAAAAGGATGACAGTTTAAAGGGACTATACTCGTAATTTCAAGTGACCCTATATTTCGACAAGTAATGCCCGACTTTTTCTGAGCAAAAATGAATGAGTAATCCATGTTTATCTCTTTAAAAATGAAATATTATCAATCATGGTTTCTCTACAAAAGTTACTGCTTTAGATACAATGGAGGAAGTAATCCTTTAAGGTTAAAAAAATCTTAAGCTAGAAAAGCGGCAATATCCTCCACACTATTGATATCTTCCACCCTATTGATATCCTCCACACTATTGATATCCTCCACCCTATTGATATCCTCCACACTATTGATATCCTCCACAATATTGATATTAAGCCAAATCTATCAAGGGTTCCGGTGTACGTCAATGAAGATGCCACTTTGAAAATAAAGGGTCACTTTAAATCACGTCTACAGTCCCTTTAATGTGAGTTTAAATCCGACCTCCTGATCTGAGTTTCCTAGAATGGTTCCTGCAGGAATACCCTTAGCTCCAAACATACTCCTGTGCTCTGTAGAGATCATCTCCTTCAGATTAGAGTTAAACGAGGATCTAAACAAAATATTGGTTTAAACAAATGTTCTCTCATTGTCGGTGAAACCTATAATACTGTAGAATAGGAAGACGACATTAACGCAATCTTTTTGTGTATTTTATGTTGTTATAATGCTTTATTTGTAGCTTGAACATTGACTTATTATTAAATGAGGTTTTATGCTCTTTATATCCAACAGGCAACAGTCGTCTATCTATTGCACAGTTTTACGGGCCCCACTGTACTTGATCTTATTGAAATATATCTTTTGTCTACTTTTCTACACATCAACTTCAACCAATGTCTAAGTCTACCTATTTACACATGTATAAATGTATTCTAGTTTGTCTACCACTTCTACTTGTCTTCTTATCTACCTGTATACTTGGCTCCTTGTCAACTTGTCATCATGTCTTCTCTTTTGTCTATTTTTATTGCTTATCTACCTGTCTACTTATCTTCTTATCTACCAACCTGCTTGTCTTCTTATCTACCTGTCTACGTTTTATCTTGTCTATATGTCTACTTGTTTTCGTATATACTGGTCTACTTTTTATCTTTTCTACCTGTCTACGTTATAACACTTTTTATCTTTTCTACCTGTCTACTTGTTTTCTTTCTACTTTTTATCTTATCTACCTGCATACTTATCTACCTGTAACCTGTCTACTTATTTCCTTTCATCAGTGTGTTTATTGCCTGTTTATTTACCTGTCTGCTTGCGTGCACGTTGCTCTAGAACCCTTCCTTTTATCTCTGTCTCTGCCACGCCTAAAACGCGCCGAATCTGGAGCAGACCGGCAGCTGGGACGTGCGTATCTAACACTGGTTCCAGGAACCGGTTTTCCAGCATCGTTTACACACCAACAATAACCAGTTCCTTGATAAACACATTGTTATTATTGTAAACGTCAAACGTCAAATCTAAAACGTAAAACGTAAAACGTAAAACGTAAAACGTAAAACGTAAAACGTAAAACGTAAAACGTAAAACGTAAAACGTAAAACGTAAAACGTAAAATGCCTAACATCAAAATGTTAAACGTTAAACATTACACGTCAAACGCCAAACGTCAATCTTTAATCGTCAACGGTCTATTGGCATTACCTTTATGACACTGGACCTCGTTATACGATCCGTCCGATAAGCAGTCCGGGACGAATAGCGGAATCCCTGATTCTGAACTCGTCCGAACTGCATTTTGTCTCTCCTCCAGGCATCGGGAACTAACTAGAAGTATTTTAAGAGTAAGAAAATTGTACTTATTTGAAAACAACGGTATTCTGTAAACTGTACACTGTACACTGTACACTGTACACTGTAAACTGTAAACTGTAGGCAAAACATATCAATATTTCGTATTTTGATTCTTAACTTTTTAACTTCAAAAGAGTCTTTGATGGTATAGAAGTGAATAAAAGTGTTTGAAAATAAGTTGCTTTGATAGTATAGAAGTGAATAAAAGTGCTTGAAAATAAGGTGCTTTGATTGTATAGAAGTGAATAAAAGTGCAGAAAAATAAGATTCTTTGATGGTATAGAAGTGAATAAAAGTGCAAAAAATAAAATTCTTTGATGTTATAGAAGTGAATAAAAGTGCAGAAAAATAAGATTCTTTGATGGTATAGAAGTAAATAAAAGTGCAAAAACATAAAATTCTTTGATGTTATAGAAGTGAATAAAAGTGCAGAAAAATAAGATTCTTTGATGGTAAAGAGGTGAATAAAGTGCATACAAATATAGAAGTGAATAAAAGTGCATGAAAATAAGATTCTTTGATGGTATAGAAGTGAATAAAAGTGCAGAAAAATAAGATTCTTTGATGGTATAGAAGTGAATAAAAGTGCAGAAAAATAAAAATGTTTGATGGTATAGAAGTGAATAAAGTGCAGAAAAATAAGATTCTTTGATGGTATAGAAGTGAATAAAAGTGCAGAAAAATAAGATCCTTTGATGGTATAGAAGTGAATAAAGTGCAAAAATATAGAAGTGAATAAAAGTGCATGAAAATAAGATCCCTTGATGGTATAGAAGTGAATAAAGTGCATACAAATATAGAAGTGAATAAAAGTGTATGAAAATAAGATCCTTTGATTGTATAGAAGTGAATAAAAGTTCAGAAAAACAAGTTGCTTTGATGGTTTAGAAGTGAAATAAAAGTGCATGAAAATAAGATCCCTTGATGGTATAGAAGTGAATAAAAGTGCATACAAATATAGAAGTGAATAAAAGTGTATGAAAATAAGTTGCTTTGATTGTATAGAAGTGAATAAAAGTGCATGAAAATAAGATTCTTTGATGATATAGAAGTGAATAAAGTACATACAAATAAGATCCTGTGATGTTAAAGAAGTGAATATAAGTTCATGAAAATAAGATCCTGTGATGTTAAAGAAGTGAATAAAAGTGCACTGTTAGACTGCAAGCAATAATTTAATCTGAAAAGCAGAAATCTTGTAATATGCAAATTTACGTCTAGGCTTCTTTTTTCCAATACAATGCCTGCAATATCGCATGCATGATACAATTCAAATTTGCACAAGAAACGCGCCCATCAAACCAGATTTGCCGGCTGTCAGAAATCCACGAAGATATCTGTCAAAACTTGAAAAGCTTTTGATGGACAATAGTTGTTTCATGAGAAACAAAAGTACAATACACAATTGATATTTAAAAAATTGTTTCATCAATATCAGAGATAGAAAATTTGATACAATTCATTTTTTTAAGTCATCTTATTTTGATGGGTTATGAAACAAATTCCTAATTGTGCGTGTGTTTGCAAATTCCTAGTTCTATGCTAATTTACAATTACAGTGTGCGGGTTTGGTTGCTAAATCTACGATTTTAGATTAGATTTGCGAAAGTACTCTCTCTGTATTCAACTATATTAAGAACTGGAACGAGAAATTTTTTCTCACTTTTTAAAAATCAAAATATTTTTGAAGTCAAAAATATTTATATTTTTATATTATTAATATTTGAATATTCTTGAAATGATAAGATCTGAATTGGTTGAGTTCAGACTTGTAAATTGATTGTATAATATTACAATGTTTTACAGAATTTTATAACTTATTTTTAATTCAATTGTTTTATTGTACATATTATTACTTTGACAATTTGTTTAGGTACATAAACTTAAAAGTGTGCCGTTTTTAACCAAAGATAATATATATATAGATATGCAGGCAGGTAGAAACCTCCTTCCTAAATTGCTTGTAGCAGACAACTAATTTTTGAACCTCTGAGAAAAGGTGCAAGGAGAGACATCTATAGCAAATTGATTACTTTCTATATTCCTTTCTCCCCTTGCTGCCTTCTGTAGGAAATACGCATTTGTGTTATAAAAACATTCAGTACGCGTATTGCATCCTGTATAGTTCAAGTGTTGCTATCTGGACCTGTTTGACCAATAAAATTAAATTTCAAGGTAACACAAACATACAGTACGCGTTTTGTTTATGTTATGATCAGATCAGTTGTACTTTGTCCTAGATTCGATGTACTTTTATAGTAATAATTTTTATTTAAATTGCGTTAATTTACGTATGCCATTCAGTACAACTTGCACATTTAAACTTTGTCTAGTGAAATTCCTACCTCAGTTTTATTTGCATTGATTAATTTGTTTCATTAAGTACAATATGCAGTATACATTGTTGATACTATAGTACGCATTTAGTGTTATCACGCATAAACAAAGTGATAAATTAGCAATAATCCAGAGGATAAAATGCCATGCGTACGACAGAAATGGTGCTGTTTGCACCTTTTCTCAAGACCTCTGAATTTATACCTGCCTGCATATCTATATATATATTATCTTTGTTTTTAACAAACTTAACAATTTTACATTGTATATAGTTTTATAACTGTATCTACAGTCTCTACAGTCTACACCTTATTACAAGTAGACCCCTTCTTTATATACACTTTGCTTGTCTGTTCTGGTGTTTGTTTATAACCGATAAACGTCAAAACGGCTGAAACCATCGGGCCCAATTTTTTTGCGGGACTATATATTATCCCTGGGAAGATTTATTTAGTGTAAGAATGGAACAAAGGAATTGAGTTTTTGTCACAAATTCTGATTTTCTTATCCCTATATCTTTGCATTTGAATGTCGGAGACCTTAGATATTTCAAACTATGAATCATTTTAGATCAAATAATGATAGTTTGAAATATCAAAGGTTTACACCAGCTTAAAAATATTTAGTGATTGTAAAATCATAATTTGTGGCAAAAACTCAGTTCCTTTTACTTAAAAAATTTCGATTTTTTTTAAATCTGCGACAAAAATCCCTGACAGCTTAGTACATTTATATTGTACATATTACATAATATTATGATTGTACCCCTGGTAAGAAATTTGTACATAATATTCTTACCTCCATCTTGACAAGGTCCTATGTACTGTAGTTTTATATCTAATTTTTACATAATATTCTTACCTCCATCTTGACAAGGTCCTATGTACTGTAGCTTTATATCTAATTTGTACATACTATTCTTACCTCCATCATGACAAGGCCCTCTGTACCGTAACTTTATATCTAATTTGTACATAACATTCTTACCTCCATCTTGACAAGGTCCCCTGTACCGTAGCTTTATATCTAATTTGTACATAATATTCTTACCTCCATCTTGACAAGGTCCCCTGTACTGTAGCTTTATATCTAATTTGCACATATTATTCTTACCTCCATCTTGACAAGGTCCTCTGAACTGTAGCTTTATATCTAATTTGTACATTATATTCTTACCTCCATCTTGACAAGGCACATAGATTCAGCATGCTTATAAACAGTCTCACCAATCTTTAAGACAGGGTTGACTTTGAAGTGTCGCAACGCCCTAAGCTTAGATTTTACCGCTATAACTCACTTATGCTTTTCTGTAGCCCTTTACATGTACATTTTAGCACTGTAAAGCACTTGTGGCTAGATTTGGTTTTTTAGAAGTAATTGGCAAAATTCTCAGCAATTTAAGCTTGAGAGCGTGAGACCATTAAATCGCAGTGAAGGCCCTCTGTACCGTAGCTTTATTTCTAATTTGTAGATAATATCCTTACCTCCATCTTGACAAGGTCCTCTGTACTGTAGCTTTATATCTAATTTGTACATAATATTCTTACCTCCATCTTGACAAGGTCCTCTGAACCGTAACTTTATATCTAATTTGTACATAATATTCTTACCTCCATCTTGACAAGGTCCTCTGTACCGTAGCTTTATTTCTAATTTGTGCATAACATTGTTACCTCCATCTTGACAAGGTCCCCTGTACCGTAGCTTTATATCTAATCCAGAACACTGTTCTTTTTCTAACTCACATCTTAAATATGTCATTTATTATTTTTTATGTACAAAAAGCAAAAAAAAATTAAATGTTTCAATACATTAAAAAAGGAAAATAACTGCAATTATAGGTTAATGATAGATAATTTAAAAAAAAACATTTCAAAAATCACAAAATCATAGGAAGGACATTTCATAGACAATATTCCATCAATGAAATGTCCTTCTATTAAACTTCCAACATTTTAAGTTTTACTTGGAAGGGCCGAGGGAATGTTTGGCAGATAGAATTCTAAACTTCACCTTGAAGAATAAGTTTTACTGTTAGAACCACACACTGGTCTTAACCTCTCATTCCTACAGTCCACAGCACATTCACTTTCCTACAATAATTAGACATTTTCCTACAATAATTAGACATTTTCCTACAATAATTAGACATTTTCCTACAATAATTAGACATGTTCCTACAATAATTAGACATTTTCCTACAATAATTAGACATTTTCCTACAATAATTAGACATTTTTTCTCAATTTTAGTTTTGTTCAAAGCCAGCTAGCTAGCTAAATACAATTCCAGCTAGCTTAATGATTATTTAAAATCCAGGTAGCTAAATATATGTTTAGAAAACCAGCTAGCTAAATAGATATTTAGAAATCTTGCTATCTAAATAGATATTTAGAAATCCAGCTATCTCTAAATAGATATTTAAAAATCCAGCTATCTCTAAATAGATATTTAGAAATCCAGCTATCTAAATAGATATTTAGAAATCCAGCTATCTAAATAGATATTTAGAAATCTAGCGAGCAAAATAGATGTTTAAAAAACTAGGTAGCTAAATAGATTTTTAGAAATCCATCTAGCTCAATAAATATTTAGAAATCCAGCTATCTAAATAGATATTTAGAAATCCGTCTAGCACAATAGATATTTAGAAATCCAGCTAGATAAATAGATATTTAGATATCCAGCTAGCTAAATAAATTTTAAGAAATTTAGCTAGCTCAATAGATATTTAGAAATCCAGTTAGCTAAATAGATGTTTAGAAATCCACCTAGCTAAGTAGATGTTTAGAAAGCCAGCTAGCTAAATAGATATTTAGAAATCCAGCTAGTTGTAGACCAGGTGTAAAGTAATTAAGAACGGCTCCAAACTGTCTGGGAGGGTTGTCGGCGGCCCTAGGACAAAGGGCACCCACCTATATCAGAGAAGACAATCTTTTGCCCAAAATATATTTGATGATATCTCTTTATTTCGAGGTGGATTCAAGAGTCATATTGGTATCCTTTAAATCCTAATTGTGTTTTCTACTTACAAATCTTAGCCCCCCCCAGTTCACGACCCGTACAGTACTTGATTATCTTAAAAAAAATGGAAGACGATAGAATTGACAAAACTGTTTGATTTTAAGATGGAAAACTTGATATAAGTAAACAATCCCTTTGATTTAAAGATGGAAAACTTGATTTAAGTTAACAATCCCTTTGATTTAAAGATGGAAAACTTGATTTAAGTAAACAATCCCTTTGATTTAAAGATGGAAAACTTGATTTAAATAAACCATCCATTTGATTTAAAGATGGAAAACTTAATATAAGTAAACCATCCATTTGATCTAAAGATGGAAAACTTGATATAAGTAAACAATCCATTTGATTTAAAGATGGAAAACTTGATATAAGGAAACAATCCATTTGATTTGAAGATGAAAAAACGCGATAGATGAAAAAACCTATTTGATTTAAGATGGTAAACTCAATAGACAGTTACTATTTACAAACTCATTTGATTAAAAGATTGAACACTTGGGAGATGTCGACAAACTTATTTGATTTAAAGATTGAACACTTGGTAGATGTAAACAAACTCATTTGATTTAAAGATGGAAAATTCGAAAGATGTGAACAAAACCATTTTATTTAATAATAGACATCTCACATGCAGATAAAAATGAAAAGTAAGTGATTGCATGAACGCAAAAAAAGTCTGTTATTATAAATAAATAATGCATACACAATAAATAATGAATTTTAACATGAATATGAATGAATGATTAATGAATATAAGAATGAATTTTAACATGAATATGAATGAATGATAAATGAATATAAGGATGAATTTCAACATGAATATGAATGAATGATAAACTGAAGTTTAAGATAAATGGTGTGGAAAATAAATCTATTATGCCTTGTTGGTCAAATCTAGAAACATAATACAACACCTAGGGAATAAGAAAGATGATTTGAAAAAACTAAAAAGAAAGAAAGGAAAGAGGAAGAAAGATCTTGGAAAAAAAGAGAAAAAAGATGTGAAAAAGAAAGAGAATAAAGAGGAAGATAAGGAAAAGAAAGAGAAAAAAACAGGTAAGAACTAAAAAAGAAAGAGAAAAACAGGGAAGACTTAAAATAGAAAGAGAAAAATAGTGAAGAACTAAAAAAAAGAGAAATATAGGAAAGAACTAAAAAAGAAAGAGAAAAATATGGATGAACTAAAAAAGAAAGAGAAAAATAGGAAATAATCAAAAAGAAAGAGAAAAATATGGAAGAACTAAAAAAGAAAGAGAAAAATATGGAAGAACTAAAAAAGAAAGAGAAAAATAGGAAATAACCAAAAAGAAAGAGAAAAATTGGGAAGAACTAAAAAAAAGAGAAATATAAGGAAAAACCAAAATAGAAAGAGACAAATATTGAAGAACGAGAAAAATATTGAAGAACTAAAAAAAGAGAAAAATAGGAAATAACAAAACAAAAGAGAGAAAAATAGGAAAGAACTAAAAAAGAAAGAGCAAAATAGGGAAGAATTAAAAAAGAAAGATAAAAATAGGAAATAACAAAAAAGAAAGAGAAAAGTATCAAATATATTTAAAGAAAATAGAGTAAAAGAGAATATCTGGAAAGGAAAGATAATTGAGGGGAAAATCTAGAAAGTAAAAAGTATAAAGGAAAATCCTTGAAAAGGAGATAGAATTAAGATGGAGATATAAAAAAGAAAAAGAATAAAAGCGTAAGAAAAAATTAAAAGTTAAATTTGTTTGTTATAAGATTTGAATTGTGCGTCCGTTGAAATAAAGAAAATTATGCGCCCGGTTGGACCAGACAGTTGGGCACCTATCTCATTATGGGCAATGGTTCTAGGGGGGTCAGGTGTTCACTATTTAACAATAATACCCCCCCCCCCCTACCATTCTTACAACCCCTCCCCGCCCTCAAACTGTCTATCATTCCCCCCTAGCCTCTAAATTGTATTATGTTGAAGGAAATGCTAAATTTTGAGTAATTTCGAGACGTATTTGCTGTTTTTCACCAAGATTTAATATTCGGAGGAATAATAAGAAAAATACCAGGATTTTTAACCGCCAAGGTACAATTTTTATGGCACAGGTTGTTCATGAAATATAAATGTTTGATGAAATCATCCTAGGTTTTGATACAACCTGTGTAGTGTATAATGTGTATAAGTAAGTAGGTTTTGATACAACCTGTGTAGTGTATAATGTGTATAAGTAAGTAGGTTTTGATACAACCTGTGAAGTGTATAATGTGTAGTTTTATTTGTTATTTTGAGATTTTAATCTTTTGCAAACTGCCTGAGTAAAAACTTAAGCGTCCAAGATTATACAATTTAGGATTTAATTTTAAAAATGTGTTCATGCATTTTTAGTGAGCATGATGTCATGCATAGTGTCATGTTTTGACTGTCATTATGTTTAATATATACATATACACTAGTCATAACTAGTACAGGGTGAACTAAAGTACAAATATAGTCATAAAAGTACAGGGTGATTCAGTCATAACTAATTAATGTGAAACTAGTACAGGGTGAACTAAAGTACAAATATAGTCATAAAAGTACAGGGTGATTCAGTCATAACTAATTAATGTGAAACTAGTACAGGGTGAACTAAAGTACAAATATAGTCATAAAAGTACAGGGTGATTCAGTCATAACTAATTAATGTGAAACTAGTACAGGGTGAACTAAAGTACAAATATAGTCATAAAAGTACAGGGTGATTCAGTCATAACTAATTAATGTGAAACTAGTACAGGGTGAACTAAAGTACAAATATAGTCATAAAAGTACAGGGTGATTCAGTCATAACTAATTAATGTGAAACTAGTACAGGGTGAACTAAAGTACAAATATAGTCATAAAAGTACAGGGTGATTCAGTCATAACTAATTAATGTGAAACTAGTACAGGGTGAACTAAAGTACAAATATAGTCATAAAAGTACAGGGTGATTCAGTCATAACTAATTAATGTGAAACTAGTACAGGGTGAACTAAAGTACAAATATAGTCATAAAAGTACAGGGTGATTCAGTCATAACTAATTAATGTGAAACTAGTACAGGGTGAACTAAAGTACAAATATAGTCATAAAAGTACAGGGTGATTCAGTCATAACTAATTAATGTGAAACTAGTACAAGGTGAACTAAAGTACAACTAGAGAAAAATGAACTAAATTTCACGTACTGCAGTCATAGCTTTATTGTAGAGTGAACTAAAGTAAAATATATAGTACAGTACAGGGTCAACTTAATATATAGCACAGTACAGGGTCAACTTAATATATAGCACAGTACAGGGTCAACTTAATATATAGCACAGTACAGGGTCAACTTAATATATAGCACAGTACAGGGTCAACTTAATATATAGCACAGTACAGGGTCAACTTAATATAGAGCACAGTACAGGGTCAACTTAATATAGAGCACAGTACAGGGTCAACTTAATATATAGTACAGTACAGGGTCAACTTAATTGTACAACAGAAATTTGTAGTAGCGGAGAGGGTCTCATCGATCCCAAATTTAGGATATTTTTTCAAAATATTCAAATAATTGATGAATGAACAAGGTTAAATGAATGAAAACAAGATTTATTTAAAACCTGTTACATAGAAATGATATCATCTAACCTAAACAGTATACAACCAGATCAATACTACTTAGAAAGAATAAAAGAAACCCATGCACTAGGCACTAGGCACTGTAGGCATTACTGCATAAACCGAATACCTTGTCTGACCAGACCTTTACCCCTACCCTGCCCCGCCCTGTAATTATTTACATGGGGGGGGGGGTTAAATATCAAACATAGCGAAACCGATATTTAAGTTTTGTATGTAAAATTTCAACAGCGCGTAGAGGAGTCTGGGGTATGTAAATTAGAGAGGAGAGGTTGGGTGGTAAAGAAACAAATTTGATGGGTTGATAATGGTTGATTATGGTTGATAATGGTTGATAATTGTTGATAATGGTTGATAATGGTTGATAATGGTTTATAATGGTTGATAATGGTTGTATAATAGTTGATAATGGTTGATAATGGTTGATTATGGTTGATAATGGTTGATAATGGTTGATTATGGTTGATAATGGTTGATAATGGTTGATAATGGTTGATAATGGTTGATTATGGTTGATAATGGTTGAAAATGGTTGATAATGATTGATAATGGTTGATAATGGTTGATAATGGTTGATAATGGTTGATAATGGTTGATAATGGTTGACATGGTTCATTATGGTTGATAATGGTTGATTATGGTTGATAATGGTTGATAATGGTTGATAATGATTGATAATGGTTGATAATGGTTGATAATGGTTGATAAAACGTAAAAAAAGATTTGATAAAGTGTTGAAAACGTCATCCATAATATTTGGGTGAAATACAATACGAAATGTTTGAAAACAAGTTTTTATCTCGTGCCAAACGGCGTACCAAAAGGGCGTATACAGGAATAAATAAAGTGGGGGGCCAATGTTTGCGAAGCGCAACTTTGTTTGCCCCCCCCCCTGGTAGCTCCAGGGGGGGGGGGCAAAATTTTAATTGTAGATTCAAAACGTTTGGTTTCTTGGATATCAGGCATAAGGTTTAGAGAGAGGCACTGCCCCCCTCTTCTCCCCCCCTGTATACGCCCTTTATTCGGACGGAATACACTAGACGTATTTGCACGCTTCTAGTGCCTTCAGTTTACTTTTGTTCGGTCGATAGAATTAAGGGATTTAAAAGGTTACACCAGGACATCTGATATTTTTGTTGCACCGTGTTAACAATTTTTATCCCTGTGGAAGTTAATGCCAGATCTGTTTCTTTTAATATTACCGACAACCTTTAAACCTAGCCGCCCCTTTCCCATACAGCAAACATTAACAAAACAAAAGAGAGAAAAATAGGAAAGAACTAAAAAAGAAAGAGAAAAATATGGAAGAAATGAAAAGTTAAAAATGTAGTTTTTTAGTCTTTAGTCATTAATTCTGACTCATTTTGAGTCTTTCAAGTCAAAAAAAATTTTGGCCCGACTTTTTGTTCCTAATTATGAATTTTTTTTGTTCCTAAAAAATCTTGCCCCCCCCCTCACTTATATCTTGTATCCGCCCCTGTTGACACCCCCATGGTAATTTCACTTTTTTGCTAAATATTACTTTCTATTCATTTTCAACAATATTACGTCGCATCGACTAGCTATTATTGGACCAAATAATGAAAGCAACATAAAAATTATCCTAAGATAGAAACTTTTACGTGGAGTATCGTTGATTTCTAACGCTCGATCTCGATATCTAATATGGGTACTTTTGAATTTGACGATAGATGCTCCATCACTCAATTAAAGTTATCTCTGAAGGGTATCGAAGAGGAATTGAATCAATGAATAAGTCAGTATAAGATGGAGATTAATGATTGATCCCTAGGTTCAAAACAAAAACATCTCTGATCACTAATGGATCAAGATCAATCTTCTCAGCTTAAAAACTTTAGATTAAACCTTCTAAAAAGAGTTTAATAATATAAATGTTATGAACTATCTATTAAAAATGTGGAGAGTGAATAGAAAAAATGAGGTCACAAATATAAAATCTCACCACTGCCGACTGAGTAATCTGGAAAACATGAAGAAAAATGATGACTGTAGCGACCTGGTCGCGTAAAAACATTCTTTAAATGCATTCTATTTAAAATTAATTTATGTTTAATTGTAAAATCATTTCATTTGTCCAGACAAAAAATGCTTAAAATGCTAACATGTCAAAAACAACTTTAAACTTGTTTCCATGAAATAAATAAAATTTTTTTTTGCATATTAGTAATGCAAATTATAAAAGATATTAATTGAAGCGATTTCTTAAATAATTGTTGTTGATTAATAAAGTAAATAAATTATTATGCATGTTATTATGATATCAAAGATTTGTTTATAATAGAAGTGTATTCCTTAAATATTATTTATCTATCTATCTTCTGTTTACATGGACTCACTGAGAAAACCGTCTGTCAGGCGCCGACAAAAATAAAGTCTTCCATTCCTGTTTTATTTATCAATTAGTTCACATCACAACATAAATGCTGACACAGGGAGCCGGGTTCGTATATGTTGAAAGTTTGACAGTCAAGAAACTACTGAAAGATCACGTGATAATAAAGGATTGACACCTTCCCCTCCCTCTCCTGCGCTGTGGCGGCTCCATTGACCGATACCCGGCTAATATAGAACTGAGGGAAACTCACAAATGTTGGGAGAGCCCTCTCGCCCGCATAGTTTTATTCACGTCGTTTCTTCAGGCCGCACAGTTCTCTCCACAGTCTACACTATTAAACTCGAAATAAAATTTATCACATTGGTTTAGTAAAAGTACGGCTCTCTTTTGTATGCTTTATGGAGTGGTATGCCACAGAGTGTTAGTAACAAATATGACAAGTTAACGATAGTTATTTTTTAATCTCTGACACTTTTTTCTGGATGATTCAGTTAATACACTTTTTCTATCAAAAGAAAGCAAAAACGACTTTTAGCAAGAATCCCTTGTAAGTTTTTGAATTTCAAAATCAAAATGAAAAAGGGGTCAAGCTTTTGACCCACAAGATAAAATATTGTAAGTTTTAACGTAAACATAATTAAAAACCTTTTTTCTTTTTTTATCTCAATTATTTTAATTGGATTGCAGGATTAGATTGGTCTCAAGCAGCTTGCAGGGTGAAATTGGTCTGTACTCTGCATGCAGCCTGCTGGGTTGGATTGTTCAGCATGCAGCCTGCAGGGTGGGATTGTTTTGCCTGCAGCCTGCAGGATGAGGTTGGTCTGCTTGCAGCCTGAAGGATGTGGTTGGTCTGCATGCAGCCTGCAGGAGGATGTTGCTCTGCATGAACCTGCACGATGGAATTGGTCTGCATGCAGCCTACAGGATGGGATTGTTATGCATGCGGCCTGCTTGATGGGATTGGCCCGCATGCAGTCAGCAGAATGGTATTGGTCTGCATGCAGCCTGCAGAATGGTATTGGTCTGCATACTACTTGCAGGACGGATTGTTATGCATGCAGTCTGCAGGATGGGATTGGTCTTTGCATGCAGTCTGCAGGATGGGATTATACTCAGTATGCAGTCTGCAGAATGGGATTGGTCTGCATGTAGCCTGCAGGTTTGGACTGGTCTGCATGCAGTATGCCGGATGGGATAGTCTGCATGCAGCCTGCAGAATGGTATTGGTCTGCATTCTACCTGTAGGACGGATTGTTATGCAAGCAGCCTGGCAGGATGGGATTGGTCTGCATGCAACCTGCAGGTTTGGACTGGTCTGCATGCAGTATGCTGAATGGGATTGGTCTGCGTGCAGCCTGCAGGATGGGATTGTTATGCATGCAGCCTGCAGGATGAGATTGATCTCTGCATGCAGTCTGCAAGATGGAATTGGTCTGCATGCAGCCTGCAGGTTTGGACTGGTCTGCAGGATGGGATTGGTCTGCATGCAGCCTGCAGGATGGGATTGGTCTGCATGCAACCTGCAGGATGGGATTGGTCTGCATGCAGCCTGCAGGATGGGATTGGTCTGCATGCAACCTGCAGGATGGGATTGGTCTGCATGCAGCCTGCAGGATGGGATTGTTCTGCATGCAACCTGCAGGCTTGGTATGTTCTGCATGCAGCCTACAAGGTGGGATTGTTATTCATGCAGTCTGTAGTGCGTGGTTAGTCTTACATAAATTTCTCTAGAAGGGGATCATTCATTTGGCGTACAGTACCGTTTTGCCTCATATAGTCTGCATTTGGCGTACAGTACCGTTTTGCCTGATATAGTCTGCATTTGGCGTACAGTACCGTTTTGCCTCATATAGTCCGCATTTGGCGTACAGTACCGTTTTGCCTGATATAGTCTGTATTTGGCGTACAGTACCGTTTTGCCTCATATAGTCTGCATTTGGCGTACAGTACCGTTTTGCCTCATATAGTCCGCATTTGGCGTACAGTACCGTTTTGCCTGATATAGTCTGTATTTGGCGTACAGTACCGTTTTGCCTCATATAGTCTGCATTTGTACTGAAATGCTTGCCCTGGCTTGAAATTCCGGTACATTAAATGAACAGGAATGTACCCGACGCAGCATGCAGGATGAGATTGGTATGCAAGCAGCCTGCAGGGCGAGATGTTTTTCATGCAGCCTTCAGGATAGGGTTGGTCTGGAAGCAGCTTTTAATGGGATTGGTTTGCATACAGCCTGCATGATGGGGTAATTCTGCATGCAGCCTGTAGGATGTAATTGTTATGAATGCACGTATAGTCTGCTGGGTGGGATTAGTCTGCAGGATGTGGTGGGTCTGCATTCAGCCTGCAGGATAGGGTTGGTCTGCAAGTTTTGAACATTAACAATTCTTTGTTTTAGAATACATTTAACCGATCAACCGAATATTCGACTGTAGACATTGTGCTGTTTGTCGAAATATGGTACAAAACTGTAGAAATTCGGATGACGACATTTTAATCTTTATCAAAATAAAAAATTGTTCCGGGTGTCCCACGAAACATGATAGTTTTTAATGTTTTCCTCCGTATACTCTATCATATTTTAAAGCCTTTTTTCAATTTATTTTGTTATAAATATATAAATATATTTTACTTTGAAATCAGGTTTACCGTAAGATTACCGCCAAATAATATTATTTTATTATCCAATTAATGAAAGAAGACATTTGAACTATTCACCTATTGCCATGTTTCGTAGAACACCCTTTAGCAAACTAGATGGATGGTAACTGCAGTTGATATAGCTTAAATAAAAAACAAATATATTTATCTTTTGACATTTTTTCAGTTTTCGTTCATGACAAAAAATGAAGGATCCAATATATAGGATAAAATCAACGAGGTTTATAGAGTAATCATGTACATAATCCTTTACTAATTGTACAGGCCGTGTACTCCACTTTCAAAGGTCAATCTGTATGTTACAGTACTTGGGGGGATTTCTGAAATTTTTTTTTGTCACTTATGTTCAATTGGTCCTCTGTTTATAAGAATGGAATGTCAGATTAAGAACGGTACTCTCAAATGTTTAACATTAATTCGGATTCAATTTTCTTGACAGTAATTTTTAAAATACTGAACTGGAATCACTGGAAGGAAGGGAGAGGACTTTAAAGTTTAGGGGGGGGGGGGGTCATTTTAAATATGTATATATCGGGTGGGGAGAGGAAGTGATACGGGTAAAAAAATTCCCTCCCCCTTGGAAATTTTACAGGGAATTTGGTCCTCTTTTTGTCAAAACCATGACCAGCAAGGGGCGGACGGGGAATATGTGATACCAAGATTTGGATTTTTATAAAAATATTCATTTTGAGTAATATAATGGGTCCACAGGCAAGCAAAATTTTGAATCTATTCTTAAAATCTAAATCAAATGGCTAAAAGTTGCTGGCTCTCTCTTCTTTCGCTACTCATTTTCAAGGGGGAAGGACAGTTTTCCAGGGATGGGGACGCCCCCTTAATTTTCTTGGGGGTGGGTGCCCCCCGCCCCCCCCACCTTTAGCCGACTCTGGCAATACTTCATTGTTCATTAAGGTTCTGTGAAAACTAATTAAAATTCAAGATACAAAACCTCCCCATAAACTTATACTTCGAAACCGTATTGCATATTTGATGATTGTACTGTATCAATATGCCATAATCTCTTAATCCTGTATCAGTAAGCTGTCTTAATCGTACACTAGGCTAATACACACAGCCAGGTAGCTAAGTTCCAGCCCCTGGATTAAACAGTGACTCCTTATTTTAATGTTTTATTGTGGCAGGTCCGATCTACAAAGGCTGATTACAAGTGAGGAGGATATCGTCGTTTTCTATCTAAATTCTTTTTAAATTCTGACAACTCACTTCATTGTCTTCGAAGCGTAAAATCTGCATGTCGCTATTAGAGATAAAGTAACCAATTTCAAGTAAACAATTTTCATTTAGAAATATAAGAGTATCTCATGCATTCTTGATCATACAAAGATTTACATGAACTTTGCTGTTAACAGAATGCCACTCTAAAAAAGGGGGGTCACTTGATTTTATGTCTACAATCTCTTTAATAAATAAAACAAAGTACAAATTCAAGCCGCAGATTGATGTAAATTCGTTTTAAAGTTGCATGTACACTTAGAAGTTGTAGTTAGCACTTACCCCTAACAGCTAATATTTGAATGTAGAGATTTTAACAACATCTATATTTCAATGTGAAGAAGCCTGACACAATCCAGTAAGTTTTGATGTTTTTGTGTTTAACTATAGATAATAGATATTTTTTTTCAAATTAAATTTAATAAAAAGGGCTTCTAAGTTCAACTCATTGATAAACAATAACAATAATATTTTGCAAATCTTCATAAGTTTTTAGTAAAGGTTAAAAATATTAACTCTGACCGGTCTTAACTCACCTTTGAGTGATATGAGACCAAACAAAAGATTTGGGGCCAATCGGTTCAGCTGCCCGCTTTATAACGCTAATTGGGCAATAACTACCTTTGCTATAATACCAAACAAATATACACCAAAACTAAAGATAGTTTTAATTTTTACATCGCAATCTCAATACATTTTTTGGTCAAATAATATTAATTTCAAAATCAAATACATATAAACAATTGTGTCTTAACTCTTCATAGATGTTAATAATTTAAGAAAGGTATAAACAAATTTTATTTTATCTAGATTTTAAATATTTTGATGTTCCTCATGCATTGGAGCATGCAATTTTTACAAGAACTGTTTAATACAAAAATAAACAATGTACAGGGTTAACCACAAAGGATAAGACTGTAAAGACAACCGGAAACTCCTGAATTATGACGATCCCAAGGTTAAATTAAATATTCTACCTGATATAGTAATATAATGGCTTATTTTTTGATTTGGCAAAGAAACAGACACGTTTACAGTTGAAGTGAATCATGAATGCAAGGAAACAGATAGTAAAAATTCCGTACAGTCGTCTCTGAAGTCTCATCCGTTGTGTGTAACCCGGTATAAGTAAAAAGATTCGATAATGGTAAGAAATAAAAATCACTTTTTCTTGGATCTTGTCAAAGTGAGCAAACCCCTGAGATTACTGGACGGTCCCTTTCCTTGGGACCTGGACCATCTTTCAACAAGACTTCCCTTGCTGGGTCTATCCTCCTCGGTCCACTGGTCCAGGAACTCATGGGACCCCTTTTTCTTCATGTGTTGCAAGGATTTGCTTCTCTGAACTGTTTGCACCTTTAAAAAAACGCTTTTAAACGAAAACTCAATGAAAAAAAATAGTTCTGAAAAAAACTTGACGATTACTAAAGAATCAGAAACAAACTTACAAAATTTGACTTCCAAGTCTCAAAGTCGCGACGTTTCTCATCAATGTCGTCTTTTTCTTTGCGGATTTTTGCAAGTTCAGCTTCAAGTTTTCGTTCTTCAGATTCTAGATAATTTGTCAATCTTGCCTCCCTCTCCTCTACCTTGGCAAACATTCATAGATAATACAGATTTAACAAAATAGATACCTCTTCTACACCTCTGCCATTAATTCACAGATAACACAGATAGAACAAGATATATGTATATCTTCTACCAGTGCTATTAATTCATAGATAACACAAATAGAACAAGATAGATATATCTTCTACCTCTGCTATTAATTCATAGATAAAACAGATAGAACAAGATATATTTCTCTTCTACCTCTGCTATTAATTCACAGAAAACACAGATAGAAAAAGAAAGATATCTCTTCTACCTCTCCTATTGATTTATAGATAACACAGATACAGTGATAACCAGAAAACTCTGGAATAGGGACACGATTTTCAGACTCAATTTATGACTTTTAATGGTGCAACGAACACGAGAAAACACAATTGTGTGTTGTAAAAAGACTGAAATGACTTAACAACTGAATTTATAAATCACTTAATAAACTATTTGCTTGGTAATCGCATCAAATACTATTCATTATTGCTTTAATATCGTCTTATTTTTCTACAGTTTTCTGGTTATCACTCTTGAACAAGATATATATCTCTTCTACCTCTGCTATTGATTCAAAGATAACACAGATAGAACAAGATATATATATATATCTTCTACTTGTGCTATTAATTCAGATATAACACAGATAGAGCAAGATACATGTCCTTCTTCCTCTGCTATTAATTCATAGAGAACACAGATAGAACAAGATAGGTTTTTTTCCTATTTTTTTTCAAAGAAATTTCAGATGAATTAGATAGATACAGTTAAACCCTAAATATTAAATACATCGAAAGAATTCATCAAATGTCGTATTCTTCACTTTCTGATAATGGAATGTTGCTGCAGATATTTAGTTTTTAATTAAATGATTATATGGAGCTCCTTAAAATTGTTCCCGCATATTCATGGCAATTTATTTATTTTTGCAAAAACTGAGATTTACGTAAAATAGTATAAAATTGTAAAATTGTCAAGACGACATTGATAAATTCTTTCGATGTATGGCTCATTTAGGGTTTAACTGTACTAAAGTCATCTTTTAAATCATCAGCTGCACGCCACATATATGACAAAAAAATTTACTTTTTTTCTATCTGTGTAATTTGTAAATTAATCAAGTTAACAATCTAGCTACCAGAAATGACATTTTAGACTTTTAAATTTCATATTTCAGATTCATAACATTATCCAATGTACTGCTAGCAAATGTTTGCTTTGAAGTAGTTTTTATATACAATAATTTTAAAATGTAGAAATAAAGTAATGGCTGGACTAGGGCTGGACTTCTATTTGCATTTTTACCTTTTTCTGCAGAATAGATTGTAAATTTACTTCTAAAAATTTTAAGCGTTGGCTCCAATGTTTTTCTTCCTTAAACACCTAAAAGGTTTATTTTCTATTTGTTCACCGTAGGACTTGAGGCAGGAGGGATGGCTGCTCTCAGGGTTTTGAAATTGCTCCTAGGGTTTTGGAGTAAAAGGTGAAAATTTATCCGACCTTTTATGAAAAGTCACTAAAACTGACGACATTTGTTTTAGCTTATATATTAAACAATATTGGTAACTTTTAAAAAAATCTTTTTTTTGTTAGATACATTAAGGTTTCATTTAAACTGGTCTAGTACATCTCAACATCTATATAAGTTATCTTAATTCCATTTTTTAAAATTATTTATGGTCGTTAAAATGCGTTTTTACTCAACAGTCCATGTCCAATTTAGAGCCTTTTATATGGCGCGCACTATAACAAAAATCATGAAATTATTGAGATATCTGAGAAAACTAAGAACAAATATAGAAGACGACATTTAATCAATCTTATGTGTATTAGATGTTTTATACCAAATAGTTATCCTAGTTTTTAAGTCATAGCTGTATTTTAAATTACTATTATCTGTAAGAAATTTCTCTCCTTGAAGGAATAATTGCTTGAAAGATAATGGTTTATGAGTGTATACGACCTGTGCATAGTTGACACTGACCAACCAGTTAGATCTGAACTTTTCATATAATTCATTGGTTTTCTCGATCAAATCTACAGTTCGGTCTTTCAGCAGTAGTTCCCTTAATATTACGCTATTCTACAGTCTGTTCTTTCAGCAGTAGTTCCCTTAATATTAAGCTATTCTACAGTCTGTTCTTTCAACAGTAGCTCCCTTAATATTAAGCTATTCTACAGTCTGTTCTTTCAGCAGTAGTACCCTTAATATTACGCTATTCTACAGTCCGTTCTTTCAGCAGTAGTTCCCTTAATATTAAGCTATTCTACAGTTCGTTCTTTCAGCAGTAGTTCCCTTAATATTACGCTATTCTACAGTCCGTTCTTTTAGCAGTAGTTCCCTTAATATTACGCTATTCTACAGTCTGTTCTTTCAGCAGTAGCTCCATTAATATTACGCTATTCTACAATCTGTTCTTTCAGCAGTAGTTCCATTAATATTACGCTATTCTACAGGTTGTTCTTTTAGCAGTAGTTCCCTTAATATTACGCTATTCTACAGTCCGTTCTTTCAGCAGTATTTCCCTTAATATTACGCTATTCTACAGTCTGTTCTTTCAGCAGTAGCTCCATTAATATTACGCTATTCTACAGTCCGTTCTTTCAGTATTAGTTAAAAAAAATACTACAGTTCGTTCTTTTAGCAATAGGTCTCTTAAAAATACTATTTTTATAGTTCGTTTTTTAAGCAGTAAATCATTTAATAATACTTTATTCTACAATTCTCTCTTTCAGCAATAGTTCCTCTACTCTCTCTATTACTCTATTCTACAGCTGTTCATTCTTTTAGCAGCAGGTCTCATAAATACTAAAGAATACAGAGGACCTAAAGGGAGTATTTACTCCAATACAGAATACAGGACCTAGAGGGGGTATTTACATCCATACAGAATACAGGACCTAGAGAGAGTTTTTACTTCAATACAGAAAACAGGACATAGAGGGAGTATTTACTCCAAAACAGAATACAGAATACAGGACCTAGAGGGAGTATTTAATCCAATACAGAATAAAGAATACAGAGCCTAGAGGGATTATTTACTTCAATACAGAATACAGAACCTAGAGGGAGTATTCACTCATATACAGAATACAGAATACAAGACCTAGAGGGAGTATTTACTCCAATACAGAATACAAAATACATATCCTAGAAGGAGTATTTAATCCAATACAGAATACAGAATAAGAACCTAGAGGGAGTATTTACTACAATACAGAATACAGTATACAGAATACAGATCCTAGAGGGACAATTACTCCAATAAAGAATGCGGAATACATAAACTTAGAGTGAGTATTTACTCCAATAAAACTCCAAACAGGATCTAAGCTAAAATGCAAAGCTAATGGTTTTCAGATTGTGAGGTTCAACGAATTCGTTATTTTTCATTAAAAAGAATAATATCGAGCAGGCTTATTGCGAAATCGTTTAAATTTCTCTAACTTAAAAAATTGTTTGCTCCAAACTAAACCCTGGCTTTAAATAAAGAGCACTTTATAACTAGAATAGAAGAAAGTAAACAATGGCTGAATAGAATATAAAATTAGTGTGAACAATGAATGTAGAGAGAAAGGAATGAAGCTCAAATTGTGGTATTCTACGGAAATCTGTAAAAGAAAATCCTTCAAATAAGAAGGAATGTTAGTTGCGTAAATGTGCATATGAATAACTATATTGGGAACTCAGCATTGACCACTGCTCAGGGTAGTCATAGTAATTCCCGCCGCTGTTTACACGAGCTTTGTCGTAAATTTTAACTATTTTTCTTTATTAAAGTAAACCCACTCAACTTAGAATCTAAGAACATTCTCATGGTTCTCCCGAGTTCTTAAATCAAAATTTGAGGCAAATCGGTCAAAGGGTTCCTGAGTTATGATCGAACTACCAAACAACTATATATATAGATGACAATATGAACATTGTTTATATTTTTTCATGTACACACTTAGAAAAAAAGAAAAGCTTACCTTAAGCTTTGAAAATCACAGAATTCCTGAAAACAAATTAAATCAGAATTCCTTACTTTTCTTTACTAAGAAAGATTGAACAAGTTTTCTGATGATAAAACTAGATTTTTTCAATTCAGATCTGGTTTAAAGATAGTCAACGCTTCTTAAAGGAAAAGTCGACGAAGGGTTAAGTGCCCCTCTATTTACAGCAATAGAAGCTTTATTCAATAAGATACCCTTTAACGTTTGTCTAATCAGAAATGATGGATATACTACGAACCATTTTTTTCCTAACTGAAAAATCAAAAACTTTTAATTGCGGGTTTGCTATAAACGTTTCATGTGGATTTATTTATCTTTTCAGTACTCAGATAAAGGTGCTGTCGTGAATCAAAGTTATAAAAGTTTTTTAAAAATGTTTTAAATATAAGATTTTTTTCATGAACTTATACCTTGTTTTCAATATTTATAAGTCCCCAGGGATATCTTCTAGATTTATAGTTCTCATCCTTAACATCATTTACAAAATTACATTTTCTGAAAAGCTGTTGATTAGAAAAAAGTTTGAAAATGTATCGTAAAAAGTGCATTTTGCAGACTCGAGGAGTTATGATGTCGAAAGTCACACCGATAACTCCAGATAAAATAACCATGCAGGAAATCTTTTGTATGAAATAAAAGAAGAATTTGGCTGTAGAGAAAGGAGAATATGCATTTTTCCATTTCAATAAATTCTTCTGAATTCCAAATTCTCGAAAGGAGGCTTAACCTAACATTTGCGTCCCTAGAGCCTCAGATATTGGAATGTAAGTTTTAGAAGAATAAAACTGTTTTAAATATTTTGATCATGAAAAATATTAACAATGGTAACAACATGTTTCTTCCTTTCTTAACTGTTTACGCTTTTAAAAGTAGTGTTTAAAATTATTTAAAATAATTTTTTAATAACATTTTTTCTGAATTTTCCACAAACAGTTGTTTCCTTTGTAGAATTTCCCATTTTCTATAGTATAAAGTACACTATACAGTGTACAGTGTACAGTGTACATTGTACAGTTTACAATGTACAATGTACAGTGTACAGTGTACACTGTACACTGTACACTGTATGGTGTACAGTGTACAGTTTACACTGTACAATGTACAGAGCCGGACATGAAAAATATTACAAAATAAAGAGTCTGGGTACTATCGGAGACCCCCCGATTTTTATCAGATTTTCATCGGATGCACCAGCTTTTCATTGGAGACCCCCAGATGTTCATTAAGACGATAGACTTTAATCTGAGACCATACACTTTCAAAGAAGACCCCAAACTTTTCATCGAAGACCCCCTTGATCTTTTCATTAGACTCCAAACTTTTTGTTTTAACCCTCAATTTTCAAGCTTCGTGTTTCCGCTACAAAAATTGGGGTCTCCAATGAAAATTTTGAGGTCTCCAACTAAAATCTTTGGGTCTCCGATAGAACTCCAATGATGATGATTTCATCACAGACTCCAAAATAAATTGAAAATAAAAACGTGATTGTAATCACCTGATTCAGAGTTTGATATCTTTCTCCTCCTATCACAGCAAACGGTTCTAAATACATGATTATATTTATTATTTCGAAATAATCAAGATTTATAATAGTTACACTTTACCTTTCCTTCTTACCATGATTTTAAGCAATAACTAGTTTACCATAACAAACATTAATGATCATAGAAAGGAATTGAGTCTTTGCCAAAAACTCTGATTTTTTTATCCCAATATCGTTGCAACCCAATAACGCAGACCTTAGATATTTCAAACCACTAATTCTAATAGATGAACTAGTCTAAGCTTGAAATATAAAAGGTTCACATAAAGAGGTTGCAAAGATATAGAAATTAGAAAATATTAGTTTGTGGCAAAGACTCAAATCCTTTACACGATTTTTAACCTTTGTATTCAATGATGATGATTCAAATTTTCAAATAACCAAATAACGAAGTTTAAATGATTACGAGGGCGAGTTAAAAAAACTGTAATTTATCGACAATGATTTTTCGGTGTCAGCATTTTGATTTTTCTTGGTTTATGTTGAAGGTTGCAAAAACGGGGAACACGTGGAAATAATCAGTTCTTTTGTATGCAAAATATTATCAATTTCTGTCAATAGTGTTAAAGTAAATGAAAAACGGTATTTTCTAAATTGTATATTGATGGAGTTATTTATGAAATCAATAAATATAATGCGTAAACACGATACAAGATACTTTATTGAATAAAAGAATAAAAGAATGGTTAAATGGTAAACACTATATACAGCTCCACATCTTGGTCACAACGATCAGCTCCACCTCCGCTCCAGTCAGTTCGTACACGACTAACCACTCTATCCTCCTTCCCTGACCATCTTGTACAGATCCTTGAACCCTAGTTTCAGGAATCCCAGGACAGGAATTTTAAGCGAAACTTGGGCCCAATTTTGGCGCGATTTTATAAATATCCTTAAACACTAAACAAGAGGAAACGGGATATATATTTCCCCAACACACTATTTACAACACAAAAAATCACTATTCTGACATCCTCTACAATAGATTAATGATTGTTACAAATTTAAAACCGCTTTTGACTCTTTTTCAAAGTTTTGTAAAACATATTTTTTATTCCTAAAATTCACTATTTCTCTCGATATACATTGAATGTAAAATCTGGTATAACGAATGCGATAAAAACATACATTCTTTTCTTTTGATACTCCACCATTAAATATAAACAGACTGCTAATAAGCTCTCGTGGACTGGGCTAAGCAGGCCTACAGTTGTACCGGTGGGGCTGCTACATTTCCATGAAAGGTTTTTGATGCAATCTGACAGCCACTTTGAAAATAATACCCATTCAGGGGTTTATAATACCCATTCAGGGGTTTAGTTTTACAATCTTTAAAGAAATAGTGTTAACTTTTAACATAAAACATAAAATATATGAATTTTGTTTATTTTTGAAGATTTTGTATTTTGTACCCGAAGGATCCTTAAATATTCCTAAATAAAGACGTCTGTTTATTGGTCGTGTACTCCCGTTGTACTCCATGAAACCTGCTGCAGTGGAAAATATCTCATATTCTAGCCTTTAATAGATCACTGTACTTTCTTATCTCTGGGATGAATCAATGATTCCAGGATAAATTGCAGGATGAGGGGGAGAGTAATCGTCCGGAAGAATGATTGACAAATAAAGTTTAAAATCATTATCCTTCCTTCCTTCCTTCCTTCCTTCCTTCCTTCCTTCCTTCCTTTATTCCCTGTAGGGTTGAGAGTATTTACACCCTGTAGGGTTGAGAGTATTTACACCCTGTAGGGTTGAGAGACTATTTTCAAGAAAGGAAATGAAGAACTTGTTTGTCAAACTCTTGTTTTATGGGGTTTCCTATTCAAGTTCGTGATTCTTCATGTTCACAATGATTTCAAAATATTAATTAACAAAACATTTTAAAAAACATCAGAACGTTAAATGCGTAGTTGATATGTTTAATAAAATGTTTTCATTTGTTAATAAGTTTAAGAAATCCAATTTTGAATCGGTAGAAGGTTAATATAGCCTGACATTGTGTATTATATTTACATATTTATATATATATATATATATTTACATATTTATATATATAGAAATCTGAAGCTTAGCTGTTCATAAAAGATTGGATTACCTTGTATAGCAAAACAAACAAGGCATTTTATTTTTATTGTTTGGATAAAAGGATTATTGCCCATCTAAATGATAAAGCTTTTTGCATGCATATGAATATACAAGACCTTCAGGGCGCTCTGCGCCAGTCTTCTAATTTGAATTTTAGTAAATTTGTTGAATTCTTGACTGGGTTGATGCAAGTTTCCACCTTTTTGACGTTGATTGGATACAAGCAAACCAACAAACAACCAACCAACAAACGGCTGGACAAAATTGGCTGAAATTTTTGAGGGACCCCGCGGTGCACAATTAATATTTTTTGACCCTATCGTAATTCCACGGGCAACCCCGTGCACTTACACTTACACTTACAACAATACTTCCTCATACTTTTTCTACTCAAAATTGACGAGAAAGGCAACAACGGTTCTGTTTTCTTGATAAAAGTACTCGTGTGTACTGGCAATTTTTATATTTTCAATGACAATGATTTAACATAGATTCTAACTTTTACGGTTTAAGGGAGGTGCTGGGTTATACACAAATAATAAGACTTCAGAGACGACTGTACGTAGTTTTTTCCGTCTTTTTCTTTCATTTTCCTGGCACCCTACATTTTCCTGGTACCCTACATTTTCCTGGCACCCTACATTTTCGTGGTACCCTACATTTTCCTGGCACCCTACATTTTCCTGGTACCCTACATTTTCCTGGTACCCTACATTTTCCTGGTACCCTACATTTTCCTGGTACCCTACATTTTCCTGGTACCCTACATTTTCCTGGTACCCTACATTTTCCTGGTACCCTACATTTTCCTGGTACCCTACATTTTCCCGGTACCCTACATTTTCCTGGTACCCTACATTTTCCTGGAACCCTACATTTTCGTGGTACCCTACATTTTCCTGGTACCCCACATTTTCCTGGTACCCTACATTTTCCCGGTACCCTGCATTTTCCTGGTACCCTACATTTTCCTGGTACCCTACATTTTCGTGGTACCCTACATTTTCCTGGTACCCTACATTTTCCTGGTACCCTACATTTTCCTGGTACCCTACATTTTCCTGGAACCCTACATTTTCCTGGAACCCTACATTTTCCTGGTACCCTACATTTTCCCGGTACCCTATATTTCTATTTATTTCTATTTATTTTGTTAAGATTCTGCTGATTTATTTTTATTTGGAATAAAATGGAGTAAGATAATATTACGCAGACTCTGTTAGACGACACAAAGGAAAAGAGGAAAATGATTTCCCCCTTCTACAGTTAGTCTATGATCGTTGTTTTTGTTTCGGGCGAATAATTTTTCAGATTTCCCGTGCACTCTCTATACTAGTAGTATACATAAATGGAACATATGTGAATGTGACCTTTGCAATCAGAATTTTTAAAATATAAGCATAAATAAAGTCATGTCAAGCCTAGGAGATCAGTTAGTTTTCATTACTTGAATCATTATAAAGAAACCCATAAATACTCTTCCTCATCAGATCCTGATAGGATGATTGTAAAGTTGATGTTTCTCGTCTCCCAAGCTGGGTTTATAATCTCCCAGCCTAGGATTATACCTCGAGAACTTGGAACCTTGGTTTTAACTCAGGAGATATATCCAGAGGATTATCTCTATGAGAATGTTGAAAATGAATATACGGATCCTGAAAATCTATCTCAGGAAGAATGTTTTGAAGATAATAATCAAGAAGACAACTTTGATGAATACCAGGCTGATGATGATGAACTCAATGCTTTAGAAGATGAATCTATCGCACCGGAAGACATATCTTTTCCTTCTACGGATAATGATGAAATGGACGATCCAGATCATTTACTTCAACATATTATAGATCTCATTTTTGATGAACAGACAGAGACAGACGAAAATCTTCAGGACTTCTTTGAATACAACACAGAAGAAAACAATGAACCTTCCGACGATGCGATCAATTCAATCATAGGTGATTTTCTTCCTGTTGATGATAGCACAGAAGAGATTGAAGGCTCTGGTAGTCTAAAAGTAGAATTTGAAGGTTCTGGAAATGAAATTACTGAATACTCAACTGAAAATGTTCAAAATAATAAAACAATGGAAACAGCTATTCAGGTTGATGAAATAGGAACAGATATCATGGAAACAGGAGATGCAGGTGTTCAGGTTGAGGAAACAGGAATAGATATCAAGGAAACAGGAGATGCTTGTGGAGATATGAACTCTGCTTGCAAGGGTACAGTAACAGTGCCTTTTCGAAGACGTAAAGGTCTTTATAGAGGACAAAGGAAAAGAAGGTTAAACAAGTACAAGAAGCAAATGAAGAAATTACAAAAATGGAAAAAAAGATCAAAGCAAATGAAAGGAAGAAAGCATAAGAAAGGAAAACAAATGAAATGGAGCAAGAAATCTTCATTCCGAAAAAATAATCTGAAAAATAAATGGATGAAGGTACGGGACAGTGTCAGAAGGAAGTTGTCCCAAAAACACCCAAAACACAAGAATGCAAGAAAATATAAGGGAAAACGCAACAAAAAGTCAAAGAAAGCACTCACATCCTTAGAAGCTATTTATTAAAGACTTTAACCGGTTAAAACTAATATGAATATATTGTAAACAATTCCAATAGATTTTTAGATAAAATAAATAAAATTTGAACTATTACTAATAAGCAAATAATAAAGTAGTAACCTCTATTTATTTGGTTTTTGTATGTATGTCAAATAATAATTACAATTCATAAACCTCTTGATGATATATGTAAAACCACAGGAATGTTCTCAGCTTGGTTAAAAAATTTCTAAGTTGAGTGAGTTAACTTTGTAGAGTAATTTTAATTTTCAGGCAAAGCTGGGTTCACAGACTAAAAAATAAAGTATTTTTATTTTTGGTTTTTAGTTTTTATGTCTACACATATATTTCAAAAGTAATTTCTAAAAAGTTAAATTTCAATATGTCTATGATTTAAATGAATAACAAATGCCGTATTCGCCAGTAAGGGAATTACTAAGTGTGGACAGTTAGATCGAATTATTTGTTTAATCCTCGAATTAAGTGTATTTGGTTATCCATGATTGTCTTAATATATTTTTCTTGCGCCATCATAATAAAATTATGACCAAGTTTTGTTTCAGAATTACATGCTACAGCTAAATATCTTCTGAATATCAGAATAACAGGCTACAGCTAAATATCTTCTGAATATCAGAATAACATGATACAGCTAAATATCTTCTGAATATCAGAATAACAGGCTACAGATAAATATCCTCTGAATATCAGAATAACAGGCTACAGCTAAATATCTTCTGAATATCAGAATAACATGCTACAGCTAAATATCTTCTGAATATCAGAATAACAGGCTACATCTAAATATCTTCTGAATATCAGAATAACAGGCTACAACTAAATATCTTCTGAATATTATCTAACTAGTTAGAACTATTGTACCTGGAATTCCATATTTGTTTGTGTAAAAAGAGGATATATTGTTAGCTTGCAGATCGGCAGATATTCGACTAAAAACAAGAACCAAAAATTTGTTAAATTTGTTGTTGAGAAATAATAAAAATTACCTTCTAAATCTTGACAGTTCAACACAGGTAAACGAGTCCGCCTTTCAATAGATTTTTTTCATAAAAACTTAATCTTCTTTGATTTTTAAAAACATTTTCTTTTAAATAACTACAAAAGTAAAATGAATGCAATCTTTCCTTAGAGATTATAGGTATAAGGTTTACTTTACTGTCCAGTGCTTTAAGTACACTCATATCCAGCAGTCTATATATATTAAAGAGGTAGGTTTAGGTTATTAGAGAGATTGGTCTAGGTTAGAGAGATTGGTCCAGTTTAGAGAGATTGGTCCAGGTTAGAGAGGTTGGTTCAGGCTAGAGAGGTTGGTCTAGGTTAGAGAGGTTGGTTCAGGCTAGAGAGGTTGGTCTAGGTTAGAGAGGTTGGTCTAGGTTAGAAAGGTTGGTCTAGGTTAGAGAGGTTGGTCTAGGTTAGAGAGGTTGGTCTAGGTTAGAGAGGTTGGTTCAGGTTAGAGAGGTTGGTTCAGGTTAGAGAGGATGGTTTTGGTTAGAGAGGTTGGTTCAGGTTAGAGAGGTTGGTTTAGGTTAGAAAGGTTGTTCCAGGTTAGAGAAGTTGGTCCAGGTTAGTGAGGTTGGTCCAGGTTAGAGAATTTGGTCAAGGTAAGAGAATTTAGTCCATGTTAGTGAAGTTGGTCCAAGTTGGAGAGATTGGTTTAGATTAAAGAGGTTGGTCCAGGTTAAAAATGTAGGTTTAGGTTAGTTATAGAGGTTGGTTTATGTTTGATTGGTTGGAACAGGCTAGAGAGATTGGTTTAGGTTATATAGGTTGGTCAAGGTTAGCAAGTTAATACAGGTTAGAGAATTGGTTGAGATTAGAGAGTTTTGTTCAGGTTAGAGAGGTTGGCTTTAGGTTAGAATGGTTGGTCCAAGGTAAGAGAAGTTTGTCTCGATAGGTTTAAAATGATTAAATTCAATGGTTTTTAATTTTCTCTATTAGATTAATATACTTTTCAAAATGATCCTTCACAAATTTTATTTAAAGGAAGTCTCGAATACTTTAATATTGACATCACAACTTTAAAATTAAATTCCAGCTAATGACTCTTCCTTTCCAACCATTTGAATATGTAAATCTATATTTCTTTAATCTTAAATTTATTCCTGTTTTAAGAATATTAAAAAGAAGTTTGAAATTGAAAAACTTGAAATATTTTCTAGATTTTAAATCAAGGGAAATGTCATAGTAAAGAAGGATACAGTATATCTGAGTCCAGCTCCTGTAGGAGAGATATAGTATACCTTAGTCCAGCTCCTGCAGGAGGGATAAAGTATACCTGAGTCCAGCTCCTGTAGGAGGATACAGTATACCTGAGTCTAGCTCCTATAGGAGGGATAAAGTATACCTGAGTCCAGCTCCTGTAGGAGGGATAAAGTAGAGGCATGCATGAGATCTTGTATCATCAACTCTTCTGCGTTCTATTCTTTCCTCTTCTCTCATATACTAAAATACAGGGGTACCTTGGTATCTATAAATAACAAGGTAAACATGTTGTTTTAGTGTCACAATAAATACAATTAACCTTACACTGCTTAATAATGATGAGCGAAAGTAAAACAAATATTAAACTGAAAATAATTTTTTCTAACAAGCTATTTCAAACAAGTTTACAAGTAAACAAAGAAAAGCCGTTTATTAAAAGCTTCTCTTTGTTTCCATGTTTACGTGTATCCCATTCCATGCTGTTTGAAAGCTTGGTTAAAATCAAAACTTGAATATAAACATCGTCTTCATTGTATTTAAAAAATAGAATGATATATTCGCTAAAATTTATAATACTGCTGAAAAAAACAATTTTTTTATATAAATTGTCGCATTGCGTATTAACTTCTTCGCACTAGATCAATGAATTCGGACCCGTTGAAATTAAAAAGAAACATGAAAAGGATTGATACGGGCTCGAAAAACCGCTTTAAAAATTCCGTGTTCTTAGAAAAAAGTATTTTTTTGAGATTTTTTTTGCAGATATCTCAATAACTCGTTTTAGTTTTTATATCATTGCTTCTTGCATAATTTTTTTGAATCGGGAAAAGTTCTTACGCGCATCAATTTTCTTATATTTGGTTATCCTTGGACCGTGGACACATTATTATTTAATAATTCTTAATTAAAGATGTTCATAGACCTTTCAACTTCCCCCTTTTAGTCTTTAATATTAAATCATCAATAAGCTGCCATAAGACAGAAAATTGTTCCGGAAATCTAATTTTTCCTCTAATAAAATAAATTCATCCTTCCCGACTTATTCTAGATCTTTCTAACATCAAAAGTATTGATCATATTTTACTATTTTAAAAAAAGAAATAATTTAGAAAGACAAATTCCAAGCAGCTACTTTTACCTTGGAGAATTGAGCATCTATGTATTGAATAATGGGTTCCCAGCAGTTACTAGATAATAATAAAAATGAAAATTCAGATATCGTTATTCAAAGTTTAAAAAAAATATAACAATAAACCCAAAAGTTTTGTTATGTGCAGGAAAACTTTTTCAAAATTCAATCCAAGACAATTTGAGACTAAAATTTTCTAAACCCTGTATCTTTGCAGTCTGACGGTGTACGGTTTTGATATTTCAAAGATATGTTATTTGATCTAACAGTATTTATCGTTTGAAATAACTTAGGTCTATCCCATTGGGTTACAAAGATATGGGGATTAGAAAACAGGTTAAAAAATATTATTAACCTGTTATCAATCTGCGATGCAAAGTTTGGCATGTCAACAATTCTCAGTTTTAGCAGTACATTGTTTTCTTTCAGAACCAGTTCTCTGCGTCGTAAACAACCCAGGATCTAGGCGAAGAATTTATCCATGAATCACAAATGAGATGCGAAAAAAAAATTTGACACAGAATTTTAGCCAATAGGACTTTGTCGTGATGAAAGAAAAATCCAAATAGATATTCCAAGATATGTCTAGGAATATATCTAGGAATATATCTAGGAATATATCTAGAAATATATCTAGGAATATATCTACGAATATATTAGGAATATATCTAGGAATATATTTAGGAATATATATAGAAAAATTTCTAGGAATATATTTAGGAATTTATCTAAGAAAACATCTAGGAGTAAATCTAGGAATACATTCTAGGAATATATCTAGGAATATATCTAGGTATATATCTAGGAATACATTCTAGGAATTTATCTAGGAATATATCTAACAATATATCTAACAATATATCTAAGAATATATCTAGGAATATATCTAGGAATATATCTAGGAATATATCTACGAATATATCTACGAATATATCCAGGAATATATCTAGAAACATATCTAAAAATATATCTGGTAATATATTCAAAAATCTAGGAATATATCCAGGAATGCATCTTGGAATCCTCAATATTTTTCAGAAATATTTACCAACTGGGGTTTTCTAATTAGATAAATATTCCATTCTTTCCAACAATTGTTTCTTTATTTGGAATAGACGCTTTGTAAAAGCAGAACTTTTTAGTTAATCTTGTCATTTTTATTGTTACCTCTGTGTTTTGCTGGTTAGCTCGGCAGGATAAATCTCGCTGAAAAATTAAATCTTTTATATTTTTACTTAAAAATATTTTCATCTATTTCCCCAAATTGGAAAAATTTCAAAGTTCCTCTTTTTTTACACTTTTCTAATAACATTTTTTTCTAAATAAAGTTTGATCAATTGGCAGTAGGCATTGGAGAATCACGATGTAAATTTACAAAACGCTGAAAAAAACTTTTATAAATAGTAATAAATAGTTAAAGTTGTGACTTTTTATTATAGATTTATTCTTAATAAAAACGAAAGTATTTTAGTCTAAACTAGATTTATGTTTAATATCAAATATTAGAGCTTAAATATCTCATTCATGGGTTTTGATTGAGAACTGTTGTGTACAATTGAATGAATCGGATAAATAACATCTCTAATTTTACCACACTCTCCTAATTCTACCACAATTCTCCTAAATCTACATAAGCTCTTCAAATCCTCTAGAACTCCCCTAACTACTTCAAAAAACTCTCCTAAATCCACCAAAATTCCCAAACTTTACCAAAACTATCCCAACGCTACCAAAACTCTCCCAACATTACTAAAACTCTCCAACTCTACCAAAACTCCACCAACTGTACCAAACCTCCCCAAACTCTGCCCCAAACTTCCTCAATTTCACCAAAACTTTCTCTAATCTTCCCAAAACTCCCTCCAATCTACCTTAAATAAAGAGTTGATAAAGGTCTGTTTTCCAAGCCCTTGTTCTCCTAGTACAAGAAGATTTAACTCAAACCCGAACCTAAACAAAGATAGAAATTAACCAAATCAAAATATTTGCCCAATTACTTTAATATTTAACCCTACATTTAAATCAACAATGAATCTCATGCCCTTTAACCAAATGTATTTTTTAAATTTTGTGTATCTTAATATTACCTGATTGCTTTATTGTAAATCTGCTGTGGAAATCTGGAAAATATAACAAACATTACAAGATCCTGCAAGCTTTTAAATTTATAAAAAAGAAAGTAGAAAATCCTTTTATTCATTTAAAATATGCATTGTTTTACTGAATAAGATAAGTTGAATGCTACCTGCAGTCACATACAGAAAGAATTTGAATAAAATTCACAACATTTTGTTTCAAAAGAACATTCATTTTACAGAGGGCAAAACATTTATTTGGTATAGCGCTAAGCTTCAGCGACTGAACTCGATTCACAGTGCATGAATGAATGTATTGAAGAATTGCGAGGGATCCTGTAAGCGTAATTTCAAGTGACCTTCCAATTGTAGAGTGGTATAACCGATTTACAACGATACATTTTAAACCTTTGATTAATAAAGGATTTCGTAGATTTTCTTTTTCATACATTTTTAAATTAAGTGCCAAGAAACCGCGCTAGTTTACACCAGCACGGATTACATTGTAACCTCGAGTCTCCCGGCACTCAATCTTCAGCTATTCAGCGTTCAATGCTAAACCATAGCGATGGGGATAGAAACCGTCTGAGCGCTTAATCTCAGGATAAATTCAAAAACTAATCCAGAAGTCAAATCTTTTGTGCTGTGAATCTCGGGATCTAAATCTGCGGGTTAATTTTATCCCTCTTTCTTAGGATTGATTCTTAAATAAAAAATGCCAACATTGAATATCGAGATCAAGTGTTCAAGATTAACGATATAAAAGTTCCGAGCTCTGAACTGTGTAATTAAGAAATAGAAGGAAAAATTCAAGAATTCTTCTTCTCTCATCCGCAGATTAATCTTGAGCAATGAAAGGGAAATTAAGAAAATGATTTTCAAAATTTTAAATTTGAGAACCTGACTCTTCAGATTTTTCCGCAAAAAGGTTCAAATATATACTAAAATAGTAAATCTGCAACAAGAATATTCATTCAAATTCTGTTTTATATAATTTTCAGTTTCGTCAAGCATGATATTCAAAAGGGATATCCTAAAGTTCCAAGACAAATGTCCCTGGAAATAAAATCTTGGGTTTTTAATCCCTAAAATAATATGAAGGACTGTCAATAAAGTCTGAAGAAAAAAAATCACTGGAATATAATTCTGAAGAAAATGTGTTCGAGCATAAAAAAAACTAGAAATAAAGTCAAAAGACAGGAAATTTAAACATAGTAAATTTGGTCCGCAGAAAATAATCCTAAGAAATGTTTTGCTTAATATCTGTAACAAATATACACATACACATACACATAGGACAAATTGAGCCAACCAAATATACACATACACATAGGACAAATTGAGCCAACCAAATATGCACAATGAGGCTACCGGGAATCTCTTATAACTCTCTTTAGGTTTATTTGGAATTATGGTGGAACAAGATAAAGTCCCATTTTTGAGAATTTTCTTGGCTGCTACCAATTGACAATATGTACAACTTTACTGTACGTTCTGAGCATTCTTTAGTATGAAGAAAAAATGAAGAAAAAAGATCGTTTTGGAATATGGCGCATATAATTACGAAATTCAACGCCATAGGAGAACATTTTTAGGAAGTTTAAACTATAAAGTCGAAACAGAGGCGACTCCCTGGATAATTGGGGGGGGGAGGCTTACCTAGAGAACCCAACAAATCCATCAGTTTTCGAAGGTTTCGAGGATTTGTAGGAACTCAACTGATTACTTAAGATTGGACCTGCATCACTGGATCTTCTAAACATAATTTCTTTTGATTTTCACTTTTAAATTTTATTATTTAATGACAAAATTAGACATTTTTATTGAGAAAACACAGTTTTACTAAAAAAGGTACAAAAAGCACAGATTTAGATCAAGTTAATAAATTTTGCATTATTTTTTGCAGCAAAAAGTTGTTTAGTTGCCAATCTAGTTGGCTGATGCTTTAAAAATCCAGTATATGTATATACGGGGGGGGGGGGGGTCAACCTTTACCCTCCCCCTCACAAAGATCATGTGCAAAATTAGTGGAAAATATAGGGATTTATACATTTTTAAAAAAAAAACTTTGGCTATCCTCATCCTAGGTTTTATACAAAGCATGAGACTGCAAAGACGACTTGAAACATTAAGTTTTGATTGAATGTGATTTTTAAATGGCTTTTTAAATCAAATGGCAAAAAAATATAGAATTTTATAGTTACAGGGAAGCATGAATATAAGGAAACAGGCACTATGAATTCTGTACAGTCGTCTCTGAAGTCTCGTCCTTTGTGGGTATCCCTGTATCTCATAGATTCTAAGATAAAAGTCTACACACGTCATACAAGCTTTGTTTTTTCCTCGTTATATTTGCAATAATATGGAGAGATTTCTACGAATAGACCAAAATATATCTACTTCATTCTTTACACATTTACTGTGCATTGATCACATTAGTTTCGTTTTACTGTATTGTATAGTAATGTGAAAGTATTGTGCTCCTGTGCTATTTACGTTTTACAGTACACACTAGAGTACACTTTACACTTTATACCGTGGATTAAGCACATTGTTTACAATATTGTGATCCTGTGCTATTTTCGTTTTACAGTACACACTAGAGTACACTTTACACTTTATACCGTGGATTAAGCACATTGTTTACAATATTGTGATCCTGTGCTATTTACGTTTTACAGTACACACTAGAGTACACTTTACACTTTATACCGTGGAATAAGCACATTGTTTACAATATTGTGATCCTGTGCTATTTACGTTTCACAGTACACACTAGAGTACACTTTACACTTTATACCGTGGATTAAGTACATTATTTACAATATTGTGCTGCTGTGTATTTTACTCTATATAGCTTACACTGTACAGTACAATGCACACAGTACAGATGGTCAAATGTGTTTTTTATTTTTATTTTTAAATTTTATTATGAAAATTTATTCAAAAATTTAAAATATTTCAGAAATTCTTATCTTGGGCTATAACAATAATGACTAGCTCAAGTCGGAATTTTTTAAATAAGATTTTAAAAAACATAATTAAATTTTTTAAGAAAAAAAATCAAATTTTTGACGAAAAAAATGTTATCCCGGGGGTACACATGGGTTCCCTCAAGAAGTTTCAGTCCATTCGTTTGGCCAGGTACTGTTAACATATATACAAATATATATGAGCAAAAAGCTTTATTTGAAATTAAAATCAAAATATGACTGAACATATTACAATAATACAACAATCTGTTTAATATATATATAATTAGATATTTACCTTCTCCCAAACTCCTCGTACTTATCATTATCCGAGGATAGGGTTGAAGAAACCTCAGCAGATCCCTGATCAATAGATTAGCTTTATGAGACAAATAGATATTAGATATATTAGATGATAGATATTAGATTTATTATATACTAGCTGAAGTGCCCGGCGTTGCCCGTGGAAATTAAAAAAATCAAAATTAAAAAAAAAACCTATTGTTGAAACAAAAAAATCGTTTTAAAAAATTTTAAAATATTCAAATGTACCCATGGGTTCCCTAAACAAAGTTCAGCCAATTTGGTCCAGTCCGGCCAAAGAGAGCTACATTATTTAGATAGATTTTAGATATATAGGATAGATATAGTTATATTGGATTTATAGATATTATATGTTTGAGAAATATAGTTAAGATTTATTAGATTGTTAGATATTAGATAATAGATACATAAATATATGAATATTAAATATTTATTAGATATGTTAGATATATATAGTGATAAACGACCCTAAACAAAAATGTATCTGTAAATTATTTACATAGAGAAAATGGATGAAAATTAGGTTACATTATATTGACGCTCGTGGAATTATTCTTATTATATTTCTACATTTATCTCTATAAATATAATAAAGCTCTTCGCTTATATATATTTGAATATATGTTATCTATAGCTGGCCAAATGGCTAGACCGAATGGGCTAAATTTTTTTGGGGAAACCCTTGATTACCCCGGGGGTAACAAAGGCTAAAAAATTCAACTTTTTTTCAAAATCGTTTAAATGAAAATTCGATTTAAGAAATATCCACGGGCAACACATAGCACTTCAGTTAGTCTTCTATATAATAAAGCTCTTCGTTTATATTTATTTGTGTATATGTTAGATATAGCTTGCCAAACGGCTGGACCGAATTGGCTGAAATTTTCTGAGGAAACCCTTGAGAACCCCTGGCTAAAACAAATTCGAAATTGTTCTTTCTTCAAAAATTAGATTTTTTTTAAAATCTGAATTTTTTAAAATCCAAATTCTTTTGAATTTTTTAAAATTCCACGGACAACCCTAGTTTAAAAAAATTTCAATTTTTATTAAAAATCTATTTTTGTTTAATAAAAAAACAACATTTTTGTAAGTACTGATTAAATATGCTTTCAAGGTAAAGAGGTTTAAAAGGGACTGTATACGTAACTTCAAGGGGATCCTTGATTTAAAAAAATTATGACACATCCGAAACACAACAGTTACCTTAAAATCTTTTTATATTTATATTTTATATATATTTATTAACGTGACTTGCGGATTTCTGCTTCTGAAACAATGGAGGAAGTTATGAGTAAAGTTCACCTTTTTCAAGTTGGAAAAGCGACGAAATTTTCCATTTTATTTTTTAAAGATTTTTTGTTGTCCCCAGGACATGATCGGGTTGTCACGATCAAATCTCGGAAATTTTTCTGTTGCAAAAGTTTTGTGTTGTCTGGGTTTATATATTAATCTACCAGAGGTTGTAATCTGGCAGCACATTCATCCATCCACGCTTCATTCATACTGATGAGAGATTCCAGCTGACTAAGGGCTTCACACTCATTGCTCCCGGATTGGATACCCCCAGATACCTATCGCTGGCAACCATTGACTCTACCTGCTTGTCCACCATTCTCTTTATCATCACTCACTTGGATCAATCCACTTAAAGCTTCTTTCTTGTTGAGTAGAAACCACGCACCCTTTCGCTGCGAGAGTTGTTTACCAGAGAAAGGTTTAACGTGTATTTTTATGAATGAAATACTAAATTGCTTAGATGGAGAGTCACTTAAAAAGAAACATTAACAGTCACTTAAAGATGTATTATTTTCCTTATTTGTTTTTCTTTGTTGTTTTATTATTTTTTTGCCGCTTAATTTGCTCTTATTTTATTTTAAAGTTAATCTAGTTTTCTGTGTTAAATCCTGCTGTATTTTCTTACAAATTATCTGTCCCAATCTAGATCCACCAATTTTTCAGAGAAAATATTTTCTTGTTTTTTTCTTTTTTTCCCTTGTGTTACAGTCTTAGTTTTAAACAATTCAAAGCAACTGATAGAAATTGAAATAATCCCAATATTGATTATTTTTATAAACAACATTCTATATTAATTTGAATATGTTTAAAACACAATTCTTTTTTGTTCGTCTAAAATTAGAAAAAAACGGGTTTATATAGTGTTCGATAGATTGAACTAATCTTGGTCATTTTTAACTTATTGCAGAACTATTTTAGAACTTTATTGACGATATGAGAGTGTTATTATTCGTGAAATAATTGAAAGCCCCACTACGCTACAGAACAACAGTAAATTAAATTTTAAGTTTGGAAACACAATCTAGAAGCTGAAAAGGCGGCAATTTTAGAAAGACTAAAGAGTCTCAGTTCTCTTGAGTTATTGAATTGTATAGGTAACCCTCACAAATAAAATTAAAATGATATAAATAACTAAACTAAATTTGTTTAGGGTTGAATTGACTTTTCTAGTGAATATTTAAAAACATGTTCTATGAGTAAATATAATTATAATTTTCTAATCCGAAATTAAAGTTCTAAGAATTTAGTTTAGCTTTGAAACCTTTCAGTTTTTACATTTATTCAAATCAAATTTAAGATTCTCAAAAACTAGATTAAAACTAGTTGTTGAAATTTAAATATTCAAGTATATTTTTACCTCTATATCAGATATATCCACATAGTCCCTCTCAAAGCAACTAGATCCTATAATGAAATGGAAAGTTTAATAAAATATATATTTAAAAGGATTAAAAGGCAAGGAATGGTTGTTTACTGTTTAGGGTAAATTGTGCAGTAGAATACAAAATCAAGATTTTTCTAACCTTTTCTACATTTCAGTATTACTTTCATTATTACATAAGTTCTCCAATCAAAATTTGAGGGAAATCGGTCAAAGGTGTTCGGAGCTTTGTGTTTTAACATACGAACAAAGAGAGATTACAAGTACTAAATTTATAGATAAAAAATTAAAATTAAAAAATGAATCAAGAACATGGGTGAACTGGGCCGAGGAATAAATATATCAATGTCTTTTTTTTCTTAAGGTTTTAAGAAAAATAACTTATTTTTTTTACGTAGCAAAGAAACATAAATAAATATTAACCTGAGAAACTAAGATTATCATCAGTCCGAACCTGAAGAGAAGGTTCATAATCACTATCCAGGTCGTAATCTGAACCTTTATCCAGGTCGTAAGCTGAACCTTTATCCAGGTCATAAGCTGACCCTTTATCCAGGTCATGAGCTGAACCTTTATCCAGGTCGTGAGCTAAACCTTTATCCAGGTCATAAGCTGAACCTTTATCTAGATCGTAAGCTGCACCGTTATCCATATCGTAAACTGAACCTTTATCCAGGTCGTAAGCTGAACCTTTATCCATGTCGTAAGCTGAACGTTTATCCAGGTCGTAAACTGAACCTTTATCCAGGTCGTAAGCTGAACCTTTATCCAGGTCGTAAACTGCATCTTTATCCAGGTACACTTCTTCATTCTGCTCATTCAACCCTTCTTCCGAGCATTCTTCTCTTTTTTCTTTTTCTTTATCTTTATTTCTACTTCTTATCTCTGTTTTGAAAAAAACCCTGTCAACATTTATTTCTAATCTCTGGTTAGTTTCAAGACTTGACAGTTTTGTCATCCTCACAACGGGGGTTCGGGACATGGTTTTTGCTTCCGGTTCAATTTTCTCTAATTTTTCGAATTCTTCTTCTAGATTTTTCTCATTTTGTTGCTCTTGCTCCAAGTTTTCTGAATGATTGACTGAATCTTCTTGTTTACTTGCTTCCAAAACGTTTCCTATTTTGTTTAGATCTTTTATCTTATCAGATCCGTCTTGCTCTTTGTGTTTTCCTTCTTTTTCTTCTCGCTCTCTTCGTTCATCACGGTTTTTGTTTGTATCTGTATCACGAGAAGTGAAATAATTTTGGTAAATGTTTTGCGTATTTTCCTTCGACGAGTGCTTTATAGTTGTTGAATCAACTTTATTTCTAGATATTTTATATACTTTACTCGAGTAGGATTGGTTTCCTTGCTTCCAGTTTTCTAATTGATTGGGTTGTTCCGGATAAAGATTCGGTGTTTGGTCTCCTTGCTGGCTGGTTGTTTGGTCTCCTTGCTGGCTAATTGTTTGATCTCCTTGCTGACTGGTTGTTTTGTCTTCTTGCTGACTAGTTGTCTGGTCTTCTTGCTGCCTGGTTGCTTTGTCTTCTTGCTGACTAGTTGCTTGGTTTTCTTGCTGGCTGGTTGTTTGGTCTGCTTTGTGGCTGGTTGTTTGGTCTTCTTGCTGGCTGGTTGTTTGGTATACTTGAAAGCTGGTTGTTTGGTCTGCTTTGTGGCTGGTTGTTTGGTCTTCTTGCTGGCTGGTTGTTTGGTATACTTGAAAACTGGTTGTTTGGTCTTCTTGTTGTCTGGTTGTTTGATCTGCTTTAGAGACGGTTGCTTGACAAACCGGAAGTTTGGAAAGTTTGATTGATTGATTACTAACGGATCCTGATCTAAGCGTATAATCGAAGGACGCGAAAGAACTCCTCCGTTCTACTCTCTGATGGACAGAGATATTTCCTGAAAAAATGTTTTCATTATTTTATAATTAATTAGCTATATTTTTATCAAAAGAAATATCCAGCGTCTAGAATAATTCTAAGTATCCTCCAAGAAAATGTAGTTGTCTGGTGTTCACATTGAAAGTCACGAGGATTAAAACCGACACATACAGGTACATACAGCTAACTCAGATTTTACAGAAATATCGTTCATGACGATTTGACGATTTGTTTTACAAATTTTAGCACATTATTTTAAAGATATCACATCTTTGAAGAAAAGAACTTCACTTTCCCTCGATCTTTTCAGAATTACTAATTCAGGTTACTAGAGGAATAATAAAAACGTAGTAGTCCAAACAGCATAATCTATATAATAAAACAAGACATTCGGATATGTTGCGTATCGCCGGCCAAACGACTGGACCAATTGAAATTTTTGTGGACACTAAAAAAATCGATTTTTTTCAAAATTAAAAAAAAATCCACGGGCAACGCCGGGCCCTTCAGCTAGTTTTCTACATAACAAAACAAGACATTCGTATATATGCTCCCTCGGCTCGACCGAATGGGCTGACATTTTTTGAGGGAACCCAGAGGTATCCAGGGGGTGACTTATGGCTAAAACGGGCAACGCCCGGCCCTTCAGCTAGTGAAGGATAATGAGGTAAATTGTACTCCCCTACCCTCTCCCTTTTAAAATATACTTTCCATTTACTACAATATGGGAGGGGAGGCCGGGGGGCCCTGCTCCAAAGTAATGGGAGGGGAGGAGGGCTTGCTCCAAAGTAATTATAAAGCAATTTATTGTATTTTTACCTTTCTTATCTGAGTCAGATTCTGAAAAAAAAAATCAATTAAAAATATGATAATAAATTTCTATTAGTTATAAAACGCATTCATCCCACTAAAAGTATCAAAATTGTACATATTAAAATCGACATGTGAAATCAATAAAATGCATATTTTAGGTACAATTTTTAATTAATTAGTATGAGGGATAAAGAGAGGGATTGGCAAGAATTAATGGTGCCTCCTCCCCACTGCGCGCACATGATTAAGATTAGAGTGCGCGTAATCATAGAATTATAGAAAATGTTTTTTTTTGAAAAATAAATATAACATTAACTTTAAACACTATAGTCACCTGATGGACTAAATACTTTTTAAGGAATGTTAGAATATATTTTCGAATCAGTTGAATTACACCTTATAGTTACTATGGAACTCAGAGAAAGGATCCTAGACTTGTATCATCAGTGTTCTCTATCAGGCCTAGATGTTACACTAAACCTGTGGTATAGGGGAGGTCAGGAGTTTTTCACACTCTCAAATTCTCCTCTTCCCTTGTCCGGGGATTCTCTGTCATCAGGATGGAACCAGGAGAAACAAAAAACACAAACTCAGAATCGAAACCTGCGGAGAAGGATAAAGAAAAGAAAAGAAATCCTGAGGCCTGTAAATGGAACCCCCGGAGCTTCTTCAGCAGTTCCTGACCTTGGAGCAGGTTCCAGTACAGCCGAAGCCCCTAGAATGGTTCTATCCAAAGAAAGAACCAGCAGTGAAGATTTCAGCCAGTTAGGACCCAAAAGAACAGGTGCAGGTCAAGGAGGAACACTTAAAGCAGTTTCTGATAGCGCAGGAACCCCTAGAGCGGGTTCTACTGGATTAGGAACCTAAAGAGGAAATCTTCCAGGATCCAGAGCTCTCAGACCAGTTTTCCCTAGAGCTTTTAGAACCCACAGAGCAGGTTTTAGTAAAGGAGGACCAAGTTTTTCAAAACTAAAAACCCCTGGTGCAGGTTCCTCTACAGTAGGAGCCCCTGGCGATGGTTCTTTTACAATAGGTACCCCTGGTGATGGTTCCTCTACAGTAGGAGCCCCTGGTGATGGTTCCTCTACAGTAGGAGCCCCTAGTGATGGTTCCTCTACAGTAGGAGCCCCTGGTGCAGGTTACTCTACAGTAGGAGCCCCTGTTGATGGTTCCTCTACAGTAGGAGCCCATGGTGCAGGGTCCTCTACAGTAGGAGCCCCTGGTGCAGGTTACTCTACAGTAGGAGCCCCTGGTGATGGTTCCTCTACAGTAGGAGCCCCTGGTGAGCACAAAAGGATGTGATTTGGTACACGCACATTCGAGAACTAATCTTTGTTTAATAGACAGTGAAAATATATATAAATGTAAAATGTCATTATAAACATGTATATTTAGTATATACACATATCTTTTAACCAGTAATGTTTTATGTTATAATTTTACAAAATAAACATTTAGATCTTAAAAAAGAATATATTTTGCTTCAAAACTTATTACGGGATGCTCTTATTAAAATTTAAACAAATTGTATCCAATTACTAATACAATATTTCTAATTTTAGAATCTATATTTTTATCTGTAATGGAAAATTTATTTTTAAATATTGAATGTAAAAATTTCTTAAATAATTTTCAAACTTTGCATTCTTTTCTATCAAATAATTTAAGCTTGAAATATCAAAGTTTTAAACCATCAGATTGTAAAGATATAGAGATTAGAAATTTTCAGTTTGTGGAAAAGACTTTATTCCTTTGATTCGATTATCAATATTTAATGTTAAAAGAACGAACCTTGATCTCGTCCAGACAAAACTGATCGTCCAAATTGAATGCTTCGATCTGTTCGTCCACGTGGCCGAAATCTCGTCGGCGGCCTATTATTTTCCGGCGGATAATCTGTTGTAGCGGAAAAACTTGGTTTTCTGAACAAATCCTGAAACGAAATCGAACATCAAAATGATCTTAATAATTTATAAACTGTAAGAACATAGAAATAAATCTCTTGTCCATATTATGCTATCAGAGGAAAGACTAAATTCAAATTTAGAATCCATACCTTAAAAACATTTAGTTTTTGGATAGAAAAAAATGTATGATAAAGATTAACGTGCTAAAACCTTTATTGCATTTGAGCAAATTTTTCCAATAGTGATTCCACTTTTAAATTAACACATACACAATTTAGGAATTCATTCTGGTGGCCATGGTTCTATGAATTTACAAATATTTTATTTACGTTTGATTGTCTACACTTATTCTGAAAACAGTGAGCAATCCCTTTAAACTGAATAAAACATACCGAGGGCGATACTGAATGATCTTGAACTAGGGCCGGTAGAGGATTTCTGCAAATAAAAATAATGATGAAAAATATCTTCTTTTTATACAATTTTTCTAACAAATAAATGTTTTTAATTAATTCCTACCTTGATAAATTACTAATCCTGGATAAAATGAATTTACAATCTATATTTGGGTTGAAAATATATATATTATGAGTGATTGGAAGAATTATCAATATTTTCCACTTCTCTGATGAAATATATCAATCATTTGATATCAAATATTTTTATCCAGGATCAAACAAAATGAAAATACACATATGGGAAATTCGCAATATACAAACGAATTCTATGAATATTTTCTACGTCAGAAATCAGAACAAGGTCACTTTTTAACAGTGTAAATTATCTTAATTTGAATATCTTGATCTATAAATAAATAGATAAAATACTATGTTTTCTCTAGATATTGCTTATTTTTAAGAAAAAAATGCGTAATAATTTGCTCCGAGATAAAGTAAACGTTTACTGACTTAGTTTCCGGTGCTAAAAGAAAATTTTTTAATATTTTAATAACTTGGAACTAATATTTCTCAATATCAATATAATATTTCTCAATATCAATATATCATAAATCATAATCTTAAATAAGCACTTTAGTCTTTCAGAAGAATTTATAATTTACTTTCAAGGTTTTATATTTCTTTATTGTTTACATTTTTCTTTTCCGGAATAGAGAGGAGGGTAGAAGGAGGGAGCGTTTATTGGGGTGAGGGAAGGGGGGGGGGGGGGGATGTCAATTAAGAAAGAAACTGAGTTTTTGCCACAAAATGCAGATCTTTAAGTCCCTATATCTTTGAAACTCGATGCCGGAGACCTTTCATATTTTACACTGTGAATTATGTTATATCAAATAGTCTGAGTTTAATATATTCAAGGTTTACACCACCAGGTTGCAAGGATTAAGGGATTAGAAAGTCTAAAAGATATTCAAGGTTTACACCACCAGGTTGCAAGGATTAAGGGATTAGAAAGTCAAAAAGATATTCAAGGTTTACACCACCAGGTTGCAAGGATTAAGGGAATAGAAAGTCTAAGTTTGTTGGAAAAATCTGTTCTTTGTGTATGAGGGGAAAAGGACAGTTATTTTTAATAAATGCATGAGATAAAAACTGTTAATATTTCGAGACTAAATTAGACTTTTTTCCAATAGTAGATATTGGATAACTTGGAGACTTGGCAACCTGGTGGTGTTAACCTTAGTATTTTATATTTTTACTATTTGATCCAGCAGATATCATAGGTTGAAATATCATAGGTAGAAATATCACAAGTAGAAATATCACAAGTAGAAATATCACAGGTAGAAATATCGCAGGTATTAATATCACAGGTAGAAATATCATATGTAGAAATATGAGAGGTTAAAATATCACAGGTAGAAATATCACAGATAGAAATATCATAGGCAGAAATATCACAGGTTAAAATATCATAGGTAGAAATTTCACAGGTAGAAATATCGCAGGTAGAAATATCACAGATAGAAATATCATAGGTAGAAATTTCACAGGTAGAAATATCGCAGGTAGAAATATCACAGGTAGAAATATCACAGATAGAAATATCAAGAGCTGGAAACTTTTGTGTTGGATACTTATAAACCCCGATTGCTTGATCTCGATATCCTTTGTGTTTACTTTTAATCAATGCTTAATCTCTTAATTTCAGTTATTCCACCCCTTCATCCCCTGACTGGGTACGATTACCGTGTGGGATATCGAATAAAAATTTAATTAATCTGCAGATTAACAAGTATATGATCTCGATATCCACAATAAGTTCCCATCTCAGATTGCAAAGATATATGGATATGAAAAATTAAGAATGAGTCGAGAGTATTTCTTTCAATTATTTCCTCCACAATACGTACACGGTACAGGGATACATTTCCCCATCTTTTCTTTTTTACAAATCATGATTTAACCCTTGTTCAGTTTTCTTGGGTTTTTATTTAGATTTTTTAAAATTATTCATTCAAAGTTTATTATATCGTTAAGACTGAAGACCAAATCATATTTTCAAAAAAATGTGGAATAACTATATTGTGGTGAGGACCAATATTTAAATTATTAGCAGATTTTACCTGTTGTTTACAAACCTTAAAGAACCAGTTCCAATATCTCGACTTCGTCCTATTTATTATATTTCATAATTTTTTATGACTTCACCGATCATTTATCTATATATGTATAAAGTTGTAATCTTTGTTTGTCTGGGTGTCTGCTTGTTAATTTTCAACATAGCTCGGGTAAACGGCGGGAAGAACATGACTAACCTGGGAAACGCTAGTATACAATAAGAACCAGAATATTGTACGATAAATATGTTTTCTTCCTTGTATGAAGTATAATTTAAAGCTGTTTTGGTTTAAAAATGCTAATCGAATATTTCTAGAAATAGTTCTGTTGCGAATAACTTACATAAAAAAAAAAACTAAACCTGAATCAAGGTAAAAAATAGGAAAATTGAACCTGAATCGAAAATTTTCTGTAAATCTTTAACCCTGCTCCCAGTACGAACTAAACTCGCTGAAATAAGTTTTATAAAACATTAACAAAAATCACTTTATCAAATAAAAATCAGCAAAAAGTAAAACAAAAAATGACGCGGAAAATAAAAAAATCGGGAAAAATTTAAATAATTGAGAATGAAGGAAGGATTGAAGCAGAAAGTATAAAAAACACAAATTGAAGGAAGAAAAAAGTCAGAAGTCAGAAGTTCAGAACTTATGAAATGTGAATCTCAGGAGTCAGGATCAAGCATTGATCTCCATTTCATTAGAAATTAGAAGGCATTGACAGGAAACAAGTATAAAAATGTAAAAATAAGAATGGAATTCCAAGATTGGACAATGAAACTGACGAAAGAGAAAAGGGAGGAAGAGCATGTAGATCGTAGATGATTACTTATCAGGAATTAAATACTAGAAAATTACACATTTTCGATCAAATTTCCTTTTTTGATAAGATGGTTTTCGATACATGGTTTTATTCCTTATTTTTATCTTCTAAAGTTACCTTTTTTCTGATCACCAGAATCCATTTTGTTTTCTGCAAAGTTTTCTGAAAAAGCAATTTGTATCAATTATTGCCATCTTTTTCCACTTTATAGATAATCCATCTTCAATCCATTTTACAATATTTGTTCCATATAATATCAAATATATGTATATCTGTACCTTGAGATATATGAGAATAGCTAAAGGAAATGAAACCTCGCCACACACTCTTATTGTTTAATTCGAAATTTGATTTTGTAGATATTCCATATTTTTAAACGATGAAACTTGTCGGATTAAAGAGTCAAAACTAATTGTGAAATGTAAACCATCAAGTTTAAAGAATATAGGATTTTGAAAATTATGAGGATTGATTAGTCCCAGACAGACAAGCAAAATATTCAAAAACAATGTCATTTAAAATGTTGTTATACCAATTAGATTAATATTACGAGGCAATAACATTAAAGTAAGGTTGATTTCAGATCTATTATTAGGTCATGTTCCTGACTAGGTTGTATATTTCAGATCTATTATTAGGTCATGTTCCTGACTAGGTTGTATATTTCAGATCTATTATTAGGTCATGTTCCTGACTAGGTTGTATATTTCAGATCTATTATTAGGTCATGTTCCTGACTAGGTTGTATATTTCAGATCTATTATTAGGTCATGTTCCTGACAAGGTTGTATATTTCAGATCTATTATTAGGTCATGTTCCTGACAAGGTTGTATATTTCAGATCTATTATTTGGTCATGTTTCTGACTAGGTTGTATACTTCAGATCTATTATTAGGTCATGTTCCTGACTAGGTTGTATATTTCAGATCTATTATTAGGTCATGTTCCTGACTAGGTTGTATATTTCAGATATATTATTAGGTCATGTTCCTGACTAGGTTGTATATTTCAGATCTATTATTAGGTCATGTTTCTGACTAGGTTGTATATTTCAGATCTACCAAGTATAAGGTTATGTTCCTGACTAGGTTGTATATTTCAGATATATTATTAGGTCATGTTCCTGACTAGGTTGTATATTTCAGATATATTATTAGGTCATGTTCCTGACTAGGTTGTATATTTGTAATTAGTCTCAACAAAACGTCCTCTCATCATTTTGCTTATTGCAATGTCATCATATGAATGAAATTGTGCACGAAAAGTGATCGTCCATTTTTAGAACGACAAAGTGGCATGTCCGATTCACACTGGTTCCCTTTAATATCTATCACAGTGACCATCAGGTATATATCACCATTTTTATGTCTTTCAAGGCGTTAATTCCGACAATTCCTTTATTGTGTCCGTGGCATCAGTAACCTAGATAATCACTTTATCACTACACTGTGGTAAATATGCCTCAATTGCTTGAGCTGTATAAATTGCATATGAGAGCTGCATTAACTATTTATAACAATTTTATTCTTTTTATCGAGAAACCGAGAACCTTCGAGATATAGAAAAAATAGTCCAAAAACTTTATAGCTCGTCGTGCCAAAATAACAGTGTTATAGGTAATTTTATGAAACGTTTTTGTACTTTATGGCTCACGCGCTATAATGTACAGCTAATTTAACTTTAAAGCACGATGATTACTTCATATAGCACGTTCATTATGAAATTCACGATGAAGTATGGAAGAATGATAAAGTACACTTTAGTTTCATGAAAACTATGATAGCTGCATAAGCTAAGAGAGCTAGGCTTAAAAAGCTGCATAAGCTAAGAGAGATAGATTTAAAAAGATGCATGAGGAAACACTAAAACAGTTTCTGTATCCAAGTATTATTGAATCAGAAGTCTCGCATGAACTGCGCTGAATCAAACTAAACTAAATCGTATTTTGTCTAAAAGAAAATTGAAATATGTTTAAAAAGAACTCAGCTGACTTTTAAGGACAAGCACGTAAACGGAAGGGAGAAACCCTATGGTATAGAACGGGAAATGGGTATCGATTGCAAAGTGCTAAGTTTGCAATCTTTTATAATTCTTTAGAGGCAAATCATGTATAGACAGCATATTGATTGGTGTTAAGTTCAAACATAATTTATTAACAAACGAATCCTGAGATCTAGATATGCAGGCATATATTAACAAAGGTATTGGATCGTTGCCACTCTGATTTTGTAATCCAATGTATTATTCCTTCAATATTTCAAACTATGAATGCCGACCATGTTAGATCAAATTAAGAAGGTTTGAAATATCAAAGGTTTACACCATCAAGTTGCAAAGATATAAGGATTAGAAAACTTGAGTTTGTGGCAAAATTTATTTCCGTAATCAATTTTTGTGAGAGATTTTTTCAAATTTTTATTGACCGCTTTATGCCGAGATTTATATTAGATTTATTTTTTTTAAATATTATCATCACGTCACATTTTAAATCTTTTTATGAAATTTAAAACAATGAGCAAGCGCAGAGAAAGAGAAAAAAATTATCTCTGAAAATACTAAGTATGTTTTTTAAAGCAAAAAACGAAGAAAACATATGTTGGTATGTTTGTTGGATCTCTCTGTATATATGTATGATGTACAACAGCTGACAGCATGTTTACATGTGTCAATCTTCTCAACCCAAATAAATCTTAAAACTGAACATGTAACATAGGATTAAGATAAATTGTGTGTCTGTATAAAGTATATCTCAAATCTGCTGTTCAAAAAAAATTAAAATTTTGTTCATCCCTCTTGATTCCCCTCTGTGTTTGCGTTCATTTGAACTTTGTATACAAGTTCCATCACAAAGATATTTTTATTCTCAGATTATCATTAGATAAAGCACCAAAATCATTAAAATTATTAATAATAAAACATATATTATCGTAAATCTAAAAATATCAATATTTATTCCCTTCTCCTAACTTCATAATATTTGTTTAACAAAACTGAAGGTTGGTATGATTTATGAAAATAAAATTACTGAGCACGTTTAGTAAGGAATACAATACAAATATGTAGGGACGGATCATTCATATATTTTATACCACTAAAACAACGAGTAAATTGATTTAGAAAATATGGTCTTTCAAAACACATCATTTATACTGAAAAGGCGTTATTAAATAAAAAAGTTTCTACTTACTATAGACAAGCTGGGGCACCCGGCATTGCCCTGCATGGTGGCTATTTTAGAAAGTCTATCGAAGGTAAATTTTCTCCATTTTGGTAACATTAAAAATGGTTATGGTTTACCGACGAGTTTTAAAACGACGGATCATCAATTTTAAATAATTTTAATCACATTGAAAAAACGATCACACAAATTGATATTACAATTTTTGCAGTATAACAGAAACGTGCTTGGTACTTCAGTTTAACTTTTTGATTGAAAACATTTGAAAACTACCTATTCCATGAGTCTTAAACTAAAGAACGAAAAGTTTTAATTTAATTGTTAATTTTCAACTTAAATTCTACCCCGGACCGAAGTAACTTTTAAGTACAGGGTGTCCCACATCATATTAGACCGTCAACGGGTCTAAATTGCGATTTTCGGGACTAATAAGAAAATTTAATTATAATGAATCAATTTGAAAAATAACATAAGGCTTATAAAAGAATTTTCTTGCGGAAAATGATAAGTTTTTCGAGTATTAAGGGTTTATTTTGTCATTAAAGATTAGAGATAATCTAATATGATATGGGACGCTCTGTATATATTTAACTTTAAGCCAAAGCTTAAATTATTTAACTCGTCGATTTTGGTGAATTAAATAAAGTATACCAACTCGTGATTTTACGTAAATTCTAAGTTGTAACTGAAATTAAGTCATAAGTTGATTCTTTAATTTTAGACTCCGGAGTCCGGACAGGTTTAGGGTGTCTCAAAATTTTACACTTTTCTGTTTGAAACCAAATAAAAATCACGCAACCTAAACATCAGGATTACACACAAAGATATTAGACTTCAGAGAAGACTGTACGAAATGTATTACGTCTGTTTCTTACACTCATGATTCCCTTCAACTGTAAACTGGTTTCTGCCGAATCAGTAAACAAGCAAAAGAAAGATAATAATTAAAGCAAAGGACATAAATTAACCTTGAAATAGTCATATTTAAATAGTCTAAAGTCGTCTTTACAGTCTTATTCTTTGTGAGTAATGTATAGATATATACATATATCTATAGTTTAGACTTTTCACATAATTTTAAAATGAAAAGTTTGAGGTTCAGTTTGACCAAAATGAATGCACTAAGTTTGCTGCAGGAAGTAATTTGAATTTTTTTCCAAGTATTTCTTTAGAAATAAAAGAAAGAAAAAGAAGAAAAATGAAAAGATTTTTTTAATTAATCAGAAACTTTATTATTTTAATCAAAAGTTTCTGAATGAATCTATTTCATGAATTACATTTCACTTATTTTCCAATCAATGAAATGATATTTATGCAAAATCCTTTTTCCAAGAAGATTTCCCAACCTTTAATTTAAATTTCATTATTTATTTACCAAGATATCTTAAAAATAAATACGTACAAACACCTAAATTTGCTGTAAATATTTAAATAGTTTAAACAGATTTAATCACTATTTAAATATTAGAAAATGTGTTAGTTTGAGAAAAAGAAACGGGTTGAAATTCATGTACAAGTTTTAATATAAATTTTTTCACTTTTAAATATAGAATTTTTACTTAGCGTAGGAAAATTATTCCAAAACTACGGTGGTAAGCGATTATATCATTACGACTTTTTATGTAGGTTTTGATTGTTAACAAACTTTTTTCGAATTACGAGTTTACAAGTAATCAAAAATAAGCGTTTTTAATTGACAGCTTCTCTTGACTTTTATGTGTATCCATGCAGTCTATTAATTTAAATCAAAATTGAAATCGAAAGTCATCTACATTGTATGGATTTAATCGCCTACCACCGTAGATAATGCATAAAATGATTCAATACTTTCCAGCAAAAGCTGATAATTGTAAATACATCCTGTCTTTTCTCTACTATCCAATTTATTCCTTTATATTCTTTTTTTACATTATTTTTCAAGTTTATTTTTTTGTCGAAGTTACTATAACTATATATATATATTTTTGTATATTTATATTTCAAGATAGTATTTTAATCATCCTTTAAATACATATTTTTATAC